ATGAATGATACCATGGAAATAATGTTTCTAATTCAGTGAATAACCCACAATGAAGATACATCGGACAAATCACTTCTTATAGTTCTCTGCCGAAAAAACTAAACTTTATCTTTTCGTATCAACCAAAGAAACATTTCTTATTACTAAAATGTCAAAACTGCCAAATATTAATTGTATAATAGAATATTATGCTCATTTGGAGAAATAAAGACTTTATTTGTAGAAATTTGTGTTAAAAACCGACAACGATTAAGTGAGATATATTTGCGCCAGATATGTAATATTTTTATCGGCGGACTGATTTCAATATTGATTGAAATAAATTTTCGTGCACATACAGAATGAATGGTTAATAATTTAATATATATGTAGACCAAGCTCTGTGCACGGGATGCTTCCTGGAAGAATCCAGTTCTTTTAGCGGGGCACCCTACCTAAAGCCAAATTGAGATATAATAATCATATTCCTAGAGAAATAATCAGAAATCGAATACCAATCAAATAATATGATATATATGAGTAGTAACCATATTTACTATGCAAAATGCCCCAACCACATAGTGTAAATTTATATAGAATTCAAATTCCATATCATCATTAAACCTCAATACCTAGTCAATATAATAGCCCAAGCAAAATTAAATAACTTCTTATATACCTTACTGTCATACTACAAATTAATTAAACATTTGAAATCTGTTGACCAGAGAATAAATTTCTAAGCCTAATGCAAGTGAAATAATTTAGATGCAATAATGAATGCCTAATGTGAGTATCATTTGTCAATGTCCTTGTAAAAAAGTCTGTACAAGAGATATGAGTAACTAATATAGAAGAAAAAACAGGAAGTTGTCGTCTGTTGTAAAATAATATGGTATCTATTGTGATTTAAGACATCAATTTTGAGGAAAAATTTTAATATGTACGGTTAGAAAATCATTTCAGCTTTCTACACTTAACTGCACAATTTTTGTATTGTGTCTATCAGCCAAGAAATTGTTTAATGAAGACAAAAATTATGGGCGCAAATTCGTTCAATATTACCAAATGCGCGGAGGTTTCTTTTTACCATTTTAACAGATTTTATCCGATTTTTAAAATTCTTTCTGTGTGATCATGTGTAAACCTTTATGAATACATTGGTGTACTTCATTTGTCAAATGAAATCGAATAAACACACTAATCAAGCTGTCTAAGAGCGAGATGGCCGTATTTTCCCAATCTGCGCGTGAAAAGGTCCCTACTCCTTCTGCCGCGGTGAATGTACTTGATACAGCATATATCGAAAATTAAAACACTGTTTTCGATCTGACGGGTGGTGGGCTCTCTCTGATGAGACATAGTTCTAGGGGGTACCCGGGCCGGGGTACGAGTTAACGAATAATGTTCGTGTCCTTCCACAATCCCCTCTCACTATGTTTCTGACGGAGGAGGAGCCTAGTTCATCCGTCTCATTTACGGTTTTCTCTTTGGCGCATGTTTATTGTAGGTAATAAGCACAAGCTTCTGAAATTAAGTACTAATTTATATATTATATATATAGTAGACACTGCACAAATAATAGCCAAAAAAAATTATTCAAACAATATACACATAATATAACAATTACCCTATATAAAAATTCAATATAAATTCAATAGAAAACTAAATAAAATTTATAAACACCCTTTAAGTAGTATATATAGTATAAGTAAGCCAGTTTAAATAAAAGAACTGGCTCCAAATTTATATCTAATTCTGCTATTTTTACTGCACTACTACTTTTCAACCCTCTCTCCTCTAAGAGCTATGATTGTTGTTCTCAATAGATCAAATCTTACTCTCTTCCTAATAAATAGCCAAATGATATTAAAATGATTCCAACATTCAGGAATATACGATAGGAATGGGGACTTGGACTATCAAGTTGTTAAGTAGATTAGACTTATTGTTGAATTTCGTCAAACAAGATTTAAAGTGGAATGAAAGAATGAACACAATATTATATATAAAGTAGTAGTGCAATAAAAATAGCAGAATTAGATATAAATTTGGAGCCAGTTCTTTAAACTGGCTTACTTATACTACTTAAAGGGTGTTCAAGGGTTTTCTATTGAATTTATATTGAATTTTATATAGGGTAATTGTTATATTATGTGTATATTGTTTGAATAATATAGCTTTAGTCAATATTATATATATATATCAGTTGTCTTTTTTTAAGTTGTATTTTAATTTACATATTTATCCAATTAATAAAATAAAATTGTAAAGTCAGTAACACATAACATTTAACAAAATAACCTAACTTTTATATTACCAACCTGTATATCAAACCGTAAGCCATTTTACTATTATATATATATATATAGCTTAGCGTTATTGAAATATAGCGAGGTGACAAGCTGGCGCCTGGCATGCCATCCACCATTCCTCTGCGCGCATGCGTTTCATTTATATTTACCAGAATATTAATAGCGAATCAAGCTAAAGTGTACAGCTGAACAAGCTAGCGAAGTGAACGCCATCCAGTAATAATTGTTACAGGTGATACGTCACAAGAATTTTTTTAATTTGGGTGAGCGATTTAGTGAAAAGTATATTTTGTAGATCGATGCACTACTAGACCGCGCCGCGCATGACATTATGTTTCTTGTATGAACCAGACGAGATTGCAGCAAAGCTACGAGCCGGAAGGGATTGACATTGTCAATCAGTGTAATATTTGTGTAAGGTTCACTAAGGGAGAAGCCCAACTGTTACTGTTGCATAATAAACCTTGCAACCAGCATTTCTCACGTTTATTAAAGAAGCTGGCTTGTAAGATGGAATACCACACATAACAGGGCAGAGGTACTCAAATGCTGTGGGATACATAACATTAGGAAGCGCCTTCGTTTCGAAATCTTAAGAACGACGGTAATTTCTCTCCTGGGAGACAGAGGGGCGAAAAAGAACTTTGTCAATATAGACAGTTTAAATTTGAACTTGGAGCTGCAAGGCCAAGGGTGATTTTCAAAATATTGAGTTTTTGAAGGGTTATTTTTATATAGGGTCATTGTGACATTATGTGTATACTGTTTGAAACATTTTATTAATTAAATGCAGCATGCTCAAGACATGATTGATGATGATGATGAAAATCTAAAATATATGGCTACAATGAGCATTTTAATAACAATATTTATTCAATCCTAAAATGTGCCACTTAATAATATTAGAACCGTTATATGTATGTTGTATGTACGTACTTAACAACAATTGGCAGCATTATCACTCAGAAATCAACCCAGTTACGGGTGGTTACAGAAGATTTGTTGAATGAAGTTAACTCCTGAGATAAATGTTATTACTTTTTAATAAAGGGAATTGGAGTATAAACGACCAAGTTCGCATAAATGCCTACCCAACCAAGAATTTAGGAGGCAAGGGTGGGTGCGTAAACTTCACGGTAAACTGCACTCTCCAATCCTGTATCACCCTGGATTCTTTTTGACGTATTTTTGTAATAGGTATTTATATCCACTCTCTAACTCCAAGTCCCCTAAGATATCTGGTATAAAGGTCCTGCTAGTTATATATAAAATATATTTATGTTTGCTTTAATTGATACTAAATAGAATTGTTGTTTTCTTGAAATTTTTGTTTTCTTGATCTGCCAATGCGTTTGAACTGTCCAATATGACCTTGTCAGGCCTGGAAATGTCACTAATAATTAACCTGAATTCTATATAAATTTACACTATGTGGTTGGGGCATTTTGCATAGTAAATATGGTTACTACTCCTATATATCATATTATTTGATTGGTATTCGATTTCTGATTATTTCTCTAGGAATATGATTATTATATCTCAATTTGGCTTTAGGCAGGGTGCCCCGCTAAAAGAACTGGATTCTTCCAGGAAGCATCCCGTGCACAGACCTTGGTCTACATATATATTAAATTATTAACCATTCATTCTGTATGTGCACGAAAATTTATTTCAATCAAAAACCTACTGTTTCCCAATCCTCTCTGACTTGAATAAGGGTTTCTCTTCAATCGACATGAATGCTTCCTTTACTGTTGAGTAAAGATCTTCACCAACTGCCTCTTCCAAACCAAATATCTTAAGGGTTATTACTCCTATATTCTGCAATGTTTTCCACAGCTGTTTTAGTAAAACGCGCAGTTTTGCTAACTTACCGGAGTTAAGTTTTTCAAAATTGTCCATTTTGTCCCGTTCCTCTATTTTTAAATACCAGCTCTTCAGTGAACTCAACATGATCTTTTCGACCCGTCTTCTTGTACAAAGAATGAAAAACCGCCTCTGTTGTTCTGTTTCACTGCATCTTGGTGAAAGGTAGCCATCGGGCTCCCCTCAACACTCTAACAACTAATAAACTGTACTCATAGTTCAGAGCTCATAAATTCTCACTGCGTACGGGTCCTTCGATCCTCTTTGGTGATAAAGAGGCATACCTAAACAAGTTCCTAACATGTGCAAGAACAAGAGAGTTTGACAACCAGGCACTTGACCATACTTTCTTCCAACTAGAGCACTGTAAACCACTTTTCAAATTGTTTTAACATTTTCTCCATGATATGCAAAATGACTGTGTTACAGGGACAAAAGGATTTCGCGATTATTTTGACCAAAAATCGCGATTTTAAAATTTTAACAGACTATACCTTAAACTACACATAAAATTTGTCGCAAATAATGGGAAAAATCGCGATTCCGTACATGCCGCGATTTCCTTTTTTCCCTGCTGTGTTATAGGCTCAAACGTTTGCACACTGACCTATTATAAAATATGTGGCTCACTCTTTATTGCATAATCATTCTTTTGCATACAATTACAGTGAGATTGCCTTGCAAAAAAATGAGGATTCTTGCGGGAGACAAAGATCTGCAAGTTCACTGTAATAAGCTCAACTTAACTTTTTATTTATCATAAAAATGGTGATTGTAAATGTGTATAGTGGGGTTAGATGCTTATTGCTGTATTGAAAACTTATTAAATTACCAAAAAAACAATTGCAGGATATACATGTCAAATACTAATGGGAAAGAAGGTAGTGGAAGTTCAGAGAACACACAGCCTCCTCAGAATGCTCCCTTCTTTGGGTCCTTCTCTCTGACTGCTCCAGTATTCCTTGTTCCATCCAGCTCAACCAACAACATCAACCTTGGAAACAACCAAACAAAGTACAGACCAATATTTTCCAATGGCCAATCGTCTAACCAGGGCTCAAGTCAACCCCATCGTGACATGAGCCTACATTCTCAAGCCTTGGACCTTCAAGCACTGAGCTCATCTCTTGCCACTCAACAGGTACAGAAATCTATGCCTGTACCTCTGTACCAGGGCAAAGTATTGAACCCCGTTGCTGTTAAACCAGTTGCTGTTAAAAGTGTCACCAGCAAGAAATCAAAAGGAAAGGCTGCAGCAAAACACAAATTCTCTTCTAAGTTCAGCCCACCCAAGTTACCCAAGCTCCCACCTCAACTGAACTCTGCAAATTTTCCAGATTTGTCAACAAACTCCCTGGCCATGATGGATAGGTTAGGCATGTCAAGGAAGAGATCAAGAGATAGGATAGAAACTAAAGACAACTCATGCCAGACTAGTGGCTGGAAGTTCATGTCAGAGATTGGAACTATTGAAGCTCTAAAAGAGAAGAACAAAAACAGAGACAAGCAAGCCTCCAAATCCACTATCGTAGCCACACTTCGAGATGTATACCGCAGATTTAAACAAAAGATCGAGGTGATGAACTATGAGTCCCCGGACTCTCACAGCTACCTTATGGACTCTGTTGTGGAGGACTTCCAAAGGTGGTTAAAACAACAGCATGCAGACTCTAAAAACACTTGTCTGCTTTGTGAACAGACTTTCTTGAACGAGAAAGCTGTGCAGCAGCATCTGGTGTCATCTTGTGTTGTGTTAAGGACGATATTCACCGAAACTGTGGTAGGTCTTCCTCAAACAACGACTCCCGATCCCGAGGTATCAACTCAGACTGCTGAGGAGAGCATAGAGAAAACCACCAATCCTATCATCATTCAAGAAATCTTCTCCAAAAGTTATCTCCACAACAACAGTGTCCAGGGCCTCAAGGGCAAATGCATTTTCTGTGGAGAAACGGTAAAGAACAAAGAAGTATCTGACACTGATATGTATCTCGACAAGAGACATTTGTTTGATTCGTGTATCGTCTTCAAATCGTTTCTTATATTTCATGGTGATTCCTACACTTTGGAAACTTCCCAGAAGGTCGGTACTTCATGGACCTTCCAGTATTACTACTGTCTTCTCAACTATTACGCTCTCAACTTCCAACACGACATCCACGACTTGCGGTTCCTGCAGGAAGATAAAGCTCACTTCATTGTACAGATCATGGAGTCCATCACGGAGAGTATAATCCACCGGGCATCAGACTGTCCCCTGTGTTATTCAAACATCACAAATCCTGCCGTGCTGAAGCATCACATATCATTCTCCCTCTGTCCGTTCTTGTTGAAGTTCTACAAAGAAATGCGCACTCACGTGGACACTGTTTGGAAAGTTCCTGGACAGATTGAGTCGCTTAGAATGATGAGCAGCTGCTTCCAATACTTCATGAGTTTTCAATGTGTTGCTAAACCCATCATGATCAAACAGTCCATTCTACCTGATGCTCTGGCGTACAAACTGTTGGAGAACGCCATGTACTTTAAATCATTGGACCAGGGTTTTAATTTGCAGTATTACAAAGCACCAAAAGAAACGGCCATCGCGGTGAAAATCGAGGAACAACAACAACAGTGGGCCGAGGAAGTTCTGCAGTGTAAGAGTAGCGACATTGCCACTGAGTGTCCCTTTTGCTTCACAACCTTCAACACGGAGAGAAATCTACTGAAGCACATCGTGTACATCTCCTGTAAGAGCATCAGACCTGTGTGTCAGCAGATTTACAACTTGCTGGAGTATTGTGAGTGGGATGTTCAGAACCCTGTGGCAATAATCACTCAACACTCCTGCTACATAATAAAACAAGCTGTGTTACGGGGGGAATACGAGATCAATCTCCAGAAGGAGCAACTAACTGAGTACATCACCATTGTCACCGCCAAGTTCCTCAACTTTAATCTCACTGACAGAGTTAAAAGTATTCTGTTTGAGAGTACAGAACAGTCCATCTTGGAGCCGACTCTGAACTACGACGAAAACAATCTGTTTCAAGAGTTTTTCTCGTGGGCAAAACGAGTGATAAAGAAGAAGAACGGTGCAATGTGTCCGCTCTGTGGACAAGACAAAGGTTTGTTTAACACGCTGGTAAATCACCTGGCACTTGGAGCATGTCCTTATCTCAAACAGTTTCTCCAAGTTATGGACGAGATATACCAGTTCAACCACCTCTTCAGGCCTTGCCACGCTCCTCCCAATATCCTCATAAGTAAAAACAGATCCATCACCTTCGACTTTGTTCACCACATTCGCAAAGTTTTGTTTCTTTTCAAGGGATCAACCAAGTGTTCCAAGTTTTTTGATCACGAAGAATTTGAAACATTTTTGATCAACTCTCCCCAGAACTATGTCAAGCACGCGAACTTAATGTCGTATGTTATCAGTAACGACAGTACGACCTGCTCGTTCTGTTTCATGGACTTCAAGTCCCAAGACCACCTGTTGCTGCACCTCCAGTTCTTGAGGTGTCCCACTATCATGTTCATTGTGGACCTGGTTAAGAATGAATGGAACAAATGCGGCAAAGGTATGGCTAAGACGGACAAAATGCTCGAGGTTATCAAAATTTATTCGTCCATGTTCGAAATGGACCCCAACACTGTCATTTCTTCTGGCAGCATGAAGAAATATTTCAGTGAAAACAACAACATGGCCATGCTACATAACTTCAAATCTCTACAGTCCTGGGCCCAGTCCATGTTCACGTACGACGCACGATCCACACTGAACATCTGCAATGCTTGTAACGTTGCAGCGGAGTTGATAGAACGACATTTGTGGTTGGAGGAACCTGTCGAGAACTTCTGTCCAGAGATCAAATCTTATCTCGACTTCCACCGGAGAATGGTGTGTAAGAAGGATAATCGTGGTGAGATCAAAGCGTCCTTTACTGTGACTGATCTGTTTGAGATAAAGAGATTTATCCAGAGTCAGTACAGTCACTTACACAAGAGCGTGAAGACTGATATCAGCAGTAAACAGTCCATAATCTCACCAACTCTTAGAAAGCAGATCAAGGAATCTATCAACATGACTCTGAAGATATATCCTAGATACGATGGTACCATGGAATCGTTCAGGTTGATGTATGGCACCTCCCCAGGATTCCTTGCCAACCAACTAGCGATTGCCGACAAGATCGCAGTGTCCAAGATCTGTTTCCTGTGTGACATAATGTTTCAGACGATAGAAGACGTGCGTTACCACATAGCCACGTTTGAGTGTCGGGTGTTACAGAACATGTTACAACATGTCAAGCTACAAGACCAGATTGATGAGGGTGTTGTGAAGAGTGAGTTACTGAACGCGTACAAGCGAACTGTTGCTTACTGTCGTGAACTCTACCCCAACTTGTATGAGGGTAATCTCCTGCTGGTCATGGAAACTGTGGACTCTCAGTGCCATTCTAAGCTTTACAATTTCATCATGTCCAAGATTCCCAGAAATAACCCCTACAAATGTAGTTTTTGTACCGAAACCTTCACTTCAATGGGGGAGATCTATTCTCACTATAAGAAAATCCAGTGTCTCGGACTAAAGGACTGCTTTGGTTTCATCCCCAACAAAGGTCCATCAGGCATTAAACACCCCTTCCTCCTCGCTGTCTACAAAATCTTCCTCAGCTGCTACAACACGTTTGGTATGCGGAATCAGAGCAAACTGAAAGCTCTGTTAGTTGGAGTTAACAACCTGGCAGATTCCTACGAGTTCTGGTGCTCCAACTACTGTGATTCTCTGGTACCAGAGTGCCCGTTTTGTGGACAGGATCTACTGTCTGTGTCCATGATTAAATCTCATCCCCTGATGTGTTCCAAACTGAGGGAAACTAATCTGGAGGTATTTAGATCTGATAGATTACAGGACTCCTCCTTCATGAAACAACAGGGGCTTGGGTCTTGTAAATTGACAGGTAAGAGTAAATTTGAAATATTATCATGATTTATTTTCAATCCTTTTTTAATGATTCTATCATAATTCTTAAATTTCTACTTAATCTAAACCTCCTCCCCTCTCAAGGAGAGTTGCCGAGAGAAGTAACAAAAGAGAGCGAAGGAGTACCGTTTATGCAGCGGTACAGATGTTCACAATACCTTGGTTGGATCCCACTCTGTCTGGATTGTGCCACCAGTAACACCTCTAACTCCGCCATAGACGAGGAAACGTGTCGCTTCCTCTGGTTCCGGAGACTGGTGAAGAAGGATACTAGACTCTTTGTATTTGATTTCGAGAGTTGTCAAACTGCAGCTAATATCACAAGTTGGGTTCCTTCCAGTAAGTGGGGTTAACTTTTTTGCCAGAAGCTATCCTATCTAGTATAGAGTTAATTTTTTTCTTCGCTATATTTTGTATATTAGAATATTTTGGGACTAGATGAGTGGAGATGGATAATGTTGAAGTAGTGACTAGTACCACTCAATATCACATTCCAAGGTATAGCGAACCTATCTATGTGTCTGACAATTTAAGTAGTGAAGTAGAATATTCTAGAAGGTTAAATTTACTCCTGCCTCAGGGAACGCTGTTCTAGAACTCGAGGTCGATGCAGCTAAATACATCCTCAGACATCTGCTGCCTCACTTTAACCTTCTCATGTCCTTCGAACTGTGGGAACTCGAGAATGTTCCAAACATTAGTAAGTGTTATTGTTATTATATGTTATCACAGTGAAGGTTAACAGTGCCGGATGTAGTTCAGTACTGTAATGTAGCCTCTTATCAGGTGACTATCATGAACATTCTGGAACATTCTGGATCGCTCGCTGATGTTATTATGTTCTACGGTGTTCTATAGTTTTCTATCATGATCATTCGCATTCATAATCATTGATTATTGAAAGTTACAAACGTATTACCAATTCATCTATGTTGTAGCACATGTTTCATACTATGACAGTTGCTTAACCAATTAGTAGTTACCCTTACTTTTTAATTGTTTACCAATTTGTACGCACAATTAAAATATTAAGAACAGTAGCTGCCCTTTAATTACTGGTGATATGAATGTGCATACATTATATATAGATCTGTCAATCTCATCAAACAGTAAGGAACACTTTTGGTTTCGGTTAGTTAATTTTATCTTGATAGATAAGAATTGGTATTAATTATGATGTTTTTTCACTTCTTTTATGACAGTGTAATACTAAACGTTGGCACATATAAACCGAAATATGTCGGCACATTACTGCGATCATTGATTTAACTCATCATAAAGAGTCACATGTCACAACACGCATTATATATTCTACATTCTCACGTGACTAAATTATTCGTTCACATTTGATAACAGATCAAATTATTTTTAGAGCTATTACACTCTGTATCGCATCTGCTCAGAATTTCTAGCAATATCTAATTATTCAGGATTGAAGCACCAAGTGAAGAATGTTCGGGAACTATGCGACACCTGCACCACTACTCTCTTTAACATCCACCTCTTCTGTCCGAGGTGTGGCTATGTTATCTGTATGGATTGCTACCGAGACAGGCTTGCAGGTTAGTTTGTGTAGGATTTTTTCGCACATGACACATATTTTGAAACACGGTCAGTGAGCGTGGTATGGTAAACAAATGAGCCGCGTACATCATGAAAAAGCACACCATTTTTCGGTTGCGCTGCTATAAAAAGCTCACTATTTTTCGCGCGTCGCCAGCCAAAATACCAAGGTTGATGCGGCAAACTTTGCGGATCTCGACTGATCCTGAACTTTTCAGGTTTTGTGTCGACTGGATTAGCGGATTGCAGTGATGGAAGTGTTCACAATCTCACTTCGCTGGATACCTGTCTTACTATTCCACCTAGAGGTAAGTTTACATGCTCCAAATGTCAAACAAATTTGCAGGATCATTCTATGTTTGTGTTAAAAATACAGCACCTCTTCTGTAATTTTAATCATTAATGATCATTAGTTCTACGAGAAGTTGTAAAAAGTAAGTAAACAATAAATGAAACGTCATCGAACAATACTCCCGTTGAGCTCCTCTTCAATGAAATTTTAACTGTGTAAGTCTAAATATCAATATTCTCACACCGTACGTAAGGCTTCAGCCTTCATGCCATTTATACATTAATATCGAATAATAAACATATAAACCTAACCAATGTAACGTGCGTTCTTTCTAGATCTTTGTACAATTTACAGGAAGATTATTTATCTACACTCGCCCTGTTCCATCCTCCGCGTTTCTTTAATTTCTATGCAGTATTGTGTGCGAAGAGTACATTTTTATTACGCATTCGCCAATGTATAATTGTATAACTTAGATATTGTCTAATGTTGAGTCAAAGTAGTAAATTGAGAAACATTTTCAGCTGTTAAACAATTGTGTAGTGCAGTGGAGGCTGTGAAGGATTTGCACTGTATCTCCGTTACCGATATTCCTTTTACGAGATGTCCTACTGGAGGTAAAGTTTCCAATTTATGTATCAAAACTATGATTTATGGTTGCAATCAATGTATATTGATTTGCTGAATTTCTCAACGTGCAGTTTGCTATCTGCATTATAAAAAGGATAGGAGGTAAGCGTGGCGATTAACGTAAAACCCGGGGCTTTTTAATAATTTTATGTCTAAGGTGTTCTTAGGACTGAAATCTCAATGGTCATCAAAAGGGTCGATGGTCATAAATTAGGCGTGACCTAGTGAATATATTGATCGATATGACCGATTTCGCGAATTGTGCCACCCAGCATCCGAGTAAATCTAAAGATTAAAGAGTGCGACTGTTACTTTCCTTTCATCCTTTGTCGCAACAGCATGGTTATCGTATACTCTGAACGATAAGTTACCAGCTCCAAAACAGACTAATATAAGAATTCACTAATGCAATGTAAGGTACAATAAAACTCGGGTTTAATTAACTGTTTTAACAACTAAACAGTTTACTGTTTGTTAATAGCTGGGATAGCTATTTATTAACAATGCAAGGTTCACATTGCCCATTACTGAGCTCTCTTTTATTAATATCTTTGTCAAGGTTCTGCTGTTCAAAGAAGTAAATATTAAAAAGGGTGGGGGAGGGTGATTCGGGGCTGTATTGTATTTCTTTATACATCATAATAACATACCGGTAAGACAGAAAGAAGGCTGTTCAGTAGGTATGAGAACGCCGTCCTGACAAGTAGCCTGTTGAGTACTGAGAGCACCCTCCATAGTGAACCCTGGAGCACACCTCACTGTAACCTCTGTTCCGTGATCTTGGGGGAGTGGGGGTTCGGGGACTAGGTTAACGTCCCAATCTGGTGGTGGGGCCTTGCATTCCCCTGAAATAATTTAATGATTTTCCTCATTATTTTGTGTTTTCTGGCAAACCTGGACGCCATGGAATCGTAAATAATTCTAAATCCTCCAAGATAATCATAATTGTTTAAGCAACAACAGTGACATGCAAAAGGCTTTGATAAATTAAAGGATCAACATGACCATGTCTGTCTCACCTTTACAGCTAGGCTGAACACTGTACTGGAAGCTCTGTTCAGACTCACAAGTCACTTCATTATCTCCTGTGAGAGTAAAGCCAGATGTGCAGGACACTGTTATCACATATCCTCTCTCTACAGGTAATCCAGGGGAGCTGGTCATGTGGGTCCAGGTCGGGGGTAGTCCGCTACACACTGGAGTTAAAGATTTATTGTGAGGTAGGAGCGTCTTTCTGGAAAATTAGGGAGCCTTGGATATCAGAGTTGGAAGAATTGTGGCTTGATTTAATGGGTTTAATCTATTTTCTCGACCGTAAATTGCTCATTATACGTAAAAGTAACATACTGATAAGACAAGAAGGAGGTTGTCCAGTAGATTCGAGAACCCCGTCCTGACAAGTAGCCTGTTGAGTACTGAGAGCACCCTCCATAGTGAACCCTGGAGCACACCTCACTGTAACCTCTGTTCCGTGATCTTGGGGGAGTGGGGGTTCGGGGACTAGGTTAACGTCCCACTCTATTGGCAGGACCTTGCAGGCGCCTGAAATTGTTTTTCGGTTTACCTCAATCATATATATGTTGTTTTTTTCTGTTTGGGGAAGCTCTAATACTTCTGTCAAAACTGGACATCAGCTCAAATAATGTAAGATCTTCAGAAATAATGATAACAGCTTAATCATTGGTTTTGAGTTGAAAAAAAAAAGCTTTCCAAAGTTAAGGAATCAGCATGACCTTGACTTTCTCACCTTTACAACTAGGCTGCACACTGTACTGAAAGCTCTGATCAGCTTGACAAGTCACGTGGTTATCTCCTGTGAGAGTGTAGCCAGATGTGCAGGAGACTGTTATCACAACTCCTGAATCTACAGGTAGTTCGGGGGAGCTGGTCATGTGGGTCCAGGTCGGGGGTAGTCCGCTGCACACTGTGGATTTAATTGAGTTTAATTGTAACTCTTCTTGGACAAGATATTATAATATATATATGTGTCATTATTTTTGTGAAATTAGCAAACTTCAAATACCAAGCTTATAGTTATATCCAATCTTCACCTTCTCTCCAGATAAACTGCTCGTTCCAAGTAGAGAAAGAAAATGTTATTGTTGTGGATTGTGTAGTCCAATGGCTGTAACAGTTAGAGAATCCGTTCATATAGCTGCTTGCAAAGTTGAAGTTAAGGACTGTCGCATCATTGCATATGAGTATCAAGGAAGTTCCTGTTTTCTGGATTTTCCATACTTTAGTATAGTCGCTTGGGATGCTCATATATTGGTTTGTACCCCATGAGTTTGTCATGCATTGCGGGATTACATATTTCCATCCAGTTGACTGGTATTGAAAGAGGAAGGTCCTTGAGTCGTAGTAAACTTGAATATGTGCACCAACACTATTTCCCGTGGTTTTTACTTCTACTATTTGATCGGATGGTATGCTATACACTTTACTACTAATCATCGTAACCCACCCTGAGAATAAGAAATGTTAGATCTGCTGCAGGTGCTGGATATTAGTATCTAATCAGTCATATCTTTATATTCTAATTAAAAATTGGCAGGTCAACTTTATCTCTGCAATGAAAATAAACATTACATTTACCTGGCGAGCCGTGGGACATCTTAAGCGAGAAAGCTAAGATAACGACCAAACACGTCAAACTTTTCTTCATTTTAGAATTTCTCCATTCTAAAACGGTAAGAAATTATGTCCTCTGTATCATGATATAGGGATCACCACATCGTGGTGGAAAATCAAATTAATATCTTATTAAAAGTAAAAATTTCCCCTATCTGATTCTTTGGATCTTAGCAAACTATTCCCCGCCCTTTTCAACGAGAGTGGTGGTTTCCAAGGAAAATAAATCAGACGGAATGAACTAGGGAAAGGGAGGCACTGAGTGGGTCTGGATCTTGCAGGAGAGAGCGTCATTCGTCCCGAACACCTGAACCTTAGCTTCTGCGCTATAGATCTGGATACTGGCGTGGAGGTGAACCATGTTTGTTTTGACACGTGACAAATGTCCTCGGTTTTGATTGGTCAATGCTGGAAACTGATCGGTTACTTGCTGTCACGTGTCAGTATGCTGCAACCATATCTATTGTCCAAGTCTGAAACTAACGGTAAAGATGGGTCAGCTTTACAAAAGAAAACTGGTGAGACGGAAGGGCTAACAAACAGCCATCACAAGTTAGAGCATTAGCTAGAACCTGGCTAGCTAACCTCTGTTCCGTGTACTTGAGGGAGTGTGGGTTCGGGGACTAGGTTAACGTCCCAATCTGGTGGTGGGGCCTTGCATTCTCCTGAAATTGTTTTTCGGTTTACCTCAGTCATATATAATATGTTGTTTTTTTCTGTTTGGGGAAGCTCTAATACTTCTGTCAAAACTGGACATCAGCTCAAATAATGTAAGATCTTCAGAAATAATGATAACAGCTTAATCATTGGTTTTGAGTTGAAAAAAAAGCTTTCCAAAGTTAAGGAATCAGCATGACCTTGACTTTCTCACCTTTACAACTAGGCTGCACACTGTACTGAAAGCTCTGATCAGCTTGACAAGTCACGTGGTTATCTCCTGTGAGAGTGTAACCAGGTGTGCAGGACACTGTTATCACAACTCCTGAATCTACAGGTAGTCCAGGGGAGCTGGTCATGTGGGTCCAGCTCGGGGGTAGTCCGCTACACACTGTGGATTTAATTGAGTTTAATTGTAACTCTTCTTGGACAAGATATTATAATATATATATGTGTCATTATTTTTGTGAAATTAGCAAACTTCAAATACCAAGCTTATAGTTATATCCAATCTTCACCTTCTCTCCAGATAAACTGCTCGTTCCAAGTAGAGAAAGAAAATGTTATTGTTGTGGATTGTGTAGTCCAATGGCTGTAACAGTTAGAGAATCCGTTCATATAGCTGCTTGCAAAGTTGAAGTTAAGGACTGTCGCATCATTGCATATGAGTATCAAGGAAGTTCCTGTTTTCTGGATTTTCCATACTTTAGTATAGTCGCTTGGGATGCTCATATATTGGTTTGTACCCCATGAGTTTGTCATGCATTGCGGGATTACATATTTCCATCCAGTTGACTGGTATTGAAAGAGGAAGGTCCTTGAGTCGTAGTAAACTTGAATATGTGCACCAACACTATTTCCCGTGGTTTTTACTTCTACTATTTGATCGGATGGTATGCTATACACTTTACTACTAATCATCGTAACCCACCCTGAGAATAAGAAATGTTAGATCTGCTGCAGGTGCTGGATATTAGTATCTAATCAGTCATATCTTTATATTCTAATTAAAAATTGGCAGGTCAACTTTATCTCTGCAATGAAAATAAACATTACATTTACCTGGCGAGCCGTGGGACATCTTAAGCGAGAAAGCTAAAATAACGACCAAACACGTCAAACTTTTCTTCATTTTAGAATTTCTCCATTCTAAAACGGTAAGAAATTATGTCCTCTGTATCATGATATAGGGATCACCACATCGTGGTGGAAAATCAAATTAATATCTTATTAAAAGTCAAAATTTCCCCTATCTTTGGATCTTAGCAAACTATTCCCCGCCCTTTTCAACGAGAGTGGTGGTTTCCAAGGAAAATAAATCAGACGGAATGAACTAGGGAAAGGGAGGCACTAAGAGGGTCTGGATCTTGGAGGAGAGAGCGTCATTCGTCCCGAACACCTGGACCTTCTGCGCTATAGATCTGGATACTGATGTGGAGGTGAACCATGTTTGTTTTGACACGTGACAAATGTCCTCGGTTTTGATTGGTCAATGCTGGAAACTGATCGGTTACTTTCTGTCACGTGTCAGTATGCTGCAACCATATCTATTGTTTAAGTCTGAAACTAACGGTAAAGATGGGTCAGCTTCACAAAAGAAAACTGGGGAGACGGAAGGGCTAACAAACAGCCATCACAAGTTAGAGCATTAGCTAGAACCTGGCTCTGGTACTGATACTCCTAGAGAGAATACTGAACTTGGATAATCGTTACACAGTCACAAGTCTATGAGACTGCAGTTATACTGTTCCCAGCGTCTGGGGTCGTTAGCTTCAAGGGAGGTAAAGTAAGTCAGGAGGTTTACTCGCCACAAAATGTAGTTTAAACTGAGTTAGAGAGAGGGTGATGTATATTGAGATAAATTTTTATCGATATCTGCGTCAAGGTTCTCTGTTCGAAGAAGTAAATATTAACGGGGATTGCCTGGGCCGGGGAGGGTGATTCGGGCCTTTATTAGATTTCTTTATAATTTTGGTGCTGACACATCACAATAACATACCGGTAAGACAGGAGGAAGGCTGTTCAGTAGGTTCGAGAACCCCGTCCTGACAAGTAGCCTGTTGAGTACTGAGAGCACCCTCCATAGTGAACCCTGGAGCACACCTCACTGTAACCTCTGTTCCGTGATCTTGGGGGAGTTGGGGTTCGGGGACTAGGTTAACGTCCCAATCTGGTGGTGGGGCCTTGCATTCCCCTGAAATTATTTAATGATTTTCCTCATTATTTTGTGTTTTCTGGCAAATTTGGACGACGGAATCGTAAATAATTCTAAATCCTCCAAGATACTCATAATTGTTAAGCAACAAAAGTGACATGAAGTTAAAGGATTGATAAGTAAAAGGATGAGTAATGAGTATGACCATGTCTGTCTCACCTTTACAGCTAGGCTGAACATTGAACTGGAAGCTCTGTTCAGACTCACAAGTCACTTCATTATCTCCTGTGATAGAGTAACCAGATGTGCAGGACACTGTTATCACATCTCCTGTCTCTACAGGAAGTCCAGGGGAGCTGGTCATGTGTTCCCAGGTCGGTGGTAGTCCGCTGCACACTGGAGTTAATTGGAAGAATAAATATGAGGTAGGGGCGTCTTTCTGGAAAATTAGGGAGCCTTGGATATCAGAGTTAGAAGAATTGTGGCTTGATTTAATGGGTTTAATCTATTTTGTCGATAAAGTGATCATTATACATAAATGTAACATACTGATAAGACAAGAAGGAGGTTGCCCAGTAGGTATGAGAACCCCGTCCTGACAAGTAGCCTGTTGAGTACTGAGAGCACCCTGCATAGTGAACCCTGGAGCACACCTCACTGTAACTTCTGTTCCGTGATCTTGGGGGAGTGGGGGTTCAAGGACTAGGTTAACGTCCCACTCTATTGGCAGGACCTTGCAGGCGTCTGAAATTGTTTTTTGGCTTACCTCAATCATATATATGTTTTTTTTTTTCTCTTTGGGAAGCTTTAATATTTCAGTCAAAACTGGACATCAGCTCAAATAATGTAAGATCTTCAGAAATAATGATAACAGGTTAATCATTGATTTTGAGTTGGAAAAAAAAGCTTTCCAAAGTTAAGGAATCAGCATGACCTTGACTGTCTCACCTTTACAGCTAGGCTGAACACTGAACTGGAAGCTCTGATCAGCTTGACAAGTCACGTGGTTATCTCCTGTGAGAGTGTAGCCAGATGTACAGGACACTGTTATCACATCTCCTGTCTCTACAGGTAGTCCAGGGGAGCTGGTCATGTGGGTCCAGGTCGGGGGTAGTCCGCTACACACTGTGGATTTAATTGAGTTTAATTGTAACTCTTCTTGGACAAGATATATGTCATTATTTTTGTGAAAGTAGCAAACTTCAAAGACCAAGGTTATATTTAATTGTCACCTTCTCTCCAGATAAGTATATTGTTCCAAGTAGAGAAACTTGAAAATTGAATCGTTGTGGCTTGTGTAGTCCAATGGCTGTAACAGTTAGAGAATCCGTTCATATAGCTGCTTGCAAAGTTAAAGTTAAGGACTGTCACATCATTGCATATGAGTATCAAAGCAGTTCCTGTTTTCTGGATTTTCCATACTTTAGTATAGTCGCTTGGGATGCTCATATGTTGGTTCGTAGCCCATGAGTTTGTCATGCATTCCGCGACTACATATCTCCATCCAGTGGAGTGGTATTGGATGACGAAGGCCCTTGTGTCGTAGGAAGCTCCAAAATATGCACCAACACTATTTCCCGTGGTTTTTACTTCTACTATTTGATCGGATGGTATGCTATATACTTTACTACTAATCATCGTAACCCACCCTGAGAATAAGAAATGTTAGATCTGCTGCAGGTGCTGGATATTTGTATCAGCTATATTTTAATTAAAAATGGACAGGTCAACTTTATCTCTGCAATGAAAATAAACATTACATTTACCTGGTGAGCCGTGGGACATCTTAAGCGAGAAAGCTAATATAACGACCAAACACGTCAAACTTTTGTTCATTTTAGAATTTCTCCATTCTAAAACGGTAAGAAATTATGTCCTCTGTATCATGATATAGGGATCACCACATCGTGGTGGAAAATCAAATTAATATCTTATTAAAAGTCAAAATCTCCCCTATCTGAGTCTTTGGATCTTAGCAAACTGTTCCCCGCCCTTATCAAGGAGAGTGGTGGTTTCCAAGGAGAATAAATCAGACGGAATTAAATAGGGAAAGGGAGGCACTGAGTGGGTCTGGATCTTGGAGGAGAGAGCGTCATTCGTCCCGAACACCTGAACCTTCTGCGCTATAGATCTGGATACTGGCGTGGAGGTGATCTATGTTTGTTTTGACACGTGACAAATGTCCTCGGTTTTGATTGGTCAATGCTGGAAACTGATCGGTTACTTTCTGTCACGTGTCAGTATGCTGCGACCATATCTATTGTCTAAGTCTGAAACTAACGGTAAAGATGGGACAGCTTCACAAAAGAAGACTGGGGAGACGGAAGGGCTAACAAACAGCCATCACAAGTTAGAGCATTAGCTAGAACCTGGCTCTGGTACTGATACTCCTAGAGAGGATACTGAACTTAGATAATCGTTACACAAGTCTTTGAGAATGCAGTTATACTCTTCCCCAGCGTCTGGGGTCGTTAGCTTCATAAGGGAGGTAAAGTAAGTCAGGAGGTTTACTCGCCACAAAATGTAGTTTAAACTGAGTTAGAGGGTGATGTATAGTTGGACAACTTTGGTTATACTTTATTTTATATTTTACTTGGTTCAAACTGTGCACAGTTCACACTTCACATCACGTCAAATAGTTTCAGTGTCCGAATGAACAAAGTTACATTTTTCAACCTTTTTCAGACGTTCCACACGATCTGATTTGTAACGGACAAGTACTAGCTCTAAAGGAAAGAGGACACCCCGACAATGTGGGCCTGTTCTCTAAGTTCCACCAGAAGGGAAATGCGGTTGTAGTGTACGGATCCGCCAGTGATAGCATTAACAAAAACCTCTGGAACCCTGATAGCTTCAGCAAACATTTCGGTAGGTTTGAAGATATGGACAAGCAGATTTAAGATCATGGTTACAACAAGATCATAATGCTTTATACAATAATGGAGTATATATTGCTACGAAAGCATTGTTCTACTATACCTTATCTCTGAAATCATTATAAACGAGTGTTGCAGGTAACGAGAGAGAACTGGTGATTAACACCTCTACATTGGAGGTTCACCGTATCTCCCTCAAAGACTTCTTCGACGGTTTCGCCAATGTGAACGAGCGGCCGAGGAACGAGAATGGTGATCCTATGGTCCTCAAGTTGAAGGACTGGCCGACCACCTGGGACTTCAAGGAGAAACTACCTCAATGGTAGATCAATCTTGGTTCTGTTATCTGTACATGGTACAATTTTGGCCTGACAATAACTCATTAACAGCAGAAATAATAATCTTAACTCTTAACAAGAATACGTGTAATACCCCTTTATTTTCAATTTCATAACCTCCCTTCTTATCAATCACCCTTCCTAGGTACGATGACTTCATGAGAGTTATACCTCTGAAGACATACACGCAAAGAGACGGGTTGTTCAACATAGCCCGCTACCTTCCTAACATATACTGCACTCCTGACCTTGGCCCTAAGATGTACATTGCTTACAGTAACGCTAACAACCCTAACGGTAATTATTGTCCGGTGTTGTTTTATCGTATTCTATGCAGCGTATTCTTAGTTTGAAGACCCACCAAGATCCTGCTTATTATTACAGATTTACAGACGCTAATTAGACCAGTTGACTAGTGACTATATTATATCAGGTGTGATTTGTAGTAGTGTAGTATATTATATATTATATAGTATATATATACTATATAGTAATGGTAGTGTAATACGATCCCTCGTTATACACCCCATACCACAGTGCAAGTCTACATTCCAAGTGTGTGTGTAATGATCGAGCAGTAAAAACTACATGTCTTGTATTTTGAGATGTTCTCGAACATTCCACCTGCACCACCTGTTTCAATTCTTCAGAGGCTAGCACGGTGTTACATATTGACATATCATTCCTTCAGAGGCTAGCACGGTTTTACATATTGCCATATCATTCCTTCAGAGGCTAACACGGTTTTACATATTGCCATATCATTCCTTCAGAGGCTAGCACGGTTTTACATATTGCCATATCATTCCTTCAGAGGCTAGTACGGTTTTACATATTGCCATATCATTCCTTCAGAGGCTAGCACGGTGTTACATATTGACATATCATTCCTTCAGAGGCTAGTACGGTGTTACATATTGACATATCATTCCTTCAGAGGCTAACACGGTTTTACATATTGACATATCATTCCTTCAGAGGCAAACACGGTTTTACATATTGCCATATCATTCCTTCAGAGGCTAGCACGGTGTTACATATTGACATATCATTCCTTCAGAGGCTAGCACGGTTTTACATATTGCCATATCATTCTTTCAGAGGCAAGCACGGTGTTACATATTGACATATCATTCCTTCAGAGGCTAGTACGGTGTTACATATTGACATATCATTCCTTCAGAGGCTAGCACGGTGTTACATATTGACATATCATTCCTTCAGAGGCTAGCACGGTTTTACATATTGACATATCATTCCTTCAGAGGCTAGCACGGTGTTAAATATTGACATATCATTCCTTCAGAGGCTAGCACGGTGTTACATATTGACATATCATTCCTTCAGAGGCTAGTACGGTGTTACATATTGCCATATCATTCCTTCAGAGGCTAGCACGGTGTTACATATTGACATATCATTCCTTCAGAGGCTAGCACTGTGTTACATATTGACATATCATTCCTTCAGAGGCTAGCACTGTGTTACATATTGACATATCATTCCTTCAGAGGCTAGCACGGTGTTACATATTGACATATCATTCCTTCAGAGGCTAGCACTGTGTTACATATTGACATATCAGACGCTGTAAACGTGGTCATGTACGTAGGACAGTCTCAGGATGTCGTTATTAATTACGACGACGATTCGGGGTCTTCTAAATCTGGTAAGTACGTTGTCTACATTTTAAGAGAAAGAATTACAATTTTTACTAAGTTCAGGATCGTGTATGTATTCCACATGTTCAAATAAGTGAAATAAACATATCAATATTTTGATTAATTTTAATCTTTACAGATTCGTCTTTCTTGAAAAGGAAGGTTTATGCTCTCAAAGACATCTGTGAAGACACTGATGACAAACAGGTACGAATAAGTGCGATAATTACCTTTTATCAACTGAGATTTACTATTTTACTAATTTAGTTACTGACATGCAGCTAGTTTATGTCTCATTTTGTGGAACTAAAAATGTTAACCACAATTGAATTCGATACCTAATAAAAATACTGAAAACAACTTCATCGTAGTTGGAGAGGATAAGACGTGACAAATGTAAAATAGGTGCACTTTGGCACATCTACCACCCAAACGACATCGACAAGATCCGGCACTTCATCCACAAAGTGGCTAACGAGAACGGACAGACCCTGCCGTCTGGACACGATCCAATACACGATCAGGCCATGTACATTGATAAGAAAATGAGGAAACGTCTCTTCCAGGTAAGTGGCTTGATTAGGAACCGACTGGGGTCTGGGGTTTCGGCTCCGGACCGGAAACGACCGGATATCAATTTATTTTCCGGTTTGAGGCTGCCGAAGATCAACAAATTTTAAGAATTTACTGCGGTTTGCGTAGCACAAATGTAGACATTGTTCTCGAATTTATACAAAAAAAATGTATACAAGAATTTATACAAATTCCGAGCTGAGGGGCTACAAATACAATTATAAGCATTATATAATGCAGTTAGGGGGGATACAGATATGTGGTGAAAAGTTTTGGTACACAAAACCACACTAGAAAGCTCCTCGCTAGTGATATAACATAAAGCCACTCTATATATGACCCTCGCCAAATGTAGCCAGATCCAGACATGTGATTCCCTCAGGAGTACGGTGTGAGAGGTTGGCCGATAGTGCAGTGCGAGGGAGACGCTGTCTTCATCCCAGCAGGAGCCCCGCATCAGGTCCGCAATCTTCAGAGCTGTATCAAGATCGCTGAGGATTACGTTTCTCCTGAGGTAACTTTTGTAAAGCTCCACCGGTCACATTTATAAATTATCTTACCATTGCTCTGAATTCACATTTTTCGTTTTTAATTTTCTTTTCTCTTAATCATATTATGTTTAAACCTTGATTTCTTGTAAACTGCTGAACTAATAATGGCAATCATTACAGCGAGTAAGCTTTTGCCTGAAGCACACTCAAGAGATCAGACACTTATCAAAACAGCATTCTAACCAAGAAGATAAACTACAGGTACGACAGTCAAAATGTAGCTTGCAAAGCGGTAAATTTATCATTAAAAACTCCCAATCCTCTAAGTTTCTTTACAGCTAGAGATTATATAAACATTTACTTTAATGCATCCCGAGTAGTTTAAGTTAATAATAATGATATTTTAACCGAATGTCTTCACTGTTCCCAGATCAAGAACCTGATCTACCACGGAGTAAAAGAGTGTGTCTCAGTACTCCAGAACAACCTGCCCACTAAGGACCTCTGTATCTGTAAGCCTATTGAGACCTGTTCCTCAAGTACACAGTTCACAGCCCCACAACCTGACGACTCCAGAGATCTGGTAATTGAGAGACTTCAGGCTGAGATGGAGACCATCAGGAAGAACGCCACGCTCGAGAAGAAAAGTTTTAAGGATCAGCTTGCTAATAAAGAGGTTTGTTTCATTTAAGAACTGTTCTCTTCCTTTTGTTATTTGTACAAATTGGTTTTTTAAGATTTTGTTTTGCCGATTGTGTGGCCTTTACTTTGAACTTTTTTGTCTCAAATTTTAAAATTGTTGACAGTTTCCATTTTTCAGGCTGATTTCAACAAAGCGAGGAAATGTTACGAGATGGAAAAGCAGACCAACAAAGAACTCAGATCAAATCTTACAAAGCTAACAAAAACGAGGCAAGAAGAGCAAGCTTCTCAGAGTTTCGTCAAAGTTCTACCGGTCTCCTATCAAACTTCGTTCAGCTCGCGTGGTCACGAGATCCAAAAACCAGAAGCGAGAGTACAGGAGCTCAGAAAGCCAGAACCTCGCCACCCTCAACATCGGAATGTGGAGCCGAGACATTCTGAGCATTCCAAGAGATCAGAAACACGTTCTTTCGATGTCCGGAGTGCTGAAACCCTCCACAAAGCTTCGAGTTCCTCTCACACGGACCTGAAGAGAAGTCAGTTCTCAAACTTTGAACCAACTGATTACAGAAGGGCATCTTCCTCGCAAAGCTCGTCTTCCCAGCCTAGTTCCAGTAATTCAAGAGATCCGCGCCTGAAGTCAAAAATGGTAGAGAATGAGCCAGAGGTAGCCAACGCTCCGGTTTGGGGACCTCCTAGACACTTGAACAGCCGACCTACAACAGTGGTTCCAAGGTCAGCGTTCCAGGGAGTGCAACACGCTGTTCAGGACCTCAGGACCAAGAAACCGCCCCCTCAAAAGGTCCGAAAAACTCCTGAGACTCCCGAGCCGATGGACACTAACCAGGATAGTTGTAGTCCAAGTCCAGCTGGACTGTTCGGTGATGGACCCAAGAGTAATCTGGAGATGCTGAGTGCAGTTTCATCGGTGCAGCCAAAGTGTTACCCGTCTAATAGGGTGTACGATCAGGGAGCCTCTAATTCGGAGACAGATTCAAATGAGGAGGCTCTAAACCCACAGTACGCGGGGAACTTTGCTCCAACTCCTCCAGCAAGTAAAGCTTCCGTTATTCCTGGTCCATTCAGTAGCCCTTCAGTGTCACCAGGCTTCAACCCGAAATCTCTGAACCTCCAGATTTCGTCGCCAAAACAACCGGCGATATTCTCTAAACAGCACAACCAGAAAAAGGCTACATATAACAAAGTGAAGGAAGAAATAGTGGGGAAACCCAGACAAGGGCAAGCCAGCAACAAACCAAACGCCCTCTCGGAGATATTCCCTCTACAACCTGCTTACTCCAACAACACCTACTCCACTGTGAAACAAGCGATAACGAAGAAAGATATCAAGCCAGAGCTGCGGACACCGCCAAGTGAACGTGTCAATCCTCCCACATTCGCCCCACACTTAGCATCCTATCTCCCGGATATGCTGACCAGGTCAGCTTGTGCTCCGGACCGATCCACATGGAACACAGGGCACAGGAAGACAGTCGCATCGCCCGTTACACCGACCATTTCACCTGCCGTCACCTCTCAAACGGTGGTCACCTCCCCTGCCACACCTCCTCCCAACCAGCTAACCCTCACTCAGCGGCAGTCTTCTTTCTCTACCCCTCCTATAGGGCGAGCTACTGACCGCTCTGTCCCGCCTAAAAACGAACAATCCCAGCAATCATCCTGTGAGCTGCAAACAAACCAGTCACTTCAAGGTGGCTCGCTTATCAGGGCGAACAACACGTTTAACCTGGATGTTCGGAGAGCAGCTATTCCAGTGAATCCTATACCGATTACAGGGACAGGTCAAAGAGCTCGAGGTTTGGGTTCTGATGCTCTGAGAGCACGATCAAAAAGTAACGAGTCTTACGCTTCCCTTAGTTCCTCCTCCCCTGATATTGCAGTGCCCCAGAAAGCTGGTGATAAACCGCCTGCTAGCGAAAGTGTAGCTTCTACTGAGTCAACTAGTGCTACTACATCTCAATCCAAAGTGGTTTCCGGTCAAGCTGAGGTTCAAGTGTCATCCAGGGACCCTAGACTTGCTCGACGGCCTTCCGGTGAAACGAAACAGAATGAAGTTGTAAAGCATCAAGATGAAACTATTACCTCTTCAAACGAGGCTACTAACAGCAGCAGTAAACAACGTGTTGCCAAATCTGATGATTCAGTCCAGAAAACTTTGAATGTGCCTGCAGTAGCTAAAGGGTCCACTGCACCGTCCGAAGCAAAGGAAACTTCTGAAGCTAAAGTCACTTCCACTACTACTTCCAGTTCTAAAGACACGTTAACGGAAGAGCAGAAGCGGCTGTATTGCCTCCCAGAGCCAGAAAAGCTGGTGATATTTGACGAAGCACTTTTGACCCGACTGAGAAAGAAACGAGGGCAGGGATCAGCTGAAGGGACCAATATTGTGGGTACTTCGAACATGAGTAGTGTAGTTGCTGTGAGCCCTGCCTCCAGCAGCATAGTCGTGAACCCTCTCCTGCGCAAGAAGGCAGCTCCGGTTCCAGCATCTCCCCCGAAAGTGCCCCGTAAACCCCATCTCGCTCACACAGTTGATGCTATTCTCAAGTCTGACAAAATACCACCAGCTAGAATGCCGCCCACGGTAGAGGTTCCTGCACCGACTTTTGACGCGTCGACTGCAGTTTCAAGATACGAAGATATAGTGAACCCTGCTTTAGCAGTGCTGTCTGGTATAACCAGATCAGCCAAACGGAGCAGGGAATCTTCTGGAAACAGTGTATCGAGTTTAGGCAACATGCCAGTTTTATCACCAATATCCCCGGCCTCCACGCCTCCTATGAGTTCTACTCCAGGAGAGGCTCCACCCCTTCCGCCTGGATCTCCACCTCGCACTGACACTCCCCCAGCTCCACCGCCAGAACCTACTTCATTACCCACTGTTCTTCCAACCACCACAACTCAACCTATCCTCCTCCCACCACCGGGCTCTGATGTGGTGATACCGCCCCTCCTTCTTACCCCTCCAGAGCAGACAAAACAACCGATACTTCTACCTCCACCAGGAAAAGATCTCACCGAGCCACCCATTCTTCTCCCTCCGCCCGGTGTCGACCCAATCCCTCTTCTACCTCGCCCTGATCAGATTGAGATGTCTCCAACTGAGCCCCTTGAAACATTGACGTCTGATCGTGTTGCGTTCCCCAGAAAAAGGAAATGCTCTAAATCTTCGAACTACAGGAAACGGTCCAGCGAGACCAGCGATGACGAAGGTGGAGACGTTCAGTTGGCATCAAAAATTTGTCAGAATCAGGATACAACCCTCATCGTTAATGATTCAAAATCAGACTCGAAGCCGAAAAAGGTCAAGGACTCTCAGAAAACTCATAAGAAAAGATCATCAGATAAAGGAATCAAGTTAGATTCTTCCCAAAGTAAAAAGAAACACGGTAAAAAGGATCGACAATCCAAACACGCCTCAGCAACCAACCTGACGCCTAAAAAAGATCGTCGAAAAAAGGGGTCATCAGAGTCGGAGTCAAAATCCACACCAGTGTCTTGTTCTAGCGAAACCACTCGAGAACGAGCACCAAAAATGAAAACTCCTCCTCCGTCGGACAGCGAGCAGAAACTGAATAAGCAGTCAGGGTCATCCTCCAGCGTGAAATCGAGGAGACGATCCAAGAACACGTCTTCAGGAACACCACCTCGACAGTGTTCGAAAGAAGAATCAGACACTGCTAGGGACTCGGAGCGGGGTTACTCGAGTAGAGACACATCTCGGAGACCATTATCAGATGACACCAGACGATCTGATCACCGGAGACCGGACGAGATTCTCCCAGCGCGGAGATCCCGAACTAGAACTACCTCCAGTGAAAGGGTGGTCCGATATCAGGAGAGACAGTCACCTGTTTTTACTAGGACAATTAATGTGGGCCGGGACTCCCAAACTGAGGTTATTAGTCACAAGAGGAAATCAAGGAGGCGAAAGTAGAGCAATATTGTTCTGTCCGATTTCTTAGTTTTGGTTTTTCGTTATTTTTACAATTTATTAAATTATGCCTGTTCATATAAGCTTTTACCGGTCTTAGATTTAATTTCTATAATATTATGACTTTGATTTATTCTGAAATCTGAATACTTTATTGCCGTTGACTTTTGTTAGGATTGTTCATTATTGCATTGTAGCGAACGTTTGAAGTTAATTTAAAGTAATCAGCAATGTTACAAATGAAACAACTTGCTAAAATGTTATTGTTATCCGCACAGATTTCTAAAAGAGCCTCTGGTGTAACGAAACACTTGGTTTTGAAACAAAATGTAAAATACTTTATAGCCAAAGATTCATTTAGCAAAAATTCAATTTTGATTGTTTTCAGAAAATCTATTTTAAAGACTATTTTAGTAATTAAATGGCTTTGCAAATGAATTGCCATGTGTTGGCTTATTTGATGTTGATCAGTAGTTCTGAAGAATAATGCGCACTTACTGTCAGAGTTACTAGACCTATTAAACATTCAATAACCTCATTTTACTAGAAACTTGTTTAAATTGTCTCGACAGCTCACATAACGTCAATAAATTGAAACACCAAACTCGAGACTAGTTCGATTCCTAACAAATACAAATTATATTTGAATTAAGCTACTCCAATTCTAAAATGTTATGATATTCTCGACATACGTACTTCACGATCAACAATACTCAGGTAGAAGCCAGCTATCAGTTCCTATTTCGTCCAAGGTTGGGTGTTGCAATTAAGACGGAAGAATTCAGTTCACTGTTCATATTATATCATTAGGTTGGTGAGGAAAGTGGTGAAGTTTAATTTGAATGATCTCTCCTTGTTAAACACGGCTCCATTTCTTCGAAGAGACAAGACGTGATGGTGGACTAGTACGTTCCAATTAGTGGATGTTATAATCCCACTCCACAATGCATCAAGCTCCTGTGACCACACTCTCAGACGAAATTATTTTCTGTTACATAGCGCACTCCAATCATAAGGAATATTCCATGATGGCATACACCGGCATTAATTATGGGGGCATCTCTGTGCTCTGTAACGCTGTTAAGGCGGGAAAATGCACGTTGGCATGGGCAGCTGATCTTGAAATCCGATATCACTGGAGACACCAAATATGACATGGGAAATGTACCAAGTGTTAATGAGATGAAAACATTGACTTGAAACCTCTGAAATGCATTCTGACCTGGTTACACGTCACCCTGACCATGTGTAGACAAATGCGCGCGCTACGACGTAGAGAATATTTTGTGATGAAACCGGTAGACTTTAACCACAAGAGTGTCATTTTTTGGCGCGCGCGATCGCGGCCGATTATTTCATTGACGTAAACAAGGCACCTCCTTGACAGCCAATCGATGTTACAACGGGAATTCGATACTACGGAGCACAATTACTTGCTTTGTCAAACAAAATGTGGCTAAGTCGGAGCTTCATGTTTCTCACACATGAGTTTCAGCAGTATGACAAGTATTACACAGCCGAAAGAATTGGCGCCAGCGCACCAAACATCATACATATTTAATCTACAATGGGGCGTACCGCGTAGATATCACGCCGTGACATAATATGGGACTTAGATCATCATTCATCCGTTATTCGTTATAATATCTTATACGGGTTCTGATATTTCAAAGGGCACATTTGATAAGTGGTTAGGGGATATTGATATTAGACACTATCATGAAATCTGTTACATTAAATTAGATCACTTCCTTTACCTCTTTTGTTTACATTTGTCGTCCAATAACATAATTGGTTTGCATATTTTGATATTTTTTGCAGATTCTGTTGGATTAATTGATATAAATGGTGACATCACTTATTGACACACCAATTTCTGATTTCATGACCACTTTTGGGACTGAGTGACAAAGAAAATTCGCTTGTCTAAATTCTAAACTGAAGTTATTTAACTTAAATAAACAAATATTTCATAACAGCTCTAGAAACATGCAGATAAATAGAGAATTTTTCCGAATTTCTAAAAAAAAGAAACCCACAGTCAATAAGTAAGCAGTGCATTACAGTAATTCACAGCATAGTAAAATTTCTAATTGAAATGCTAAAAATTGGAATTTAAAAAGATGATCAATGAAAGCAATAAGCATCGAGTTAAATTAAAACATTCTCTTAAATCAATATTCCGAACAAATACCAATATTTCGAACAAATACTGAATAACATGATGGTAACAACAACATTTCTAAAACCAGAACAGCTGTGTAAATAATATTGTATGAGAAAATTAAACGCTCGAGGTTCTGATCTGGTTCTAATATATATATAATATATATATAATGTAAAATCCTAATATGTATGACATTACCAGTTACCAACTTATTTTTAACTATCTCGAGAATCCATCTCCTTCAAGTAATACGCCTTCTTCTATACTCCATATGTGTACTGTTTTTTGGTGGCTACAAGCCGTTGACTTTAAACCAGATGATCCTAATTGTCGGCCCGGGTATCCTTCGAGGTATTTGATGTTATCATCTGATGAATACTAGAAATCGTATCTGATGCGTCTAAAATGTGGCTATCCTGAAATTAACGGCAGTGTGAGCAGGGGATCGATATAAATCATCTTATAGCGCACATTAATGTCTTGTGCTAGTTTCAGATACTTAGATAGTTATGCTATCCTAAACTAGAAACTAAAGTGCGTAAATTTTGGCAATATCCAAGAATTCCAGCACAGCTCCGTGGAATTTCCTCTTATGTTGAATGTTCTAAGGTTACTTCAACAGAATGTGAATTGTATAATATAATGGTTATGATCAGTGATCAAAGTTTTGATCTTGAATTGAGTTTGATTTTCGAATTATTTGAGATTTTAGTCAAAGAAGCCTTGTATTTTGTAACATTCTTGTCATCAAATTAGTGTTATTCTATGATAGTGTACAATTCATATTGTTTTGCTTTAAAAATTTTTTTAAAAACTTTCAAAAAACTCCAAAATCTCTAGTTTACATTCTTACCTATAACCGTGATACTTTGTGAGAGAACGTAGAGTTATTTCATTAGTAGAAACAGTATATCACTACCAGATATTATCTGAACTCCTCTTACTTCAACTATCGAATATGTCTCCTAATCTTTAGCATGATGTCGTTAGTCTTGTCGGGAGATGGTCGTGAATACAGTACTCTCACTGCACTAGGAGTCATTATATAAGACGTCATCCTCTACAAGAGGAGCATTATATTAGCTGGGTCAATTATATCTATTTGGGTCAATTATATCATTCAAAATTATATGACTTGATTATCTTAGTTCAAGTAGTGACCTATTTGTTTGCGAATCGTACTATCGTAGTCAAAACAAACATGGATTACCTTCGTTTGAAATGAATGTCATCTCATTTCATGACATAACAAAGATCTTACATTCAAGAAACCGTCAATTTTGGAAGTACAAATTGAGAAAAGTTGAAGAAGGAGATAAGAAACATATGATGAGAAGTTCAGAAAATAATGCAAACAAAATATTATGATGTAAAAGAATTATGTTGAATTGGTACACATCAATCAATCAAATAAACTGAATTATTGTTTGTCTTTTATTAAATTGAATATAAATTATAATATACAGACAAGTTGGAAAATAGATGCTCTACACGTTAAAATAAATCTAAAAGCATTCTTAATCAAATTAACATGAATACAAATCCAAATTAGCATAAACAAATATAAAATTATTTACCCACATGAAAAATCCCAACGAACTCCCTAACATTCTCAATCACCACTTCACTGCTCACTCTCCCAAGAAGACACATTGCAGGTGATACCATCTGTTCTAAGAAGGGACCCTCTTCTGGAAGTGTCCTGTATTTTGCTATCTCAACCATACAACTTGTAAACTTTACCAGATGTTCTTCATACTCTGGTGCATCTTTATCGAGATTTCTGATAATGATGTCTGTCAGAATCTCAAAAATGTTTGAAATTGAGGTATTTTCATTACAAGTATCATCAGAAGAGTAGAAAAATAGAGTAGATGAGTGGAAGTGCAGAGAAGAAGCAGATATTTTGGACAACTCCTTAATGAGCAGTTTGTGTCTGCCACATTTAACCATGCTCCACGCTAGTCTTATAACACCTGGATCCGATAAACCAGTCTTCCGAATTTGTGTGATAACATTAGACTCTAATAAGGATACATCAGGAATCAGATGTAGTGGTAACACCAGTGAAAGGTTCATGGTGAGCTGTACGACTTTATCAACAGTTTCCCTTAATTCTGGATTGTAAATTACCTTTTTCCAAAGAAGTGGCAACATCTCCATGATTGAGTCTTTCTGTAAAATGTTAAGCAGTCCATATTTATTGTGAAGAAGACAAAAAGTATCTACCATCTTGCGGACCGTTGCATGCTGTTTGCTGTACTGAAGATCCAACAAAGACAGTTCTTCGGTGACTCGTTTCACAAGAGCAAAGGATCCTTTCCGTGACGTCTCATCGAGCAAGCTTATTTTGTGTGCTATGATTTCAGAAGTTATTCTTTCAAGAGGAATCAAAGAAATTGTATTGATAGTAACTTCCGCAAGCAAATTAGGCTCTCTTTCTGCGAGATTGGCCATGGCAGCAATGTAGGTTTCATTGCAGAGGACATCAAGGAGCTGCACTGAGGTTTGCTCTGTGGCCAAGTAGTACTTAATTTCGTTATAACAAAAGGCTGCAAATGGTAGTCCACCACAACTGCCCAAGCCTTCTCTACTTCTTCGTCTCTGTCTTTCACAATTAACCCAAACGTCTATATAAAGAGCATTCTCTTTGTATAGTTTTCGGGATTTCAAAATTGCTAGATATACTGGAAGAATGTTAATCTTATCCTGAGTGGTTTCTGGAAGAAATTGTATACATTGAGCCACGAACATTTCAATCACCTCAAGGAAAGGATCTATTCTATTCCCAGCACGATCTAAATGATTAAAATTAGCACGATATGTCTCGTAAGTCTTTAGAAGTTCGGGTATTATTCCAGAACAAACGACAAATTGTTGGAAGTCATCTCGGTGATCAGACTTCAGCAATATTGACAGAGCATCAGTTACAGGGTCAACATATATTCCATTGTATGTCGCTAAAAGGCGACTGCTCCTCATACCTTGGACAAATTGGCACATTATAGGAATCATTTGACGAGTAACGTCCAATAAGTCGAGAATTTGGTGATCTGTACAAGCCAGAATTCCTAAGCAATCCAACCAAATCTCAGCTAAGGGTCGCTCCAAATCCGAGCTTTTAGGATAGTTCAGGGATCTATCTAAGCTGGTCAAATATAGATCTTTAGAATAAAGTGAGATCAAGATAGAGTTGACAGTTGATATAGCTCCGTCGTTCAAAAGTCTTTCATGCTGAGCTGGTGAAGCTAATTTGATTAAGTAAAACATAAGTTTGATAGTTGCATGAACTAATTCCTCTTCCTCCCAATAAGTCTTTACTTTGAGCAACAAGCTCTGAACCTCCGGGTAGAGGTTTGTAATGAAGACGGAAATCACTTTGTCTTTATTATAATCACAGTCAATTGCGTAAAATGATCCAATACCAATATAGAAAAATATTTCAACTACATGTTTCAACTCTTTAGCAGTAGAAGCAACATTTATCAACCGCCTCAGGTATGTAGTTTCACAAAAGAAAGTTCCTTGAAAGCTATATGCATAGTACTCTTCATCTTTTGCAACTATAGCTGATATCAGTGGCAAAACATTTAAATCTCCGATAAATGAACAAATGTGCAGGAACGCTTCTCTTTCAAGGTCACTACCCTCTGTGTTTCCTACCTTCACAACGTCTGAAATTAGATTGTTGATCAAGGCGAAAAATATATCATCTTACTATATATAAAGCGAGACGATATATATATATATATATATATGTGTATATATCCGTGCCATTTTACTGACACCACGGCATCAACTTTAACGCGATGTTCCGCAAAAACCGTAAAAGATATACAATTGAAACTTTTTTGACTGGGTCAAATGCTTTAATGGCTTTCAAATCAACATGAAAACATAAAAAATTGGCCAAGGAATAAGAATTTTAGTGCCCAAAATTTGGACTCCCAAGTGGTGTCAAAAACGCGAATTAAATAGGCAATAATTATTTGAGTCTCTCGAGTCTTGACACCATTTTAGGGTTATACGGGTTCCTGCTAGTGCATATAAATGTTATACTGATGAACGCCGAAATTTCAAAATGATTTTTTAAACGAGCCCTCTGCAAACCTTTAACATAATCACGACCGGGGTTCCTACACTCTGCTTCATGTATCATTTGAAGCAGTACCTTGCAGACCTCCATTGATTCTGAGCTATTTCTGCAGGAATTCAATGCTATGATACAGTACTTCACATTTTCTGTAAACCCAGGATCCTAAGGAATGTTATATTTTACTTTACAAAAGATATTTTATAACTACTATACCAGCAGTTTTACACAACGTTTAAGATCAGGGTTAGAGTCTGCGTGAATATTGAAGTATGATTGATAGTAAATAATTATAAGTTAGGTTTAGTTTTAATCTAATTGTAAACGTCAACAGATGGAATTTATGTCAAACGGTCGCCCCTAGAATGAACGCAAAGAATTTTTCACCTTTACATCGGAAGATAGTTGGCTGCTGATTTGTTGATTGAACGATATAAAGGCATTTAAAAAGTTTTATCTGAAAAATATCAATTTTGAAATTGTCGATAGAATCAACAATATGCATGTTGCAAACTGCAAATAATTTAACATATTAAGGGGTCTTCATCAAAATTCTCTCGAAATCGAGTTGTTTCTGAAGAAGGGAGTGATGTCTATCAGCTGCTTTTGGTCCCATGGACAAAATATTAATATTTAATATGTAAATTGTAAGTAAGTGTGTCGATGAGCAAACCTTTGGAGGTTTGTGTCTTTCAGCTCTTTCACGATGTCTAGCTTCAATTGCCAGCATGGTAGTCAGGTTAACGTCCAAGTTCCTTCGGCATATCTGGAATCAAGCAAATTGTTTAGAGAGCAACACAAGCCAAGATAAGATGGTATATTTGATATTAAATAACGTTTATGATTTAAAATTGAATTTGAAGTTGAATATAAAATTATCATATTTAATCATTTATGTAAAAATATAATCATTTTGAAAAGGCTCAATTCGACTAAACTCACAGTCAAAAGTAGGGTCTTCCGGAGCATAATATAACATGACGTTACAAACTTCTTGAATCACAATAACGGGAACGTCTTCGTTCGACCACTCTTTTGTATAACGTATCACGTTGAACATACACATAAGGTAAATATCGCACTTCTTAACCTGGACAGTTCAAAATCTTTTAAGTTCAGGGCCATTTACGGGATAGATGGCGAAAAACTCAAGCAGTGTCTTTTATGAAGAAGTCCATAATCTCAGGTGTATTTACCATTGATCCAGCAAGTGACGTCTCATAACAAATCACCGTCGTAGATTCATAACAGTCTCTCAAAAGTAACTTATATTTCGTTTGATTACCTGTAGGAATCAAAACACAATAAAAATACAAGCATATACAAAATACAATATGTATATTACCTAAGCAGAGATTTGGAAAATTTAGAACTTCGGATAAGGTATTGAGTGTGGGAGTCGGGACAAAGCAATGAATGATATTCGGTAATAATAATAAAAGTAAAAAGCGATTTACCCGAAATAACTTCGTCAATCTGTAGAACCTGCATTCTCAGCGGTTCTTGGTCTTTGTCTATTGTAGCATGGGAGTACAAGTATCTTGCTGCATAATGTGTTAAAGATGACATCCCCCCTTCACTTAATGGTTAACAGTTTTAGATGGAGGGAGATTATTACTTTGGACTCAGAGCACAGGTTTTAACATATATGATAGTTTAGAACTTATATTTAATGTATTATTTGCATTATCAAGACAGAGTGTATTTCGGCGTTAACACATTTGAGTTTAACAACAACTTAAAAGAAACGCTGTAGCTAATTTGTACGGTACTAATATAATGATACTGTATAATATCGCGAAGTTATAAATATAAAACGTAAAAACCCTACAAATTCCTTAAATAATTTAAAATATGTTTGAAATAATTGTATGCATAAAAATTTAAAATACTTGTATGCCTTAAAAATGTATAAAATAGTAATTATCAATTTATCATTTCTATATTTCGTCAAGCTACAAAATATCTCGGAAAAAATATTACATTAACATGGCATCAATGCAAAATTCTAATGAATTCTTTAACATTGGCTACTATTTTCTCATCGTCTTGTTTCTCAAGAAGCCACATAGCTGGAGACACCATATCTTCAAGAACATACAGTTCCTCATCAAGAGAACTAGATCTTGCAATCCGATCATACACTGGGTCAAATCAGTTCAAATGGACAGCCTTGTAAGGAGGATCCCTTTCCAAATGTTCAATGATAAGGTCGGAGATAAGTTTAAAGATTTTAGCAAGATCAATGTTCCAGGAGATGCATATTCTACAGTTTTGTCACTGGATACCTGGACAAGTGCTTTGCATAGCTGTTCATGCTGTCGGTTTTTAACCAATTCCCACGACAGACGGAGAAGTCCTGGGTTTTGCGGCTTAAAAAGAGTGATGTTTTTTATATCTTCCAAGACAGTCGGCACCAAAATGGAATAGTCTAAGTTCTCACAAGAGCTTGGTAGTAACAAAATAACTTTGTAAGTTAATTTCATCACCGATTTTTTAACAGTAGGGGAAGATTTGAGTTTCTTCCATAAAGTGGATATGATCTTAGTCAAGTACTCAATGTAAAAGTAACTGAGATGGTGTTTATCGATCATATTATTAAAGAGGTCCAGCATGGCAATTATCATCTTCCTGCTTTTGCTGCTCGATAGCACTTTTAACATCAAATCCATAATATTAAATCGACTCTCCATCTCTTGGATTTGGGCCAATGTGCACAAAGAAACCACCGTCTGTAATATGTCAATTGTTACAGTAGGAATTGTGCTTATTTCTTCAGATTTGTATCATCATTCTTATCGACAAGATGATGTAAAAACATAGGTAGTAGCACTATAAGTTGGTCTAAGAATTCCACTGCCTTACAATCGAGGCAGATTCTTCTGATGGGAACACAGAGTATTCTTAGACAAGGGGGGTGTTTTGTTGCGAATGATATCATCGTTGACAAGATTTTTTTATCAGGATCGCATATAAACGGGTGACATTCTTGAGAGCGGGTGTCAATAATTTTCAATATTAATACCAAGCACAAAACACCATACAACATGTCAATACCTTTACCATCTGTTCTGAAAAGCTTCTCATTATTCAGCACACGTCTTAGTAAGTTTAGCAACTCATTTCCTTCCTCGACGGACAAGTCTGATTCGTTAGTTTCTTTCAATAGACATAAAAAGATAACTACTCCACAGACGAATTTACAGTGTTCCGCTGGCAAACAATCTCCTGACTCGCCTTGACAGCAAATCCTTTCATTTGAAGGTATTTCAAGAAAGGCTACTAGTTTATGTACGGCTCTACACTCAATGAGCAATTTTAAGTCTTTTGTACAAGTAGAATTGTTACACTCTTTGGAAGCCAAAGTCATAAACTCAACTAGGAGATGAACAGATGAACAGTTTTTCATATAGAGAAAATGGCAAATTATTGGAAGAATCATGCGTAAGATCTTCAGAGATTCTGGATAGTCGGAAAACCCTGCTTCCAAAATAGAGTAGGAAGCTGCTTGGATGAGTAGACGAGATAGTTGGGCTGAATTATCGAGGTTTTTCGGTAAATCTAACTCGGCATTTAAATACATTTTAGACGGATATTCGGTGAGAAAGAGGCTCAATAGGTCTGCCATTGAGAGAAGTAGTTCAGACTCCATCACCGGGTCCCTATCATCTAGATATTCGTGATAATCTCGTAGAGCTACGGCAGAAAGTGCAATAGTTTCTTGTACCAACTGTTTATCTTGCCAGTATACTTTTACACACGCCAACAAATTTGGGAGTACTTTCATATTCATGTCGTCAGGAGACAATGAATAGAATATTTCGATAACGTAACCCAAATGTTCCTTGTTTGATCTTGCAGTAGCAATGAGACTCTCGCAGTAAGATAGACTCATGAGCTCATCAGTATCTAAATGTGATCTATGAAGCCAATCTGACGGGTCAGTCACTAGTTCAGCAATGAGCGGTAATACATCCACTTTTCCAACCTGATTGCAAATAGCAAGGAATATGTGAACAATATCTTCTAAGGTATAATCAGCAAGCAGGAGCTGGGCCACATCTGAAAGTTAAAAAGTATTTTTAAAAGAAACAAAGAAAACATTTTAGATCAATAATCTGCACATCTATGCAGATGTTTGACAATCACACAGATTCGTTAATATTACAAAAGTACCTCAACCTGCTAATCATCCTGAGCTATAACACAGGAGATGCTGCAGTACTAAGATACGGCTAGTTGCCGAACCAACTAGATTTAAATTAAGGGGGTACCAGACTATGCATTCTAAATAGTTTTAAAGCATTTAAGAGTTGCATTATGAGTTGTGTGCTTTATCAGCTCAATCTGTAAGACTAGCACAACCATAACTGATCATTCTACCAAAGATGACGTAAACAAGTGGTGATGATTCAATTCATAAAAAGTAGTAACTACTGTACACAACATAATTCTGTAATTATTTCAAAGCTGCAATATTCATCAAACCTGCTAAAGCATCATCCCCACCATCATTGATAAAGTTAACAAGTTTCTCGCATAGCTTTGTAAGCTCTGTTTCGTCTGCTGCATCCCCATAACAGTCACAAATAGACTTAAGTTTCTCTGGCCTTTCCATTCTGTCACCTATCCATGTGGTGCTAATTATCTTTAGACTTAAAAACAAAGCGCCATTTTGAGATAACATAGTTCAAGATGGTTATTGTCGTAAAACTGTCATGACATTGGGCACTCTCGGTTCCTGCCCTATAAATACCAACCGACCGTTATCAAAAGAACAACTTTTGGATTAGCTCTAGACAGGTTTTACAGTGCACTGGTAAGACTGTCTTAGATCGGTCGAGGCATTTTAAACGACGTAAGTTAGTGACAGGTTACAATGAATAATGTGAGACGTCTCAAAACCAATCCTTCTTAATTAGTCATAGGCAACGGGGAATGATTGAGCTCTTAAACGAATAAAGCATGGTTTGATTAATAATTTTTAAATGGAATACATAATTTGACATCCAACAAATAAATAGAGTTAGCAAAATATTCTGTGTTTCCCACCCTAAGCTGACACACATTATCAGGTTGGTTGTCTTGTCTGGCCTATTTTTTCTTTAAAATGCAAAAGACGATTCCATTTTTAATGATTCGCGATAAATTGTGACATTGAGAACTTTTATTTTAAAAACGTTTGTAAACCAAAAATACAAATTAAATAAGTGAACTATTGTTAAATCACCTTTTAAGTTTTAGAAGGTTAAAAAATATTCTAATTATAAATCAAATCAGACCTTATACAAAAATAAAAAAATTGTAGCCACAAAAAAAGTAATGAGTTAATAAGAGACAGAGATTGTTTGGCTCAAGAGACGTCTAGTTGCACACTTGATAGAATATAGATCATTCTAGAATTGAACCATTATAAAAAAGTTGATATCTCTAAAATTGTAAATTGTAGAACACCGCAGTATAAACAATAACCCTGGCCAAGGTCTAATAAAAACGGGTATATAATAAGCGAATCAAGCTTTAAACCCAGGTACAACAATTAATAAAGCTTCTAGTCACGTATAAATTTAGTTCGGCCATTCCTACTATAACATAATATCTTAGATGTTTTTTAAAACGGTCATAAATCCGGATCCCGATGACACTGTCGCAGCACTCTCGTGGCAGAGTGTCGCCATAGTGCCACGACAGTGCCTCGGGAGTGCCTCGAGAGTGCAGCGACAGTGCCATCGGGATCCTGATGTATGACCTTAAAAACTAACGGTAATTATAGTGCTAAATTAAACTGATTATCAAAAAACAATACAAAATGAACACAAATCGTTTAAAGATAGATTAATAATAAATTTTAATCAGCCTATTGCGTGATAACGCCTCATTAAAAATTGAAGAAAGTCACCAAAGTTGAGAACGATATCATTCGTAAATCACAGATTTCAGTGCAAAATTCTAATGAATTCTTTAACATTGGCTACTATTTTCTCATCGTCTTGTTTCTCAAGAAGCCACATAGCTGGAGACACCATATCCTCAAGAACATACAGTTCCTCATCAAGAGAACTAGATCTTGCAATTCCGATCATACACTGGGTCAAATCGATCAAATGGACAGCCTTGTAAGGAGGATCCCTTTCCAAATGTTCAATGATGATGTCGGAGATGAATTTAAAGATCTTAGCAAGATCAGTACTTCCTGGTGAAGCATATCCGACTGTTTTCTCTGAAGCCTGCTTTATGACTCCTTTAAAAAGCTTTTTGTGCTGAGGACACTTCACCATCTCCCATATGAGCTTGAGAAGACCAGCATTAACAGGAGTTACCCGAAACAATGTTTCGGGTACCATGTAGGGCTCAAAATCTGAGAAATCGATATTGTGGGATTTAGGCAGGAGCAGAGCGACTTTAAGTGTTATTTCGATACAGTGTTCCTCTACAATAACTGAAATCTTCAATTTCTTCCATATAACAGGCATTATGTTCCCCAATCTTTCAGGTGTGAGGAAATTTAATTGGTACTCATCAACAATTATGGAAAGAACTTCGACAATAGTTGCCAACATTTTGGGCTTTTTGCTCAGCTTGTATGCATTCAACAGAGAATCAATAACCTTGAACTTTACTTCCATTTGTTCAAGTTGGTTTAAAGTTCCGTTGCGAATGATCAATTTTAGTGTCTTGAATATAGTAGAGGAGAGATTGAAGGATTCGCATTCCATCCCTTGCATCCTAGCACTTTTATCAATCGTCTTAGAAGCAACCAAACGGTTTATGCACATAGAAGGAAAAGAGAGAACTTGTTCCAGCAATTCTACTGCCTGAGAGGCATCTACAATTTTTAGGATATTCTGTGATGTCTTGCTTAGGTAAGATGGATTTCTCTCAGCAAATGCAATCATGGTAGGTATTATTTCATTTTCGGGACTGGAGAAGTAAGGTATAAGTTCGCCGGACTTTGGGTTCACTTTAGCAATACGTCCAATGGTCATAAAACATAAATCAGCATACCGCAATTCAAGTGCTCCAGCCTCAAAAAGTTCCTCGCTCTTTAAAAACTTTTGAATTAAACTCAGCAATGAGATAATGTCTTTCTCTGTCAGGTTGGAGACGTTTGCACGACGAAGCAGCTCTAAAAAGCTTTGTATCACAGCGATTATAAAACAATTCTTCTTTGATGAACAGTTACTTGACGTACAGTTGAGTGGGCCCAAATCATAATCATTGAACAAAACAACTTGTAGCTCCATTATTTTAGAGGTAAGCATGAGCTTCAAGTCTTTATCGTGTGTTTTGCTATGAATATGGACAAAGGTTAGCAGATTAATAGAGTCAGAAAAGAAAAAAGTGAATGTCTCAACCATTTCGACCCCAGCTTTTAATATCTGTTCCAATATGTAGCTGATAATGGGAATTAGTGAACGGACTGTTTTTAGAAGGTCCTGATGTTTCTCAGAACCGACGACTATGAATTGTACGGCCTTCACGAGAAGAGAGATGATACATTCACCTGCATAGGTTCCCTCTTTAGAGTTCCTAGGGAAAGCAATTGTACAACGTACATCCAGAGCAGCTGGGTTGTTTGATAACAGAAGACCAAACAGAACTGATAGTGTCGTTAAGGCCCCACTTTCTATCAAGATTCCTCTTTCTTCAGCAGAGCTCTTTTTGAGAATTTTTAGCAGCAGTTTAACTGTTCCGTGCATTAGATGAGCTTCTTTCCAAAACGGTTTCAACTTTTTAACCACGCTTGGGAACTCAGGAATGCTTTTGGGGCTATCCATGTGGTAAAGTATCTCCAAAACGTACTCAAACTCTCTTTCGCTATAAGCAGCTGCTATCAGGTCTTTCAAATATGACTTATTTTCAGTAACCAGTTTGTTGACAACGACATCCAAATTTTTGGATTGCAACGTCACTAACGCAAACGTGTCAGCCATAAGCCAAAAGACATCTAACTCTCCTGCTTGCCGGCATATGTGGAGGAAGCTTTCTTGATAGCTATTGCCAACACCTAGAAGTCTCACAATTTCTGAAAATTTTAAAAATTACTTTAAAAATATAAATCTATAAAGGAATAAATTTAAGCAAGTCTGGTCACTGGTGAGTGGTGATGTAAAATTGCAAAAACCCAACCTTATTGACCATTTGTACTGGACAACGGTAAGCGGGTAAGAACCCTAGGAACAAAGATGACAAATCTTAATTTAATAGAATAGAGAGAGTACCTGGATCTAGATTTTTATCACCGCTAACTAGCTGCGCACAGAGTTCTGTAGCCTCGCCCTTGTCTGACGTTTTCTTCAACAAAGACAATGTTTTTCTTATCGTTTCCATAATCCGCTAATAGTAGTGGGATTTCAATTAACTTACTCTCGAAATATTGGCTCCATCAATGAACATGACATCAACTTAGTTAACTTGGTATTTGTAAGGCAAGTCAATCAAACAGTTAACACGAATAAACCTGAAACTGTTAATACTTTCAACATTACTATTTAGAAATAATTTGAGAACATGAATATGATCATAGAAACATTAAAACGTTCACTTTCTATCTTTCACTATAAAGGGCACTTTTCATTGTCGTATTTGCATGATTATCAGACATTTTGAACACTCAATATACTACAGAACAGCTACTAATAAATAATTTTCCTATCCGGATATAATAACATTCATTCTCATACATAACGTTATTTCGCCACTTACACGGCCACTCATTCCCCCAGCAACCTCGACTATCCCTCAGTTTTGTGGACTATTGTTGATCATGAAGTATAAACTGTACGTATTAAATGAGTCCAAGTAACACTAAACTAAAAAGTCAATTGTGACTAAGACACATTGAAAATAACATTTATCATAAGACTTACAAGATACATTTTTACTAATCAAAATTTGTCAACAAATTTAAACAAATAACCGCAAAAACGTTCCTCATTCTATATTAATCAATAAATACCCTCATATCAATTTTCGTTCCAGTTCAGGTAAGTAAACATGTACATAGGTAACCCTCTTACATTATTTTTCCTACAATCTACACTTTTCACAGTTAATGCAAAATCTTAATAAATTCTTTAACATTTGCCACTATCTTTTCATCGTGTTGCTTTTCAAGAAGCCACATAGCCGGAGACACCATATCTTCAAGAACATACAGTTCCTCATCAAGACTGCTAGCTCTTGCAATCACAACCATGCATTGGGTCAAATCAGTAAGATATTTTACATTGTAAGGAGGGTTTCGATCTAAATATCCGATGATTATATCTGAGAGATATTTAAAGATTTTAGCGATCCTTATGTTCCCGAAAGCTAAGTATCCTTCGGTTTTGTTAGTGTCATGTTTGCTCCTCAGCTCTTTGATCAATGTTTTGTGGCTATCTGTCCGCACAAAACTCCAGATGATACACAAAGCATCAGTATTCCTTGGCTCTATCTGCCAATCGTGTCGAACATAATTGTTGACAACCGTGAAGATCTCCGCGAAATTATTGGTAAGTTGACACAGAGAATCATTATTCAGCATCAAGAATCCGGTCTTCAATATAACTTTTGTAGCATCTTTAGTCAGTTCCTTTGACTCTTTACTCTTCTTCCAAATAAAAGGAATATGTTTGATTAGCAGATCAGAGGATACAACATTAAGTTGATGTACTTTTAACATACTGTGAAGACATGCCAAGGCCGTGGAAACAATTTGATCAGTGTTGCTCAACTGTATGATCCTAAAAATCGCATCACTTACAGTGTATTCGAGTTCCATTTCTCTAACTTGCGCTAATGTTCCTCTGAACACGACAAAATCTAGGATCTTCAGTATAGTTAATGTTAGAGAGTTAGAAGAGAGAATGGTACTGGCAGGAGGCCGTTTTTCATTTTCCCTGACTTTCTTAAACGTGTCATGTCCATCAATCTCTTTAGTAGTAGTCAAGTGACTGAAGCCACAGTGGATAAACGGAATGAAGTGCTTAACTGTTCTGGATGATGGACTATCCGATAAAAAATCTCGAAGTTTCTTTGCTATCAAGCAAACCACGATTGGGTCGTCCTTGTTGCTTAGTGCAAACTCTATCATCGATAGCAAATAATATTCAATGTCATATTCGCAGTTCTTTTCTAAAAATACTTTCAATGACTGTTCACATTTCAACATCTTATCGAAGATTATGAAACATGCTTCAGCATATGGCAAGCGAACTCTGTAACTGGAAGAATTGTCGTGCTGAATCGCCTGTCGAACATTTAGGGTGTCTTCACGGCAAAGCAGCCCACTGTTGAAGAAGGCAAACATGGTCTTCATCATCACATCTACTTCTGGGGGAGTTTTTGGGACGGGAAATTGTGACATTCTCTTGAAGAAGCATTTCATTAGCTGAAGAAAGGCACTTTCAGAGGTAACAGCCTCTAAACTTACTTTTGGAAATATGACATCTTGTGGAAACTTCTGAAAAATTTCCATCAGACTTACCATTATCTTTGATTTAACGACCAGTTTGAGGTCATTTTTCTGTTCTGTTGTTGAACTTTGCAGAAGTGTGCACAGCAACTTTAAAGTGATGTTAAATAAATTGTCACTCTCAAATTTGTCCACAGATTGACTGCTCTCTTCCAGTATTTGATGGAGCCCATAATTCAGAATCGAAACAATCGGGCGGATAGCTTTTAACGCCTTTCCTTCGTGACAAGGTACTAAAAATAACCCTCTCAACCAAGTCAAAATAAGGGAAGAGTGGGTATCGAGTCTTGGATTAAAATCTAACGTTTTGTGAATACTTATTGAAGACGGATCCTTGGAAAACAGAAAACGCAACAAGAGTGAGACAGCTGTAATTGCATTGTTATCAACCAGAATGTACGTTTTGTGACCAAAGTCGATTTTCCAAAGCTTGCTGACCAACTTTACGGTCATGTGGATTAGTTCCTCGTCTTTCCAGAAAGTTTTAACCTTTTTCAGCAGATCTTGAGTCACAGAACTTATCTTGGGGTTAGCCAGATGATAGAGAATTTCAATGATATATTTAAGATCCCTCAAATTCGTCCCATAAGCAATTAGATTTGTCCAATATGTTGGGCATGAAAGTGGATAATTTTCAACCAATTCGTCAACTTCTAGCTCCATAAGATTAGTATCCTCCCATGTCCGAAGAATCGTCACTACAATCGGCAGAAAGTGAATATTGACTGTATTCGAGCATAGTTGCAAGACTATTTCTCTGTAATCTGTTTGTCCAGATTTCAACAGCGTATCAATCTCTGAAGACAAACGTATTTAGACAAAAAATACAAGTAAGACTAGAAACGTTTACAGACTAAAATAATTGTAGAAAACGTCTGAGACATAAATGAAAACAACATTCCTATTACCTGCTCGTTGGTTATTATTATGCTCTAATGCTCTATTCTGGTTTCGACCAAGATCAGATGTTCAATCTATATTAATAATCCCAAAAAGTGTGTGGGTGTGTGTATGTGTGCGTGAGTGCGTCTGTTTGTAATCTACGAACAGCTTAATCAAGAAAACGGTAATAGTTATGGGACTGGTTTTTTCGGTTAGTGCCGACAAAACTCTGACCAAGCCAAATGATTAAGGTTTTTTAAATCGGTCGGTGTTAAGTGGTTTACCTTACAAGACATATTTATGGCGGCCTAATTTGCGACGACCGAAATTTTGGCGGTCCGAAAATATGGCAAAATTGAACAAAAACCGTCAAATTTCGGACGTCACAGAAAATAAGGGTATTTTTCATCATTTTTTGTGACAGTAAGCAGTAAGGAAATTTCTGAAATTCGGTAAAATCATGTTCAAACTTAGTCTGTATTAAGACTGTAAGACTTTCATGTTAGCACATACATGTATTTTAATGCAAATTTAAACTGTATTGCTTGACATTCAATTCGTCATTGGTGTGGTGATAATTTGTCCCAAGATGCCAGAATTTATTTATTTATTTTACTTGATATTACTTTTTAGAAACAAAATAAAGCAGTGAAGGCACAGTCATTGAAATAAGCTAAAAGATAATGCGACGGATTCTATTACGACGACCGAAATTTTGGCGGTCCGAAAATATGGCGAAATTTTCGGAAAACCGCCACATTTCGTACGTTATAAATATGTCTTGTAAGGTAATTGATCATTTTGTGACCTAAATGTGATACTAAAGTGTCTCCCTCTCTCCCTCTCTCCCTCTCTCCCTCTCTCCCTCTCTCCCTCTCTCCCTCTCTCCCTCTCTCCCTCTCTCCCTCTCTCCCTCTCTCCCTCTCTCCCTCTCTCCCTCTCTCCCTCTCTCCCTCTCTCCCTCTCTCCCTCTCTCCCTCTCTCCCTCTCTCCCTCTCTCCCTCTCTCCCTCTCTCCCTCTCTCCCTCTCTCCCTCTCTCCCTCTCTCCCTCTCTCCCTCTCTCCCTCTCTCCCTCTCTCCCTCTCTCCCTCTCTCCCTCTCTCCCTCTCTCCCTCTCTCCCTCTCTCCCTCTCTCCCTCTCTCCCTCTCTCCCTCTCTCCCTCTCTCCCTCTCTCCCTCTCTCCCTCTCTCCCTCTCTCCCTCTCTCCCTCTCTCCCTCTCTCCCTCTCTCCCTCTCTCCCTCTCTCCCTCTCTCCCTCTCTCCCTCTCTCCCTCTCTCCCGTCATAACATATTTCGTATATATAATTAAGTAATTTGGCAGTGGACGGGTGGACCTCAAGATTGCCTATCAAGTATTACTATAAGATATGTGAGGGGCACACCGAATTAAATTGCGGTCTGTTTGGACTGTGCGATACGAAAATGTAATGCGTGTTTTCGAATATAATAGGCGGGTTATACCTTTGCATTTCAACTGCGATAGTGAAGTCCCGGCCGTATGCACGGGTTACACTATTATTTATAATAATTTGATATGAATGACGTAAGTTATCAAATATAATATTCAAGGTTTGTCTTGTTTTGCCGAACTATGAATGAAATGAAATGAAATGAGGTATTTATATCCCGCTCATATGATTAACCAACAACACAAAGAAGGTGGTTAACCATGTCAGAGCGGCTGACTGTGAGTGATGTGAGCAAATGTGTAAAAGTGAACAAAGTATAACTCAACATGAATTATTGCAAATAGAAGTAGCAGTCTAGTCATGTTTAGTGGGTGACTGCTAGGATTGGACAAATATGGCAGTGGGCCTAGAATAGCTGGGCGATAGATAAGACAGTCTAGACTAGCTCCTGAGCATTAAACGCATACAAAAAGATTTTATAAATTTTAAACCTGCAAGCAGGTCCTGCATTTCCTTCTCAACTTTGGAATCTTTCAGCATTTCGCTTTTTTCAGACTTCACTTTGATAAATTTCGTGTAAAGCCTCTCTAAATCTTTTGCGTTGGTCTCATCTTTTGGCTCATCAAGATCGACGGTGTAAGCTTAAAAGTTATGAATTAAATCTTAATCCAGCATATCTCTGCATTACAATTAATACTAATTGGGCATTTTTCCAGTATTCTACATTTTAAAGACTTCATAATATCAGTGATAATTTTAAAATAGAGATTACCTAATTCCGTCTCGGTACTTTCATCTTTTGACTCTTGTAGACTGAAGTCATGAACGTCACAGGCAATAAAGTACTGATCATCTATTTCTCTATCTGATACATCGATTTCTGTATCAATTTCTCTATATAATATCTCTATTCCTGTCTTATCTATTTGTCCATCTTTCCTTATTTCTATAGCATTTATTTCTGCATCTATCTCTAGTATTTTTCGATACGATGCTTCAGAATCATCAGCGTGCACGTGTAAGCTCTCTAGACTGTACTCTGATATAGCATCATAGCTGGATCCCAACGAATGTCGCGGGGATATTGTGATTGTTTCTTTATCTTCTCTGTTAGGACTTGTCATTGACAGGATCCAATTCTTTATCGCTTTCATTTTCTGGCAGCGAAAACATCGTTATTAAGGCGAAACTTTCCAAGAACGAAACTAGAATATAACAGAAGTTCTTGCGGATTATCAAGACAATGAAACAGTTAACGAAGTTTCAAACAGCTCTGCCACATTGTTGGTATTTTATCTTGAACGATGTTTTATTTATATGTTAAACTCATTTGAGAGAAAAATGCGTGAAATGATATTATGACAAGTTACGATCTACAAAATATGTAAATTTCAGAGGCCTTGGATCAATGTAAAGCAACCGGCGACTTTTATTTTAAGATTTTGTGACCGATAACCCGGTAAAATCGATAACTACAAATACACTATCGAGTTATTGAGCGAAATGTTGGATAAATATACTTTTTACTCCTTCATCAAAATTTTTATCGTTAGAAAAAAAAAATACTTTTTTATATGATGAGAACAGATTGAGTAATTGGATCAAACCTGGTTTAAAATTGCAGAAAACGTACAGAAGTGTGACAGGTTTGTGCCAGATGTTTGGACAGGATATATAAAATATTGTGTATATTGTTTATGAGCATTTTATAGTGGGACAAGGTCACAAATGTTACATTTTCCAATGCTGTTAAATACGTAGCCTAAAAACGATGACATTTTCTGGTAGCCTAACAATCCTATCAAACAAGATACTCAGTAGGATATTTAAAATGGCAGGACTGGGGCTGGTTCTCGTATCCAAGGACGTGAGCCGAGCATGCAATGGGAGTGATACGAGTAACGAGACATACAATCACAAGTACGAGAGTTGATCAGCTGTTAATATACAACCGCACTTCTGGTATATATGGTCAAGTTCGGAGACAACCTGTACATAAAATCAGTCACTAATTACACTCATTTCACTGCCATAAACGGTAAAATTAATTATAATTCCTCTGACAGTCCAAGGGGTACAGGCTCTTCAGATATTATACTCCTAACCTTTCTATAATGATATCTGGGTTCAAAATTTAAATAACTCAACCTTGGTGGAGACAGTGGCCACCTGAAAATTACAAAAATAAAGGAGCTGTAAATCACTTATGAAAAAAAATATTTACTCCAAATTTCACAATTTAAAGTTACGTAAGACAGGTGGGTACTCAAAAAGTGCCGGTTGAGCAGGTTTGTCTGCTCAACACAGGTGGAGCAGCTCACTGACTACATGAGCTAATATAAGTGACTAGAACTAACCCTCTTATGCTTTTTAATTGCTCCAAAGTCCTAATATTTAATATTATGGGTTATACCAAACATATTTCATAGAATAGGATCCTCAGAATCGGCTCAACCGAGGTGGAGACAGCATAACATGCAGTTCAAAATCTGTTATTCTGTAGTTTAGGAGCTGTAGAGTGACTGTGGCAGTCCATTTGCAATACCAATGATTCTAAATCATCTACCAACTCATATTACACGGCATCCTTGCTGAAAAGTACACTCAACATAGGTGGAGACTCAAATTTGGCAAATTTGGGCGTAAATTTGACCTCAGAAGTCAAGGTTCTCCACCGCGGTTGAGTGGTTGATGGCTAGTTTGATGAGTTGTATACATGCTTAAGGGTCACCCAATGTTATTTCTTCCAGAAATCAACTGCCAAAGTTCAACTCAACCCGGTGGGGCCAGTTTTAATGCATTTTTTAATGTTTTAATGTTTAATCAACAATTTCTCCACCTTGTTGAGCACCTTTTCACAACTTTGATAGTTTTTTCATTTGCTAGAACACTTTGCTTTAAGACAGAAGGGGTAACAGTTTTATGATCCCCTACAGTAGCAGTTAACAGAGCAGATTAGAATTAGTGATAAAACCAATGAATTTAGGCATGTTTGACAGGCTTTTTACTGTTTCTTAATGAAAGATCTCCACCCTGTTGAGCGTCAATGGAAAAAAAAATTTAACGGGAAGTAGAAAAGGCCGAGACGCAACTTTCTAGCTAACCTAGAACTCTCTAAACCTTTCTCCACCCCCGGTTGAGCAGCTTTGAAAAGTGCATTTAATTTCTCCACCTCGGTTGAGCACTTGAATAAAATATTGATAACACCATCAGATTGCAAATTTGATGTAGTTTGTGTTACCAATAACCTTTTCCACATTAATCAAAAGTTTCTTCAACCAGAGCCAGTCTCCACCTTAAATCTCCACCTTTTAAGGGTTTGTTTAATACCACCTGTATCTGCTCAACCGTTCAACCTTTTAATTTTATTTTTTTACTCAGAGAAAGTCCTGAAAAATGTCTTGTCAGCCATATAATCAGGGAGTTTCAGTGTGTGTTGAGCTGGCTCCACCACACACTTCTAAAAAAGTAAAAAATGTACAGGTTGTCTCCGAACTTGACCATATACTGAAACGTGAACGTGAAAAGTATCGGTTTCAATTCAACATGCAATTAATTAGTTGACTAGGTAAAATTGACAGGTTCTTAGTTGTCCGTCAGCCGACTCAGGAGCATACTAAGTTGTTAACCAGGGAGTCAGTGTGTGAGTCATGGTAGAGCACAAAGAGGCAGACCGATACAACGCTATTTATATATAATACGTTACTGTCTGCTGACGTTGGGAGAAACTCTAAAGAGGAACTTAGGAGTACGGATCCTGATGCGGGACACAGATATACAGCGTTGATCAGCCTTAGTTTTTACCTAGCAGTAAGAGAACATACTGGTGTTTTTGGGCAGCAGAAGGGAAGGAGGGTATAACTGTGATGTTATACTAGCTGCGTCCCAGTACAAATAATATTGTCTTGTATCTCTAGCATTTTGGGATGGTTGTAGGAGGATGTAGTGTCAACAGAGGTAAGATTCAATTAATCCTGAGGGATACTGATAGAGTTAATTAAATAATTGTAACTTTAATTAATAACTACAATTTCCAATTAGGTAGCTAGGAAATTGAGAATTCGATTATTTTTAGTTGACTGTAATTTAATATAATAATAATAATAATAATAAGTAGGAATTTATACATCGCTTTATAGCCATAAAGAACTCAAAACCCAAAGATTCAGTTCAAACCATCTAAAGCGACTCATGAGTAACATGTACATAAGAACTTATTTTTATGAAGTATGGATTTTATGAGAAAGGTAATACATGATACTTATACAAATACGTTTTCAAAGAGATGAGTTTTTAGTTTCTTTTTAAATAAGACGATATCGGTTAGTGTTCTCAATTGATAAGGAAGCTTATTCCAAACAGAGGGTCCGCAGTAGCTGAAACTTCTCTCGGTTTTACTATAGTTTGAAATAGGAGGAACATTTAGGAGGAAATAGTCTTCTTCAGTTCTTAGTACACGTACAGGTTGACTTTTGATGTCAATACATTTGATGATATACTCCGGCGCTATGTTGTTAACGCATTTGAACACGGTTAGAGCAATCTTATACTCTATTCGTTGTCGTATCGGAAGAAAATGGGCTTTTTTCAGGAATGGAGTGACACTGTCCCATTTTTTGATAGCTTTCCAACCAAACAAGAATCGAACACAGGAATTTTGTACCTTCTGGAGTTTCTTTATTAGAAGATCAGGTAAACCGTATAAGAGTCCATTGCAGTAGTCTAGTTTTGAAAAGATCAAGCAGTGAATGAGCTGTCTTTTTAGATCATAGTTAAGCTTTGAGCCTATAACTCGAAGGTTTCTCAGATGGATGTTGCAGCAACTGATAATTGAATTTATTTGGTCTTCAAATGTTAGGAATTAATCAAATAGGACACATAAACTTTTCACTGTGCGGGATGCATCCACAGGGTCAGCTGCATTGTCAAGTTGTATTGAATCGACTGGACATGAAGAGTAACTGTTCTTGGTCTGTACTACAAGAGCTTCTGTTTTGTTTTGGTTCAGTTTGAGTTTATTTTGGGTCATCCAGGTCTTAATATCTTCAAAACAATTTGTTATTCTCTCTTCGATTGTTGAGAGATCTCGAAATAGTGGGTTAAACTCAATGTACAGTTGAGTGTCATCTGCGTACATGTGGATGTTAAATCCATGTCTCTTTGCGATCTGATTGAGCTCCTTTGTGTAAAGTATAAACAGAATTGGACCTAGAATTGAACCTTGCGGGACTCCAATTCTAAGGAAGCATCTCTTTGATCTTGATTTATCAATAGTTACTGTGAAGGATCTGTTATTAAGGTATGATGTAAACCATTCGAGAACAGTACCTTCAAAACCAAAGTCCTTTTTTAGTTTTTTTAGGAGCAAGTGATGATTTACAGTATCAAAAGCAGCACTGAGGTCCAAAAGGAGGAGGATAACCTTACTTTTCATGTCACTGATACAAAGAAGATCATTGTAGATGGTAAGGGTCGCAGTTTCGCAGCTATGATTTGACCTATAACCACTTTGATGCTCAGCATGAAGATTGTGATAGTCAAGATGTTTGGTCATCTGTTTCTGGACGCTCTTTTCAATGAGTTTCGAGAGGAAAGGTAAGTTACTAATCGGTCTATAGTTGTTGAAGCTATTGACATCTCCTTTATCATCTTTGATGGCTGGTCTGACAAGAGCACTCTTTAGGACTGACGGAAATTTTCCAGTGACAAGTGAGTCATTGATAATAAATGACACAATTGGTTTAACTTCATTAAAACACTGCATTAGAAGTTTTAGAGGGATGGGATCCTCTTCACATTCTTTTTTGTTAAGGTCAGAAAGAATCTTTTTGAGATCATTGTCGCTTATGGTTTCAAATCGGCTCCAGGCTTCACCTTGAAATGGTTCAGAGTGGTCAAGAAGAATGTCAGCTGCAGTATCATTGTTAATGGCAGAGTAAATCTTTTCCACTTTATCATTGAAAAACTCTTTCATCTCCTCACATAGAGTTTCAGCAGGTTTGTTATTAGGCTTCAAGTTTTTAGATATGTCCCGATCCATCAGCTGATTGACTATTTTGTAGGTATCTTTTTTATTGTCCTCACAGCTTTGCAGACGATTTTCATAGTATAGCTGTCTAGTGGTGTTTATAACTGCCTCGGCATGCTTAACAGCTTTTTTATAGTCTAATTTTGAATCTGCAGTTTTAAGTCTCCTGTTGTCACGTTCAGCTTTTCTTCGTTTCCTTCTGGCAGTTTGACATTTTGTGTCCACCCACTTGCTTTGATCAGGATTAATGCTAAAACAGATAAGGGGAGCATGTTTATCAAGAATTCTGCGAAGTTCTTTGTTATAGAGTTCCGTGGCAGAGTTGCAGTCAATAAACTTGTTGGGGTCATTTATGTCAGATAGCAACAGATCCTCCTTAAAAAGATTTATGTCTATATCTGATATCTTTCTGCCCACCATATCTTCTTTGTTGCTTCCTTTGTGGTGAGGAAAGGCAATAGAGAAATTTACGAAGTAGTGATCTGATGTTGTTACTGTTTTAGCTACATCTATATCTTTTATGTTCAACATATCACACGCATTGCTTCTAGTAAGAACAAGGTCTAAGATTCCACCCCCAATGTGTGTTGAACTGGAAATATGCTGGATGAGGCCATAGTTTGATATGAGATGGATAAAATTTATCGTATCAGGATCAGTGAGGTCTTCGACATGGATATTGAAGTCTCCAGCAATGATCAGTCTACCTGGAAGGTGAGTTAGACTGTCAAGATATTCATCAAATTCCCGTAAAAAGTCTGTCATTTTGGACATTTTAGCCGTACAAGATCGATAGACACAGCAGAAACGAAGAAGGTCATTGGAACTTGACTTCAGCACACTCTCAACATGTTCAAAGGATTTATGGGTCTTTGTAGGGCGTTTATTGAAGCTAAGATCTTTCTTAAAGGCAATAGCGACACCACCTCCTCTACCAGCTCTAGATTGGTGAACAATATTATAGCCTAGGTCTTTAATTTCCGCTATTTTTGACGTATCTCCCTTACGTAGCCAAGTTTCTGTCAGGAAACAGGCATTGATATTGGAGTCAGACAGTTGCTCAAATACTTGTGCAGTTTTATTACATAGTGACCTCGTGTTAAACAGTCCGACATTTAGGTTGAGAAGCGTAGTCTTCACATGTTTTTTGAGTACTCTGTTCTTTGTCTAAGACTCTCTTTCTCCAGCATTATTATGGGGCAGTTTTCAGCACCAGAGTGATGGGTGTTACAAGATTCTCTGTATGATTCATAGGTGGAGTGTGAGCAGTTGGTGCATCTGTGACTTCTTCTGACCTCTTTGTAGGGACAAGCCCGTGTTATGTGTGATGCACTACAATACATGCAAATAACATCAGTTTCGTTGCACTGAGATGAAATGTGTCCCAGTTTCTGACATCGGAAGCACTGCTTAAGATCAAATCTATCAACTACTTTACATCTGGAATTTCCTATGTAAATGGACTGATTGTTTAACAGGAAATGCCTTATGTCAGGAGACACTTTAATCCCAACAGTAGTGTAGTCTCTTCCATAATTGACATACACAACTTTAAATGTTCTATCATGCTTAGTCACCAAATCTTTAACATATTGATTCTTTTCCAGAAGCTTCAATTCCATAAAGGTTTTAACCTTTTCTCGAAATTCAGGAACTGATAGATTTTCAGAGACAATGTGGGAGATTAAGTTGTTTGGGATATTCGTAACTGTGACTTTCGGGAACATTTTCTTTGCATCATTAACAGTGATTTTGGACGAAGTTACAGCTGATGAGTTTGCGAGGGCTATTTTCCCATCCTCTCTATCTTTTTCTGAAGGGAAGGAGATAACAATTTTGCCTGTCTTTGGTTTAGGGGTCAAGAAGATCATGGGTATTGTACCAAGGGCTTTACTAGCTAGCTTCCCTGCTTCCTCAAGATTAGTATTACTAGCTTCTACATTGAGGACGATAACATGATTATCAGGAGAATTATTATGGATATTGCCAGAGGGAAGTTTTTGCATAGGAGTTTCCTTCTTGGTTAGTTCTATGTAGTTCTCAGTAGCAGTACTAGTGGAGCTATCTATAGCCGATTCAGGAGACAACGCAGCACTGTAGCTCTTTGAAGATGAAAGAGAACTGGTAGTCTTCATTGGGGAAGCAATTAAAGAACTAGGTGTTTGCAGGGCTAGGGCTGATGCACTACTAGGGATAGATGATGCACTACTAGGGGTGCTGGATCTTCGTGTAAGATTTGGTACTTCTGTGAGCAAAGAATCGAAATCTATGTGTGATTTAAGTTTGATGGAAATAAGTTCTTCTACACTTGACAGTAAACTTACTTTAAAATTGCTCAAAGTTTCAATCAATGCCTTCTCATCTCCATTGCTTGAAGTTGTATCAGTAGTGGTAGTAGTCCCACTTTCAGTGCTAGCCACACTTTCAGTGCTAGCCACACTCTTGGTGCTAGCCACACTCTTGGTGCTGTCCATGCTTGTATTGCAAGTTGAGTCCGCAGTTTTAACAGCAGTTTTTGCAAGGAGAGCTTTCTTACAGTTAGGACATGTCCAGCCAAAGTCACCATATCTTTGAGAATATGTATTACCGTGTTTGTGAATTACTGGCAAAATATTCGTCAGGAAAGTCCGTGAACAAATAGACGTGGGCATAAGTGTGCCAGCCTTATCCTTACAACATGCGTGGAAAACGTCTTTACATATCTGACAAGAAATGGACTCATAGGCCATGTTATCACTTTTACACCGACAACACAGCCCTTTGAGATTAAACTTGGGGACTGTTTTTGGGTTAATGGCACTTTTCTTTAGGGGGGCTTTAGAATCTTTAGAAAAATCTTTAGAAAAATCTTTAGAAAAATCTTTAGAAACATCTTTAGAAACATCTTTAGAAACATCTTTAGAAACATCTTTAATCTTTAGTATAGATTTTTTTATTTTAACAGTACCTTTTTCTGAGGGCTTCTTTATCTTTTTCTCTGCTTCTTCACTGCTGGGCGTTTGGCCTGCAGCCTTGTCATTTTTCATAGCTTTGAGGCTCGGGATCATACCTCAAATTATTTGTTATATAGTAGTGTTGAAAGTATTAAAAAATATATATAGCTCTTGTTTCGGCACTTGTTAATTATTAACATCAACTATTAACGAAATGTGAGTATGCATTGCATCTCAGGAAAAGTCTGAGTAATTTGATCAGGTTAAAATGACATTTTAGGGGGGATAATTAGACATTTTAGGGGATGTTTATTGCGATTAATAAAATAAAACTAATTCCTTGAGCTGCCAAAGCTTTCCAATATTACCATTAGCTGCTAAATATGATGTTTAATAGGCTGGTACTCCATTTTATGGTGCTTGTAGTCTCAAAGCCAGAATCTGATAAAATTACATTTTAGGGGGCGGCCAGGTGACATTTTAGCTTTTTAGGGGAGGGTAGTAATATTGAGTAATGTATAACTTTCCATATCTCCAGTCATATGTACAAAGTTGCTAAAATATGTAAATATCACTATCCTAGACCAAAACTGAGTTAATATTAATGAATTCCAGAGTTATAAAATTGTGCGCTTTTTTGCAAAAGTAAAAAATTCGTACAAAGTGAAAAAATGCCCTTATGGCATCATTTAGATTCAATTTCAGGATGTGGCAGGGTCTGAATGATGTTTTTTTATGTTTAGGAGTTACAAATGATTAGGTAAGATACTTTCTAAGAAGATGGGATCCAATCAATCAAGAGTGGCGTTTTAGGGGTGGGTGACATTTTAGGGGGGGCTTACCCGTAGTTCCAGTATTGTTGTTGCTAGTGAGGTGAAAGCTGCAATTATTTCGGAAGGTAATTTTTATTTTAGGGCTTTAAATGAACGTAGATTCATAATATGTACTGTTTACTATGAGGATTCGGCGCTTTAATCCTTAAAAAATAGACGGAAAATTTGCAAATTGCGAAATTGTTTTAGACCCTGGAGCTGGGCGGTATGTGATGCCTTTGGTAATTGATCGTGTGATGAGTCTTAACACGTGGCTGTCTTGCTACCACACCTGTTGTTAGCTACTAAAGGGTCCCACACTGACATCACAAGTCATGAGTTATAATTAATAATTTATCAACTTAATATTTAAACATTAGGGTCGTTCACATATTACGTAATCAGCCGAGAGGGGAGGGGGGGGGCGGGGGTTTATGAATGATTAAACTATTGTAATTTTGACACAATAGCTATGACGGGTAAAACTGATTGCGGAGGGGGAGGGGGTTAGACATTGGCCAAACGTGATTACGTAATTATATGTGAACGGTCCCATTGAACCTATTTTAATCGACCAGAAATTATCTCTATTAAATTGTCAGCCACACTCTCACTTGGAAGTAATAATTACCATACGTTCGCTCACTGTGCTAGAACTCTAGAACAAGCAATGACTCTACCAGGAGTCAGAACGTTTGTAGAGCTTATTGAGCCGTTAGTAAGATTACCTGTAAACAGTATATCACCTGCAGCTGCCAACTCAGCTTCGCACGTGCATTTAATTGCTCCAACTACTAATTATATTATAGATCATGCAGTAAAGGTGGAGCTTTATAATGAGTTCTGGCCAGTTTAGTATCAGTGTGACGTTTTAGTTTGCGTTGGCAATTTCCATCTTTAGATTTCATCTCCTTTTTGGTTGAATACGTTGACAATTACGTTGATTTAATACGAGAAATTTAATCCGGATTATATCTGATCAAGCGATAAAGCCAAATTGTGTCGTTCTTAAGCCACAGACAAAATAATATGTACCTACAAATTACAATCGAGAGATCTCACACATCTTACGTCGATAACTTTTCTATATTTCAGATCCCTTCACCTTCATATTGCATTTATTAATCCTCCTATTTTTATAAGACACCTATAATACAATCAAATATTTGGTTTTAATAGTGATGGCAATTTTTGGAAACGTTACAGTCAGAAACAATAGTGTCAGTGAAATGTTTAGAGCTGGAAATGATTGGGATGTATTCTTCAACTACTTCTTCGCAGCACTGTTTATCTGTTGTCTCATTATTGGAATAACGCTGTATCCTATTATTATCTGGTATCATTCAACACAGAAGAAATCCCTGCCAACAATCTTGTTCCTACTGATAAGCTCAATCGATTTATTAAAAAGTATCGACTCGCCGATTGCTCTGGTTCCTAAACTTCTGTCGTCAATCAATGATACAAGCTACTACGTAGATATAAATCCAAGTTCCATATCTTGGACATCGTATGCTAACAGTACCTTCTTGATTGCATACGATTTGGAAATCGATTTGTTGATTTTACTTTGTGTTTTACGCTACATCCATATCAAAGACCCTATCGTTTCTGCCAGTAAAAGAAATATTGTTTGTGCTTTTTTCTTTATCGTGGGACTATTAAAGATATCTTCCAGAATAATTGAGGTTCAATGGAGGCCAGTCGCTTACTTTAGGATTTTCGATGGTGTTTCAACAGCAAATGAAACGGTAGCAAGAACATTGCCGTTGATAGGTCTTTCCCTAAACTGTTTACTTCTGCTATTTGGAGGCCTATTCAGCACACTCACGATAATTCATCTCAAAAATGCGGATACTGCATCATCAGAAGTGTCCAGTAGAAACATTGACAAAAGTATTCAAGCTATTGTTGCTATGAACGTTTTCAATGTTTTGATTTTGGTAATAAATGTTAGTTACTCCATTTATTTGAACATATTCAACATAAACTATCCTAGTTCCTTTTGGGACTTTGTTGAGTTTACTAACTATCATGGACTGCCACTTTTACAGTCCTCATTTAATGCTGTCTCATTTCTTCTGATCAGCAGCTCATTCAAGGGTTTTGTCAGAACGTCATTACAATCGAGAAGAGTAAATCATGAAGCAGTCTGAAGTGCAATATTCTGATGTGGAATCAACTTAGAACTGTCATATTGCAGCTGCGGTGCATTAGTGTTAGAAACATTATTAGATAATATTGGCTGACAGTTAAAAGAAAAAAGTTTTAAAAAGTAAAAAAGTAAAACTCAATATATTAATCATTATCGATACAAAAGGAGTCAAAGATTAAACCGTCGTCAAAATGTCGTTGGATTTACAGAAGTGTAAGTATGTCGAGTTTTTTTTAAACTTGACCCTAATACCATTTAAATATTATGTATCCTATAATTGTACTATGTACAATGTACATTGTACTATGTACGGCTTTTAAGAAGTTTACAATTCCCTCCCCCGATAACATATCTCCCAACTTCAGAACACAGGAACTACGTTACTGTACGACAGTGGTAGAAGCAGTGAAGTCAAGGAGAATAGTCATGCCTCCTCTCACCTCGCCCACTAAAACACCCACCAAACCCACCGCTAGGTACATTCTCCACATGTTCTGCATACCATACATTCTCCACATGTTCTGCATACTATACATTCTCCACATGTTCTGCATACTATACATTCTCCACATATTCTGCATACTATACATTCTCCACAATATGTTCTACATACTATACATTCTCCACATATTCTGCATACTATACATTCTCCACATGTTCTGCATACTATACATTCTCCACATGTTCTGCATACTATACATTCTCTAGACATTGCATGTTCTGCGTACTATACATTCTCCACATGTTCTGCGTACTATACATTCTCCACATGTTCATTGTTCTGCATAATATACATTCTCCACATGTTCTACATACTATACATTCTCCACAATATGTTCTGCATACTATACATTCTCCACATGTTCTGCATACTATACATTCTCCACAATATGTTCTGCATACTATACATTCTCCACATGTTCTGCATACTATACATTCTCCACATGTTCTGCATACTATACATTCTCCACATGTTCTGCATACTATACATTCTCCATATGTTCTGCATACTATACATTCTCCACATGTTCTGCATACTATACATTCTCCACATGTTCTGCATACTATACATTCTCCACATGTTCTGCATACTATACATTCTCCACATGTTCTGCATACTATACATTTTCAACATACCATTGACTTGGACGATTGAAAGGTTGATTTTGGGATATTTTTGAATGGATTACAATGAGGAGAAACTGTACAATATTAACTGTTTCAGTTACCTGCCGGTCGTGAACAGTGCCCCAGAACCAGTCGACCTGTCCCGAAATGTCAAACCTGTTGTTCCAGAACCCTTCAAACGACAAGGTTCGTTACTTTGAGATCTTTTACTTTTAAGGGCAGTAACAATAATTAATGATATTTGTACTTTGTACTTTCAGTTACAGCTGCTTATCAAAGCAATCCTTTCTGCTTTTTCTTTAATTGTACGAGAGAGTATGTTGCTAATTACCCACCAAATTAAATCTTAAATCTTGTATCTCGCAGAAAACGAAGAGTCAAAGCCAAAACGAAAGAAGTACGCAAAAGAAAGTTGGCCCGGTCGCAAACAACAAGCTGCCAGCATTGCTCCACTATTATTCTGATATAACATTTGTGTCACTGACAGACATCTTATTATTGACATGATTTATTTATATAACCAGCTTAAAATGCTTTATTACTGCTTGAATTACACGGACATTTTACAATATATCCCAACATATATGTTTGTTCCCGTCTCTTCTTAACTTATTTGACTCCTATTTTGTAAGAGTTGAGCCACTTAAGTGTCTTCAAAGGGCACCCTACTTCAGTTTGCATATCAAAGCTTTGGTAAATTTAGGGGTTGGGTTATATTATTATCTAGGTTATAATATTTTTATTTACTGCGTTGAAAAACTGATATTATTGCTATTATATTAATCGATTGGATAATTTCATTGATATTGAGACAAATTATTCATTAAGTTTTGCGGAGATAAAGGAAACTAATCTTGTTGAATGCTAAACTAATTATAAAACATTATAGAAAATTGAAGGAAATTTCTGAGGTCACACAGAAATACCTAGTAAAGATAAATCTGAATTAAAACATTACATATCGAACATCAATACATTAAAATTATATAATGCATCGTACACCAATTACTTTTAGATTCAAAATCTAACATCCAGGTTCCAACTACCCCCTACGTCCGGTCGTTCACATATTTCGTAATCAGCCGAGGGGGGGGGGGGTGGGTCTTGATTACGGTTTATTACGGAGGGGGAGGGGAGTAAAGATTGCTAAAATATTGATTACGCAATATGTGAACGACCCATTAATGGTTAAAACCACACTTGTAAACCTTTTTAGAGAACCCTAACATAATCAATAGGGCAAAATTAATGATGCCTGGGGAAAACTATTCCCTTAACATCAAAATACGTAGCACAATACGTAGCACAAAATAAAGTATTTTAAGCTGTTCAATAAATATCGTAATAAATATTCTTCTTTCAAAGTTTAAATGCTTTAATTAAATATTATGTAAATACATCGGATGAATCGTGCAACTAGATTGGATTACAAGTAGAATACAACATTTTTAATAGGTATTAAAAATCGTAGCTTTTAATAACAGCCCTATTTTTTCCGTTCCTTACCACGATTTTTACTGGCTAAAACCCCCAAAATTCTGGTATAGTTTGATAGCAGTTCCCATCTTATCTCACAGTTAACTATACTATAATAACAACCTTTAAAGCAAAAACGCTGACAAGGATGAGATCTAATTTTCACAATTTCCATTTAATGCAATATTTTGATAAACTCTTTTACATTTGCCACTATCTTTCATCGTCTTGTTTCTCAAGAAGCCACATTGCTGGAGACACCATATCCTCAAGAACATACAGTTCCTCATCAAGAGAACTAGATCTTGCAATAACAACCATACAGTTGGTTAAATCAATTAAATATTTAGCGTTGTACGGGGGATCTCGAACCAAATACATAATTATCTCATCAGCTAAATGTTTCAGAATTCTGGCAATTTCAGTGTTTCCGAAGTCCAGATATCCAACAGTCTTTTCCAACGCATGTGACTCCATGATGGTGAATGTGTTGATTACTCCTCTGCATTTACCACTCTTCACCATGAACCACATCAGCCCTACAGCAGCTGGCCTATGAGGAACCATACACCAGTGATCCTTCACATGATCGTTTAAGGTGGGTTCAAAATCGGGTAGGTTTTGAAGCTTTTCATACAGAGAATCATAGTTTGGGCTAGACATCAGTGAAAAAGCTAACTTGACTGCAATTTCTCTTGCACAATTTTCAGCTAATCTGTCGAGGCTTTTCCTCTTGAAGATTAGAGGCATCTGATCTACAATGACCTCGGGGGATAAAAGTTTGAAATGATGTTTATCCATCAAGCTGAGGATAATCTGAAATGCATCTCCCACGTGTTCATAATTAGTGGTTAATCCTATTACCCTTAAAATAAACCAAATAAAATCGTATTCAGTTTCTATTTCCTGTAATCGGGAAAGCGTTGAATGCTCGACGATAAAATAGATCACATCCAATGTAGCACAAGGGTAACTCATACTTAATACCATACGAGAACGGCCATTCTCATCATAACACCTGTCCAGGTCCCGGGACCACATGTCGAATTTGTAACCGGAACGTTCATATCCGAGTCGTAAGAAAGGAAGAACAAGATCGACTAGCTCAGGTGAATTGCAATGGTTCACAATTGTTCTCAAAAGAGTTGAAATATCATGTACAGCGTGTTCATGTTTCTCAGCATGAGCTATTAATGATGACACAATGTTTATCTCGGAATTGCAATAATTCTCGAAAAAGACTCCTGCTTTCAAGTCATCTTTATAGACTTTCTCCAGATGCTTGAAACGTTCACCAGGCATGAACGGCAGAGGATTTTTGCGAGCCGTTTTGCTATGGAATTTGAGCGTTTCTCTCTCATAGAATTTCTCACATTTTACTATTTTGAGAAGTGTATTCAGGATGTTGTGTTTCTCCTGAAGAGTCTTCGGTATGATAGCTCTAGAATGCAGCCTTAGGAACCTCTCAACAGTTAGAAAAAACAAACTTGTATCGCAATCATCGTCGTCATCGTCGAATTCAGGTGATTGGAATATTACTTCTGGAGGATATTTCTCAAAAACATCCATCAAGTTAATCATTATCTTAGATTCAATGATCACTTTAAAATTAATCTCGGGATCTTTTTGCTGAAGAAGCATTAAATTGAGAGCTCTCATTATGGTGAGAAGGTAATTATCACTCCCGTATGTTGCTGCTAACTCATTTTTCTCGTAGATACATTTTATTGTCCCGCTCACTATCGGCATAATTGGACGAATTGCTTTAAGCAATTTCTGAACACGAGCCCTTTTACCAAGATTAGCTAACAATGTTTCTAACCACTCCCTTATAAGTGGAAAGGCTTTGTTTTGAGGTGCTGCACAATTTCTTGGGAAATTAATCGTCTTTTCGAATGAATTAGGGTATTTATCAAAGGAGATGCGCATCAGAACAGATAAGTAGTAGGTATTATTAGAGTGAGTTTCCATTTCAAATTCAGGCGTTCTATGGTTGAGGAGTCCATCGTGTAAAAGGAATACCCACAGCTTGGCCACTAACCTCACAGTGCCATGAAGCAACTCTTCATCTTGCCAAAAACCCTTCACCATTTTAAGCAGAGTAGGCATCTCGTCAATGATTCTAAAATTGGCCATGTGGTAAAAAATCTCAACCACGAGTTTCAGATTTGTTACATTTGTTCCGAGAGGAGTAAATTTACTCCAAATAGACTTGTCTATGAAATTAAGTTTACCAGCAAACTTGTTCCTTTTTTCGGGGTTTATTTTACCCCATATACAAAGCAGATCTGCAAGAATTTTTAAAATTCTCAGCATTTTGATTTCTTTCTGTTGGAACATAATTTGAAGCAGTACCTGATCTGTATCATCTGTTGTGAAGAGGTTGAAGATTTCTGAAAAAGATACACAATAATAGATTGCAATGATCAAGATTCTCTATATTATATTCTAATTATGCAGCGGACTTATTTACACTATATTAAAGCTATTGTGCAACACAAGCGAACCTGACATGAGATGATCTCTCTCCTCCCCGTTATCAGTCTCTTCTATAATCTCCACGAATCTTCTTATAAGAGCTACGGCTTCCTTTTTACGCGGGTAACATTTCAGCTCCACCAAAATCTCTCTAACTCTTTCCATTTTCTCTAGTGATGAAATCTGAGTATAATGCGACTGAACTTGATACTAATACTATAGAACTTATTCATTAATTGATATATTTTTATCGATTTGTATAGTATAGTGCTATGTTTACAGTACACTTCAATGTAGATTACTGAACATGAAGGGTATTCTAAGAAGATTCTTGATTTTTTGGCAGGGTCCCTTCTCATTTAACCCTCAATCACGTTTCCGATCATTCGGCTGAGCCGACCGAGGAGAAAGTACACAGATGGAAGGCAGCTGTGTAAGGCAACTGTGAAAGGAACTGTGTGATCGAGCAACCGAGGTAATTTACATTCCTTTCAAGTAGATTTAACTTTTAATGCAATGTCTCCTCCACAAAATATTTTTCGTTTTAAAATTGATCGATGACGTGATTCTGATTATTTGACCATTAAACATTTTCAATAAAACTTCTACAACTACACTTTATAATTGATCTTAACGGATCTTAACTCCACTATATGTGTTAAACGTTAACCGACATTTCGGCACCTGACTACCATGAGCCTTAGATACCTTGGAAATCCAAAATAATTTACTACATTACTGGGCAGCTGTTTGCAATGAGATTATGTAAATGTTGTCTCCCAGTTCCACGTGGAACTGCATCTACCAAAACGACTGTACAACATACCTTATCGGACATAATTGTCACGGATATTACTTTCACGCAGAGGACCTTAGCGTGAATAATTATGTCCGTGAAAATAATGTCTGTGGCATTAAGGTCCGTGAATAATAAAGTCCGGTAATCATTTCCATTAGTTTTAGTGTGTCATGTGCGTCGTCTCTACATATGCGTAGATATTTGTGAAGCCGATTTTATAGTATACTAGAAACTCCGTGGTAACAGGGAGGAAGCTAGTAGTATTCTTTGAAAGACAAATTTAATCGCATCAAAAAATATCCGTCGTACATCCGAAGATACAGCCGATGTAATCGACACTCTAAACACAACGTAATATGACAACAAAATCGATCAAAATATCGCTCACAAATCTTTGCACGTGCATGTGCGTGTTCAACACCGTTACCATGGTAAGTGGTAACTATGCAACTTCTTATTTGTTATCTAATTTGCATGTGGGCGGTCGTACAGACGACAAACGACAAAGAAACGTCATAATCTTTCGAATTATAAGTAAGAGTACTAAAAGGTACTAAAAATGTCACACAAATCTCAAAATTTCAAATATTGTGCTGCAACATCCTGAGTGTTAACTGTGAAGAATGTTTCTGTTAAAACTACTTTTAAATTGGCCCCAAAATGTTACATATAATGATAATATACAATCAGTAATATGTTTAAGTATAATGTAATATGTAATATATCATTTAAAAGTTGAACAAATACGAATTAAATCAAATCAAAATGTTCAACTAACAGCTTCATCAGCTTTTTTTCTTTAAAATATAAAAACGTTTCAACCCGAAACGACTCTAGCTGTAAGGGGATATTTCATTCGACAAATTCCTTGTAAAAGTGAGTGCTCTATAAAATGTATAAGGATTTTGGACAAATGTGTGGCCATTGTAGGAGGATACATTTTGTTCTTATCACATAAAATTTACTAAAGCTTGCTCATCAATTTCCCAGAGCTGCACTTATTTTGATCGCTATTTTTATCCTTATCTTCATTTTTCCACAAAGCTCTGATCAACTTAAGCAACATCGGCTTATCAAATATGATATCACCATTTTTGTACAAAATTTCGATCAGTCTCTTTAAAGCATTGACGTTGATTCCAATAGAGTCAAGTTTACCCCAAAATGCTTCACTTGCATATTGCAGTGTCTCAGTCAACTTCTTCATCGCTTCTGGGTGAGATTTTGCCCAGTCACAAAAGACGTCCACAATAAGTGTTAAGTCAACAGAACCAATACGCCGCAGAATCTTTAGCACTTTCACCAATTCGTTAGGATTATCCAAAAGCATGTACATTTCTGAAAAAAAATAACAATAACAGGATGGTCCAAAACCTTCTATTTTAAAATTTGTTTGCGAAAAGGATACATCTTGAAAAGTTTTTAAATGATTATAAACGTAAATCGTGACCGGGCTTTGGGATCACCCTGAGCAGTGTGTCAAACTTAAATAATTTAATTAATGAATTATGAATCATTTTCAGTAGCAACTGCAGCTTCGATCTAGAATTGGACTATGATTTTTAACATTTATTAAAGTTGAACCCAACAAAAATAAACCTGACATCAGGACTTCCATTGCATTACGCACTGTTTCGATTATCCTTTTCCCTTCCTTATTCTTTCTGTCATTCAGAGAAGACAGGATATCTGCGACATTCTCCATGCTCCCTAACAGTGAAACCGAATCTAGAAACTGACTGATGTTAGATTATTAATTATAATACAAACTGAACAACTTTGGCAAGATATTTAAACAATTATTAACAGAATTTGAGATTGTTATATTAAGATAATTATAATTTGGAACACTTTACTGGATAAACATGCTATGACCACGTCAAGTTTTGTTGCAATATGACGAATAAAGCACAGCCGTCATAGAACAAAGATACAAGGACACACTGCCACGTTCAGAGAGTAAAAACGAGCTACAATGGTAGAGAGCTACAAAGGTAGAGAGCTACACAGGTAGAGAGAGAGAGCTATAATATATTGTTAAATTTGATCCTTCGAACAGCTGTTGAGCAATGAAACGCAAACATACTTAGCAAAATAGCTATAATATATGTATGAATAATAATAATAATATATGTATGAAATGAATAATCAATAAATGTTTTTGCCATGAAACGGACCAAACTGATCCTAACTCATATTCATTATGAAATGAATAATATGTAATGATCTGTTTTGGGTGTGTTCCCATCTTTCCTTACCATGTCACTGAATCAAAACATATTCCCCTCAAATTTGTGTTTCTTTAGAAAACAACCAATATTATACGTAGATAAGAACATCACTGATAAGGCAATTGGTTTCAGTTTACTAAAGTAAGGTAAGTAAGTTTATCAGTTTACCACGTACGGGACATAATGTAGAAAATAGAGTACTAATCATTGTGTAGACTTGTGTAGTCTTGTGTAGACTTGTGTAGACTTGTGTAGTCTTGTGTAGACTTGTGTAGACTTGTGTAGTCTTGTGTAGACTTGTGTAGACTTGTGTAGTCTTCAAGTCTTGTGTAGTCTTGTGTAGTCTTGTGTAGACTTGTGAATTCTTGTGTAGACTTGTGTAGTCTTGTTCAGACTTGTGTAGACTTGTGTAGACTTGTGTAGACTTGTGTTGTCTTGTGTAGACTTTTGTAGACTTGTGTAGACTTGTGTAGACTTGTGTAGTCTTGTGTAGACTTGTGTAGTCTTGTGTCGTCTTGTGTAGACTTGTGTAGTCTTGTGTAGACTTGTGTAGACTTGTGTAGACTTGTGTAGACTTGTGTAGTTTTTTGTAGACTTGTGTAGACTTGTGTAGTCTTGTGTAGACTTGTGTAGACTTGTGTAGTCTTGTGTAGTCTTGTGTAGTCTTGTGTAGACTTGTGTAGTCTTGTGTAGACTTGTGTAGACTTGTGTAGTCTTGTGTAGTCTTGTGTAGACTTGTGTAGTCTTGTGTAGACTTGTGTAGTCTTGTGTAGACTTGTGTAGTCTTGTGTAGTCTCGTGTATTCTTGTGTATTCTTGTGTAGACTTGTGTAGACTTGTGTAGACTTGTGTAGACTTGAGTGAAGGGTATTAAAGGAAATGTAATTAACGTCCAGACCCTCTAACACAGGGCTATATATTTCATATAGTCTGCATTAGAGTGTAGTGCGTTTCCTGGATAGACTATTTCACATTGCACTGTGTAGTGTATATTAAACCACTGTTACTACACTGACCTGTAAAAGAGTGAGTTAACACAGTTACATCATCATTTGTTTTTTACTTACACGTGCAGTGCACTTATATTATTATACGTAGAGAAAGTGTTTGCCAATAACGATAACAGTGTATTGTAAACAGCTGGCACGTTATAAATAACATCACAATATATAATTACATGTTATTCAATGTTGCCTAGATACAGTACTTGCTTACACGTGTATATAATAACTAGACTCGAGTGACGTTGTGGCTATTATGTTATCAGGATGATTTAAACGGTCACGTGACCCTTATAGCCCGACTAAACTACTATTTACTGAGGTATATTAGGATTTAAGAAGATTTAAACTGTCACGTGTTCAGTGCTCACATAAGACACGTATGATATCTTCTATTGAACATAACCGAAAATTCATTACATATCAACATTTTTCTTTTGAAATTCGAGTGTTAAATAAGTACACACTTCATCGTATAAAACGTACATTGAATACACTAAATACAGTACATTAAATACATTGAATACATTGGATATATTGGATACATTGAATACATTACACTATACACATTAAACAGTATGTAATAACGTTTAGGTTTATAATCTGATTGAATCAGTAGTCAGCCCGTTGTACACGAAGTAAAAATAGCAACAACTACATTGAATATATTGCCTGCCGCGGGCCGCCTTGCTGCACTGCTATGCTGCACTGCTTGCTGCACTGCAGAATGTTTCCAGTTTTGAGCAGCTTGCAATACCAATTACAGCTGCACGCGGTCACACGTTAGTTTGACTGTCACTTCTCAGCGCCTCTGCACTGTGCGCTGTGTGCGCTGTGTGTGCAGTAAATATACGGCACAGCTACAGGGTATTACGTGTAACAATTTATTAGCAAAGTGTGAGACTGGCCTATGTTGGAGCGTATAAAACGGTTTATGTCAAGATCATTATTCTTATTCAATATGTATTTACATTAAAATACATAATATTTCATACATATTCAACTTTCAAGTGTATTGTATGTAAATGTTTATTTTATACATATTCTCATGTATTATTATACATGCATTATACATGTTGTGTATTGTATCCACCTGGATGTACAGACAAGGAGCTCAAACGAGGTTATTGTCAGCAGTATCCTTGCTTATTATACCGTATAAGGACAAATTGGGAGCGGTTAATGAGCTAAGCTCTTTACCTGCAGAGTTAGTGTGCAATAGCACCCTACGCGCGTGGGGTGGACTCCTGGGGTGGACTTTTATTCAGCGCGTATTTTGTAGCCTGTTCAACTTGACGTTTTGATTCGTTACTATCTCAATGTCACAGATACACAGAATGTGAGGTGATCATCTTAAAGAGAAACGTCTCAGCTTTCACCTGGTGTAAAGTTTATCTTTGTACTCAAAATATAGCTCGCTCAGTGTGCAATAGAAGTTGACAATACAATAACCACGTCTGCGACCGGTCGTCAGATACCGGAGTGTTGCACAAAATTGGGTCCCTAAATTAAAATTCTATGACACAGTTACCATGCAGAAATGTCTAGGGAAACATTTGGTGAAAGTTTCAACTCTCTACTATAAAAATAGCGATAGTTATTGAAGATAAACCGTGAGAAACTCCCTCTTGTCGAGATCAACGCTCTAGGAACCTCCCTTCTGTACCACGTGACAACGATTTGAGCGTCACGTGGCCGTCACGTGACAAAAGTGCGCGCATCGGATGGAGCAGTCTCGTGGGAAATCCTGATTGCCTGATCGATCTCGTGGGAAATCCTGATTGCTACGGAAAGGGCTGACAACCACAGTTATTTCCCTTCCTCAATTTTCCAGTTCACTTGCTCAGTGCTGTCAGTTGTTTTTTGTTTGCCCTGCTATATAAACTTCACTCCGTCATAATCCCCTACTCTCCTATCCAATGAACTGTTTCTGTTACAGCTGCCATTCTGTTGACTGGACCCTAACTTAGTCTTATCATTTTCACTTGATAACTTTATCCGTGTGCACTTTCTCGAAACTCAACTTATCTTTGTCAAGACTCAGCTAATCTCAGAACTAAATGTTGCCTTAACAGACTTACTTGTCACTGCACTGGGCCCTCCTTTAAATGCAAATATCATATGAGCAGCTGATCGATTTATTGCTTGAACTGTGCATCCTTTTTAAAAATAAATAAGGTCAATTTTACTATCGTGAAACTTAGTCACTGAAGACAACGCAATCTGGCTGTGCCGGTTCCCCTCTGCCTAGATCACTTAGAATATCCATAGTTAGCAATACTTTTATCGTTTAATGCAGCGATATAGCCAGTTATCAATGCTACATAGTAGATTTTAGCCTGTTCCAATCATCCTTATATCGCGTTAATGGAATTTATGAAATTGCCTACCGTTCAAATCGCTCTCTGTTGTTAGCACCACACTGATTAACTACGATGTTCCAATTTTTTAGAATTATGTCCGACATAATTCTAATTTTTGCTGTTACAGCAGATAGTTATGGTGTAATGGCACGCAGGAATAAGTCATCCCTGTCCTCCAAAAAGCCCATGAAAAGGTATTTGGTAAGCTATGTCTTTTCCAATATCAAATCCAATGTATCACAATCTGTGGACTTTCTACTCAAAAACTAGATTGATTAATTGATAATTCATTGCTGATTGTTCACGCGCCCTGTATGGAAGTATATAAATGGTAATCCGCATACTCCAGGAAGAATTGAAGCAATCTCAAAAGAAAAGAAGGGAATCTGGATCCTTCGTCGGATCGTCAAAGAGCTTAGAGGGGAGCTCTACGCTTCACTGGCCATGCAAAGCAGGGAGAGTGACGGAGGCGGAGGCACTGCTGGCTGCTGGAACGGACATTAACAAGCTGGACAGAACGCAGTTTAACCCTTTCATGGACGCGATCAACTCAGGTAAATCATTCGACCGACTTAACAATATGGGTTTATTGGTAATAGTAGCAAGAGGTTTTAGTCATGCGTTTGATTACAGCACAGTGTGAAACCCTGAAGCATACGTCGAGCTCTAAACTCTGTTTTGTCTAATAATCAATTATTTGAATATTGAAGGATTAAATTTGGTAACTTGATGATCACACAATTAACAGGACAGGTCGACTGTGCTAGATGGCTGCTGAGGCAAGACGGTTTAAAGCTTCAGACCGAGATATGGTCGTTTTGTAGGGAGAGGGTGCTAGAGTCATTGCTAACAGCTTAACAGAAGGTAAAATCCTGAACTTTTGTTCATTGATTAAAAATCACCATTCAGACATACAATCGTTCAGATGTAAAAATTATTTATTCACTATTTTGGATTACATTTAGTTACAGGACTAACATGCGACATCCGTCGTTGACCTTTGTCTTTAATTCAACAAGGTAGGGAGAGCGATCCATGGCTGTCCCGATAGACCCACTCAGACTCCTGCCGGAAGATACTCCTCCGGTTGATCCAGATGAGACAGTTCTAGCAGATGATCAGTTACAGACTGAAGAACATATCCCACAGATCAATGCGTCAACATCTGCAAATGAAGGTACTTCAATCTGCTCTTCTTGTATATGTCTTTGTGCCTGCGTCTGTGATTGTACTGAAGTGTACTCTGTGTGTTTGTGTCTGTGTCTGTCTTTGTATCGTGTGTGTGTCTCTGATTGTACTGCGTGTGTCTGTAATTGTAATGTAGTGCACTGAAGTGAACTATGTGTGTTTATGTGTGTGTGTCTGTGTGTGTCTGTGTGTGTCTGTGTGTACTGTGTCTGTCTGTGTGTCCGTCTGTGTCTGTGTGTGTCTGTGTTTATGCCTGTGTCTGTGTGTCTATGTCTGTATGTGTTTGTGGGTGTGTGTCTGTGTGTCCTTGTCTGTGTGTAACTGTGTCTGTCTGTGTGTCTGTCTGTGTGTCCGTCTGTGTCTGTGTTTATGCCTGTATGCATGTATGTCTGTGTCTCTGTGTGTGTGTGTCTATGTCTGTATGTGTTTGTGGGTGTGTGTATCTGTCTGTGTGTGTGTGTGTGTGTGTGTGTGTGTGTGTGTGTGTGTGTGTGTGTGTGTGTGTGTGTGTGTGTGTGTGTGTGTGTGTGTGTGTGTGTGTGTGTGTGTGTGTGTGTGTGTGTGTGTGTGTGTGTTCTTTCATAGAAGTTGTTATTTCCAAGATACGAAGTTCGAAAAGCTAGCATTTAGTAATAGACGAATTTTGCAGCTGATATCAGAATCGACATGATGATGGTACTACACGAGATGCTCATGGAAAAGGTCTCCGTTTGCTTTCCTCCTCCCACGAGCAGTACAAAGTGTGGGTTCAACTTTAATCTGATAGAAGATATCGTATGCGGAACCCAAGCCCGGCCATGTCTGTACATAATAACGAAAGAAACCGGTAAGTTTCTAATCATGTAAATGTTCGGCCGAACGTTTGCATTCATTTTAGACTAGTGACGAAAATCAACAATCGTTTGCCAGTTTGGTTTGCAAAATCGACAAAAAATAGTCCATTCCCCATGGCCATGATATTAGAATTCTGCCCGTTGAAATCGGCCACTCTGATTTTTATCATTGAACTTCACATTGATGACATGTTCATTCTCTACAGGTTATGCTGCGAGGGCGTTTACCTCGATAGATGTTGAAAATGCCCACAGCATTATAAATCATTTGGACCGCCGAGGGGTCCAAAACTCCTCAATCGAAGAGCTTAGTAGACATGCCAGCAACCTACAGAGACTTCAAATTCTCAGGAAACCTCTCTAGGACGGTAATACATTAACTTGTTTAGTTAATAAATTTAATAAGTAGATTTTGAGTGATGATTACTGAATACAGATATCGAGCCTCGAGGTACCATAAAAAGGGTATATAAACTTATCACTTATGCTTATATGCTTATACTATCAATGAATATCAAATCGCCTTCTCTAGTTATCAAACCCAACATAAGTTAAATCTCTGCCTACAAGGACTATTTGATATTTACAACAGACCGAGTGAATGTCTCAATCTTTTCAGGAAGCTTTATACTCCGACATCCACAATTTACCACGCCCCTGAGATCGACAAAGGTCTTTCTGATAGATTGACTTCCAGCCAATTCGATCTATCGAAGCCGAGTGGGAAGAACAAAGAACTGAAACCCCATGGTCGCAACGATGCTCCTCGCGGACAAGGGAGAGTTAGGGCCATCGGTGGTCACAAGACTGGATAATATTTATTTTTTAAGCGTTGAGGTTGTCACGAAAGCGTACTGTAACGGGACTATCAGATTTGAGTGATTTGATTTTGTGATTTGCAGTTCACGTGATTTTATTGTGATTTTAGACTGTAAAAACTATAAAGGTTCAAGTTGAACTATCGTCGCCATGATTATGTATTTTGGAACTGTTCACGTTGAAATTGCTTCGTTAATCAGCAGTCTTCCTTGGTTACTTTCTACTGTGTAATGCAGCTACGATCAACGATACTTAGCTAGTACATTCATAGTAACACTAACTGCACTGAGAAGAGTAAAAAATTTGAGCTTTGACGGAATAACATTTCCTTGTTTTTAGATACGGTTACTACTCTAGTGAGGGGTTCATAGCTGATCATTAAGGTCTTACTCACAATAATTTGTGCTCTGATATTGGCCGTACTGACGGCTGTTGAAAAAGCCACTCCGTCAGATGCGCGCCGCAAGAGTCCACCCCTGTAGACCCCACTACGTACAAAATTTGAAATTTTCCCAAAAACTTCTGATTAAGCTAGTTTGTTTTCAATAACTTTTGCAATATTTACAGTAGACCCTTCAAATTTTCACCAAATGTTACTCCAGACATTTCTGCATGGTAACTGTGTCATAGAATTTTAATTTAGGGACCCAATTTTGTGCAACACTCCGGTATCTGACGACCGGTCGCAGACGTGGTTATTGTATTGTCAACTTCTATTGCACACTGAGCGAGCTATATTTTGAGTACAAAGATAAACTTTACACCAGGTGAAAGCTGAGACGTTTCTCTTTAAGATGATCACCTCACATTCTGTGTATCTGTGACATTGAGATAGTAACGAATCAAAACGTCAAGTTGAACAGGCTACAAAATACGCGCTGAATAAAAGTCCACCCCAGGAGTCCACCCCACGCGCGTAGGGTGAATAGTGAGATGCTGACTGTTTGGTGCCCGCTCTTCTTGATTTTATACGGAGGTAAAATGTTTAAAGAATTAAATTATTTAATTTATTCATATGGCTGGCTTTTAACTGTAAACTTGTAGGGTTCCCAGTGTAGTACTAGTAGATTGTAGAAGGGTGTAGAAAGTTTTGTCAGTTTTTTGACAGATTTGTTAAGTTTTAAACTTAAAACAGTTAGGCGTAAAGTCATAATATCATTTTATCAGATTCATGTATGACATAATATATGATATCATATACTATGTATAAAATGCCTTAATTTCTGGAACTTTTTGAACATAACTTTACATTTCCATAATTTGATAAAAAGCAAGAAATAAAACAGTTAATTTGTAACAATATTAAATGAGAAACTATTTACAGGAGTTGATCATTTGGGATGAAGTGCACTGTTTACTTATAAAGTAACACTCACTAACAAATATAAAAATAAAAAACACATTTCTCAACGAAACTCTCTAAGGCTTCACACCTAAAATCACATGTGATTCTGGGAAAGGAAACAAGTTTGCTGATTTCCAACTCACTTGACATTACAGCTGGCCAAACTCAAAGAACCCATATATTTTCTTAAGAACACCCACAATAATCCAAACTTGGAAACTGCTCAAGAATACTCCATTATATCTGTTAAGTGTTAAGTGCTAACATCCTAAATATAGAAACATCTCAGAAGTAATACCACAATCGAAACACTTGTTAAATCTTCATGCCCAACAAAAATTAACTAAACATAGGAGCTGTTATAATAGATCAACGAAACAATAATTAAGGCTACTGACAGAGGCGACATTAAATGCAGCATAATGTTACATAATTAAGATAATTATATGCACAATTAGGATAATTAAGCAAAATACAGTCAAAACTCTATTTACCTTCCAATCGCTATTTACCTTGTCTCCATTTATCGGACCTATTTTCTTTACCAACAGTACTTGATCATGTTAAAATCATTTTATATCCAACCTCTCATTACCGTTAATTACCGTACATCTCAATTTACATGGCATTTTTACCTCCTCCGAAAGACATGGGAAATAAAGATTTGACTGTATGCAAAAATACCACATTTAACGTTCGCCCCAAAAATTAAGCTAATCAAAAGATGGGTTCTCTGCACATTGGACATCTCCACCTGTTCTCACATTCACTCGTCATCCAGGCCTCCGTGCAGCTGTGATGGAAGGTATGTGAGCATGGTAAACTATTCACTGTTACTCCACCTCTGAACACGTCCAGACATATTGCGCACTCTGCCGAGTGCTGCGCGCCTGTTGGGAAGCAGCCGCAGCACTCGCTGGGAGACACGCACGTGCCCCAACATGATCCGTAGTCCCAGGTTGGCAGTCCGGACATCAGCTCAGAAACACACTTGTGAAGCCACTTCTCGTCCGGCACCTCACTGACGCGCGTTGTGTACAACGGCCACGTGATGGGGTCAAAGTGGACAAGGTGCTCCACAGTTGGCATGAAGTCCAAGAAAGGCAGCTGCAGGTCCTGATGATGTGTAATAAGTCCAAGTTTGTATTTACGGTCCAGATAAGTGAGCACTAAAATACCGATCACAACAGTGGTGAAGACCAAGAGAGGGTATCTGGCAAGTAGGAGGACGTCGTGCCGCAAAACAGCAGCTGTTTCAGTGTTCATCAGTCGTCTGTAATACGACATAAAACTAGTCAACAATGGTTTTAGTTGTGAGATCTGGAAAACACTGACAAGAGGAAGCCACACGGAGCATAACAAGAAGTTCCCTTTAGCCATAAACCACAGCGTCCTGAAGACACGACGAGCCAGATTACCATTGGAGAGAAATATTTCAAAAATGCAGCTGTAATTGATAAACATGAGGGCGAGTATAAAGAGGTCGTTGCTGGTCGGAGTCAGAGTTGTGAGGAAGAGTTTTAACGCTTTGTGCTGAAATTGTTCGCCTTTTCTGGACCCGTAGATATGTGTGAACTCGGGTGTTTTAATCATGATGACTGATTTGGATTTGTCGCTGGGGGTCCGTAAGTGGCGGTCTTTGCAGGACTTAGAGTTGTCCATAACTGCGAATGAGACCTGAAAGAGTATTGTGAGTAATACCTCAGTACCAGAGTATTGTGGTGAGAGTGGGAAGAGTATTGTGTAATTGTGAGTAATACCTCAAGAGTATTGTGGTGAGAGTGGGAAGAGTGTAATGTACAACACCTCCTAACATTTCAACAAGCAATGGATAGTGTTACAAATGTCAATGTTAATTACATCACACTGAGATTCTGAGAAGCAAGACTTACTTTTCCAATAAACTGAACAGCGAGAGCGGAGAAAAAGGCGGGAATGAGGCTTCTGATCCGGCACCCATTATCACTGTGGTGTAGAACTTTCACGGGGTCCTTATCCGACTCCCATCTGTCGTAGGAGGGCTTGTTTTTAATCTTTGTAACTGACTCCTCCAACTTAGAGTAGAACCAACCGATCATGCTCTTCTCTGTAGATGGGCCCTGAGGATGACAGTGTATTGAGTATTACTGACGAGTATTAGCTGATCTATTTTTAGACTCGTACAGTACACACAGCTCTCCGCTCGAGTTTTAAATTGTACTCAACGTTACATGTGATAGTGTAATAAATGTTAGTACATACCATTGTGATATTGCAAGTATGTGAGATATTAAGTGACATTAATTGCGCTGAAACCCAATACGGGTTTATCACGTAATTTATAGACACAGTAGACTCAACATGTAATTAGATTGAGCTACAGTTTACACACACATTGAGATATGGTATTACAATGAGGAACAATGAGGAATGAAAATATTGTGATCGAGTTTGGAGCCACGCCAAGGATTGCAGGCCTGAGGCTACGAAAACAAATATGTAGCAACTTTGCCGGATATATCAAACAGACTGTGATTCTCAGCTTTAATGAAATTTAGCGTTTAGTACACGCACACAATGTAGTGAATGTGATAAAAATTAGTCACAACAATGAGAGGTGTACAATATGTCAGCCAGAGTTAGCAGTGTGAATTAACTGCTAATTTAACAGCAATTGTACCTGATAAACTTCAATCTTAGGGCCTCTTTCATCTTTAGCAGGCATGGCCAGTATCATGGCGGGAACTATCTTCCAGCCTTGTCGCAGACACCACGAATTGTGCCGGGGGCAGTAAAATGTCCCAGTTTGGATACCAATTCGGCTCAGTCTGTTTGCTACGACGTTCCACAGCGGGTAGTTTGGGAAGGGTTTGTGTCCATGGGGCACCACACGGACAGCCCATACTGTGGACTTAGAGTCTTCCACCTGATAATAGTAGTAGGTTATTTTAACAAACTTGACATCTTGCCTAGTGGAATGATTCTCATTGCATAATTTATCACCATCATTGTGATAGCAATTATATTCATTTTGACATTATGAAAACTCTTGTAAATTATATTTGCCACATTACGTATCCTCAATGAATTTTAGTTTTTTTCAACTGACCTCCTCCAAGAAGTGTCGCTCGGAAGTGAAAGTTAAGGGAGTCTTCAAAGGAAGCGGTCTGCATCAACACCTCACTCTCCTCTGTACTTAGCCCTCCACTATTCTCCACCGCTTCAACCAGCTCAGGTTTTCTCTATTAGGTCATCATGCGGTATCCCCCGCGCTTCTAACAACCGCTGAAGTTCTTTGATACTGAAAAATGTGTGTTATGAGACTGATGGTATTTACAAATAATGTGATTCATTATAATCAAACAAACTTAAACAAAGCCAACAGAAACATGACACCAAGCTCTTATCTGAACATTTTGTTTTTTCTCTGTCTCTTAAATTAGAGCAGCATGAAATCTGAAGATTAGCAGTTTAATACCTGAGAGCAAGGGGATCGACAAGCTGTAAAGGAAGACGTTCCGCTTCAAGCCAGGTAAGCCATTCACAGAATCGTATGCACAAGACAAGTAGGAAAACACAAAGTACCAAGAGAGCTACACGAAGTAGCATAATACACTTGGAACTTCTTTAGGTGCCTTTTCCTCTGCCAGACCAGCTGCCGTCCCCAACTGACTACTAGCTAATAGAGGATATTATTTAGAAAATCATTGTGTTTTATTATTAAAGAAGTGAGTTTAAAAAGATACAATTTTCAAAAGGCACAAAAAAATGACCCAGTTAAAATTAAGTTGAAGAATGATTAAAAAAAAAGCACTAGCTCTTCTTGCTACGAGAAAAGTGCATCTTCGAGAAAACGCACCTTCGAATTTGCTTCAAATTAAATCAAATAGTGTAATACTACCATGTATACTACAATGTAGATGATCTGAAGGGGTGCCCTAAGTAATGGTAAGCAAACTCATTAATTTGCTCAACCAAAGCTCCCATTTGAGGACAAAAATGAAATTAGTTCAGGAAAATTAAAGAAATGGAGAAAAAATTAATTGTTTATAAATTTAAAAACGTTTTCAAAAACGAAATCTAAAAAATTAACTCTGGTTTCAACTCGATCAAGTTTATAACATTATTATACATCAGATTATGAGTTTGTAACACTCAATCACAGTTTTCCTATCATTCGGCTGCGTCGACTGATGAGACATTACACAGTTGTGTAACTTCACATAGATCCAACGGATCCTTAGCTATCTCCCTAGACTACGTGACAACCAGCAACAGTTACACAATCATCATCACACGTCATCATAAATATTTCTAGAAAATTAACAGATGGTGTAAACATCCAGCAACTTGTTACAACATGTGACTAATCAAACTTCCCACTACATACTATGCAGGTTTATGAAACATTTCTCAGCCGCGTGGAGATAAAACCTCAAATATTCGTTGAGTTAGCTCTTGACATAATTGGTTCCTCCAATCTTGTTAATACTAAACATGACACGATTCATAATTGGCATTCATTGAATTCTTCAAGAAAAACCATGTGACTTCAAAGGAAAAGAAAATAGCAAGTAAACAGACTCAATTCCTTTTTTCAATAAAACTCTATCGTCGGCATAACTAATAAATATGCTAAAGAGAGTACATGAAAATGGAATAAACAAAGACTTGAAACAATATCACGACGCCTAGATGCCTGTTTATTAAAATATGAAGACAAATTTATCCCCATGATTACTAAAAGATACAATTGGCGATAAAGAGAATACTTTCCAAGTGTAATAAATTGAAAATGATAGAAGTTATAACGCTCGATTATATATTTTGTAAAATACTCTTCTGTGTGTTGATGAAATAATGCGCGGCGTATTGAAATGGATTTCGATCGTGGACGTTACATATTTCAGAAAATAGTTATCAGTTACGCTTTTAATGAAATTGATATTCAGCCTTTATATGCAATACTAATATGAAATGCAATTCTATCCGTTCTATCCGTTCTGCGTTCGTTTGAATTTATTTCACTTTTTTTAAAGTCTATGAAATATTTCAAATCAACAAATTCACCGAAAAGTAATCAATTCATAATTTTTAAGTGTTAATGAAAAACATTTGAATGGAAAATGAATCTGTTTTACCGGAACAATTTCTAAACGCCAAATGTTGGAGTAGTTCGCAGGTTCGCTGTTTATTAGTTTTATGATTGAAATACTGATAGACTTTCTAAATAGATTTTCAAATTTGAAATTCTTCGCTCGGCTTTGTAGGTTTACAACCTACCAGGATGCGCGCCGAGTTGGACTCGTCGACGGTCCAATCATACGGTCCAATAACAATTTATGCGTTTAGGGGCTGGAGTACGCGTGTTTACAGATTAATGAATTTTTGCATTGTAAATATTTAAAGTTGACGATATATTATGATTTAATAGTAAATTTTTCAAAGCTGGCTTTGGACTTAGGTAAAATAATAACGTATTTATTTAAAAGAAAAAACCACGGATAGTTTTAAATTTATATAGTCGTATAACTATAATCAAGTTAATCCTGTTTTCAAGAATGCGCGGCTTTGGCGGCCAGTTATTGACTTGTACATAAAATTGAATTTTAAATAGAAATGTGAATGTATTAAAATTTAAAACTTTCAAAACGGAGGCTTATAAATATTATTATACTATGATTGTAAAATAAAGGATAAAATTTTAAATTTGTTTCACTAAAAATTTGTTTCACTAATATATGGAACAGTTATTTTACGAGTATCACCCGTTAGGAAAGAAAAATTAGGAAAGAAAAATTTTTATTTACCACAAAACAATCAATACATAATGTTATATTCATAAATAAATTCAAATTTCAATTTCAAACAGATATACAGTACGCCGCGCACACAGCGACAATTTTCAATTGTTCAGAAATTCGTAGGTCAGCTGTAGGCGCCGCGCACAGGATCCATTTAATTGCTATCTTACAATTACATGTCGCATTTCTTAATTACTAGAGCCAAAATTTCAGAAGCAAAATAATTTAAAACATATTTCTGTCGTTCACGCAGTACAGGCCGTGAGCACTGCGATCTAATTAATAGATCGAATAATAATATTGGAGAAATTCCAAATATTAATTATCGTTAACGCTCGTCTTTGCAACACATTGATATGGACATTCGATAAAGTAAAAGTAAGGTAAAGTAAAAATTATGACATGACATCATCACTAATGTCTACAAAGTATCATTTTGTACATTGTAGCGCGATGCACTACTGGGTCGCGCCGCGCATCAAATAATTCTTCTCTGCAACGTCAAACGTATGCAGATCGGCGAAATGCGAAGGATTGACATCGTGAATCAAAGTATCATCACACTACATGGAAAAGTAACTATTTCTCCATCAAATTTAAAGGTAATAATTTATCAAATATTAATCATGAATAAAAACAACATTAAAAAATTTAATTTATTCATACTTCCCAGTGGAGTAAAGATTTATAAAACGTTTTTTTGCTACATAAGGATGGAACCACAGATAATCATTGTGTTTTTCCTTATTACTGATATAACTGGTACCTTCAATTCTTGTTAAAACTTCTTTCGAAACATTCCAAAAATGAAAGTCATTTACAATACATTTAAAAATCATATTCTTTATAAATCATTTTTCGATGATGTAATATTTTTAATTTACGGGTTTCACATTAACTTTGGGCTACTGCAAGCGCAGGGGCTAACTCTGATTTGGGTTAAAGTAAGGTTCCACTCGTTAAGAGTTCAAAATATTAAAAATTGAAGGACGTCGCTGCTTGAGTGAGTGCTTCTGTTCGACGCGCCGCGCGCATTATTAATTATTATCAATCATGCTTGCTTCGGTTCTGCAGGCTTCGAAAAGGAAAATATTCGACGAAATCTTAGCTGAGCAACAAGCTGCCAACAGTTGTTATTGTCAATCAGTATATTAAAAAATAAATTGTAAATAAAATCGTTTTGGTACACGCAGCTTGTCACTAATAAAGTTTAAATTTTTGAACATTAAATAAAGCCAGACCAGGCTTATAAATAAATTACATGGATCGATGACATGTTGCATGTGCAATGTGTAAATTTGAAATTGTATTTATTCGCCATAAAATTAACGCCGCGCAAAAATACTTGCGCCCTCAAAAGTTTTGTGATCGTATCATTGTGCATTGTGTTTATTTTGATTTGAATTGGCCATTGTTAATGGTCTGGCCCGGCGCGCGCTACTTCGTAGCTCTTGCCCGATGTATAACTATGTTCTAGAGTAATCCACGTAATTTTGCTATCGGGTGGTTCTTATTTTTATTGAAACGTTGTTGAAGCGCTCCTGCGCTCTGCATCAACATCTGTTCTTTTCTTATTTGGAGTGATATGATGTCTCCTGTTAATGACCATCGGGTCCTCTTTCTTACGTAGATATTTGGGATCAATTTCCTTGAGGAATATATAGGCTACCCTTCTTTTATCCGAATGCAAATAAGCTTGGTGTGCCTTTGAGGTCTGTTGACAGCGAGAAAGACCGTGGAGTGGTCTTTTAACAGTGCTTTTAGATTTAAAGACCACGTGAGAAAGTGCATTGCTAAAGCTAATAGAACCATTGTCTGGCTTACAAGAAATATTATATCGAGGGAAACAAGCGTTATGCTGGGCCTGTATAAGTCACTGGTAAAGCCTCATATAGAGTATTGTTCGCAGGCATCGGCTCCGATGGCAAGGCATGGAAACTGGTCACTGATCCTTGAATCGGAAGGTGTTCAAAGATCATTCACCCGTATGATCGATGGATTGGGCTCATGACCTTCAGAGAGAGACTGGATAACTTGAAGCTCACAACCTTGCTTGAACTTAGGGTCCGTGGGGATCTCATCGGGATGTTCAAGATCCAGGAAGGCTTTGTGGATTCCGATTTATTTGGTCGTGCTGGTAGGACTGTCTCTGCTAGGTCAAAGCCACACAGATTTACCACAAATTAGACCGACTTCTTTGCCCAAAGGGTCTTGCGCTACCGCCACTTGTGAAAGCTAGTGAGTCTGTTACTGGATTCAAAAGGGGATTAGATGCCTTTCGGCTTCATGGATATCAGGCAAATAAGCTTGACCACTACTGGGAATTGTCATATGACATCTTTGATAGGATAGATGTGTCTGTGTCTAATAGGAATAGTTATGTAAGTTATATGAAAGAGAATCCATTGGTAGCTAAGAGGATGAAGGTTAATATCAAAGGTATTTAGTTGAATTTTTTTAAAAGTTTGCAATTATATGGTTTCAAACGTAAATTGTTAATTTTCTGTGAATTTCTTTTTTTGAGATGCCCAGAGAGGCATAATTTATAATGTTATGTTATGTTAGGTGTCAGGTTAAAAGCAGAAGAGGAAGTTTATTTTGGCTTTAACCTTATTCTGTCTTGTGAAACTCATGATCGTTGATTGAAAATAGATAGTGTCAAGAATAAATGATTGTCAACAGTACTTTCTTAAACGATATGACTTAGATGAGCTTTTCGTCATTTCGCAACATGATTTTAATTGTTGGCAGTATTAATGGTATGATCATTCTTAAATAACTTACTGCCCCGATTCCATTATATGAGCTACATGACAGGTGACATGTTAGTTGTATTACCTGCATGCAAATTTCCGGCCAAAGAAAGGGCAGTTTTGACCTGTACTGTTCAAGATAATGTATATTATTGCAGGAAGTAAGTTAGTTTAAAGTCCTCAATGAATGTCCAGACCGAGATAAATGAACTCATCAGCCACTTTTGCTCTTCAAAACTGTTTGTATTGAATTAAGTTTTTAAAAATTTAAAAAGTTAACTTCCAAAACTTTCTAAACAATTAAATTATTCTCCATATCTCTACTATAATTCAGAGAATTGTTTTTGTTGTCTGTACGACCGCCCACGTGCAAATTAGATGAAAAATAGGAATTTAGGTAACAACCAAAAAGTTCCATAGCAACGGTGTTTTAATGCACACATGCACGTGCAAAGATTTTTTAAACGTCATTTTGATCGGTTTTGTGGTAATTACGTTGTGTTTAAAGTGTTTTATATTTAAATCGGCTGTATCTTCGGTTGAGATGGATATTTTTTGATGCGATTAAAACTTTCTTTCAAAGAATACTACTAGCTTCGTCCCTGTTACCACGGGCTTTCTAGTCTTACATAAAGTTAATAGTTAATAGTACTATATTTACAGTAGATTTACTGAAGGGGTATCCTAAGAAGATTCTCGATCTTTTAGCAGGTACCCCTCCTCTTTTAACCCTCAATCAAGTTTTTTATCATTCGGCTGAGTCGACCGAGGAGATTGCATAGATCCAATGGATCCTTAGATACTCCCTAGACTAGGTAACACTGGGACATTATACTAAACAAGTTTTATTTTGCCCACAAAAAATCGGCTTTTCTAAGGAAAATTATTGAGTTTGCTGGCCATGTTTTACGATTTATTAATAAACTAATTTCTTGCAAGAAATCGCTCAATAAAATATTGTATTATTATTATGGTATAATTATAAGTTCAATCCAGCATTTAACTGTTATGATTTGCTATTGAAATAAATTAAAATATAAATTTCGCAACACGAATTCGATAAAATATTCAAGAAGTTTGATTTTTGGTGCTTACAGGATGCTCCTTTATAATTATATATTGTTTTAATACTTTCAACACTACTATATAACAAATAATTTGAGGACCCCTAGTGGGAATTAACACCTCAATCAAATGTAGCAACCATTACAGGTTGTATGTCGATGTAAATGGTTGTTGCATGATAGTTTATTTAAAGACATCCTAAAGACTATCAGACATCGTTTTTAAGAGCTGTTAACTCCCATCTATCACCTATCACCCATCTATCACCTAAAGAATATCAGACACCACTCATTCCCATCTTCTGAATTGCTGCAAAGGTACTGTAATCAACAACTAAATAACTATAAACAGTAGCATCGGTTTTAGACTCTATCCTGAATTCTTTGCATTATTGTGTTTATTTGAACTATGTCCGGTATCCCAGTCAGAAATTACAGCCTTCGTGACAGACCTAACAGTGCAAAAGCAAAATGTTCTACCTGTGTATCACTAAGTCTTGAAAACGACAATTTGAGGAGACAAATTGCTCGTCTAACCAAACTTACCCAAGGCTCAGGCCATGACAAAATTGCGGTTCCATTCTCTTGCGGGGACAATGTTCTTATCTCTGAACATGAATCAGAAACTCAAAACTGTGAAGTTAGCAGTGTGACTGAACTTAATAGCAACCCATCTCTTGTGAATTCTTCTGATGTTAACAAACAATCTTCAACCAGTGTTAACGTTGTGGGTAAGTCCATCAATCCATATCATGATTTGAGTCGAGGTGTATTCAGGTTTGTTGATACTCTCAAGTTGGATATGGAAACACAATACACACAAACGTTCAACAATAGGGCTGTAGCATACTATGGGGATTTCCCATATGCCTACAATGGAGGCTTCCATAACACAAGGCCGTTAAATGACAATCCCTTATTAAAGTCTATTTTAGAACGTTTACGCTCACAGTTCCCAAGTCTGAAATTTAACAGCGCCATGATCACCAAGTACGAAAATGGCAAGCAAGGAATACCATTCCATTCAGATGATGAGAGGTCCATATCACCAGGCTCCATGATTTCCACCATATCGTTAGGAGCAACAAGAGTCCTCAGTTTTAGGTCTAAAAGCAAAGTCCACGTTGCCAATCTTACTCTCTCCCATGGCGACATAATGATTATGACCAGAAAATCTCAGGACAGCTTTGAACACAGCCTTATTCAGGACCATACTGATGACATGAGAATTAGCATTACTCTGCGCCAGATTGATGGCAGTGCAACCTTGTCTGCTCCACCCGATACCTCAAGTAAGCCTTTCGTTACTGTAAGAGAAACTGAACCCTCAATCAAAGGGAAATCATCACCCAACAAAATCACTCATAAGAGCACCGTACCCCCTGCTTCAGTCAAAAGCAAATCCCTTGCTGTGTATGTTAGCTCAAGCATGTTCTCCAAGTTAGATGCTACAAAACTATCCTCTGCTCATCAAGAAGCACATGTATTTCACTATCCTGGTGGCATTGCAAACGGTATCAATGAACGCTTCCACTCAGATGAAAGAAAGAGGTCAATTGATGCAAATAATGTGAAGACCATCGTACTCATGTGTGGAACTAATGATGTGGACTTAATCCTAGAGAGTCCTCGACACATGAGGAATAGATTATTGTCACCCGATGAGTTCACAGGAAAAGCAAAGGCCCTTGATAACACCAATCGCTCTATTGATAATCTGATCCAGTCACTTCACTTGTGGGCTCCAGCTGCAAAAATTAAGATCATAAACATTTTACCAAGAGAAAGTTTTGCTAGAAATAAAGTGATAAATGACATCAATATCTTTTTATCTAAGATTCCTTCCAAATACTCGTTTGTTAGCTTTATACCCACAGAGATGAATCGATTTTTGTTTAGTGATAGATCTGGATTTAGGAAATCATCTTGTTTTAGTAGATTTGGGGAAGACAATGTGCATCTAAACAGCGATGGTATCTTTAAACTAGCAAAGCACATCAAGTACCATGCCCACCATTGAAATCGACATGACATTTCCACCTGAATATTTATTTTGATTTCAAGTTTAAAACTTTTCTATTGAAAATATTTACAGGCGGATAATTTTCACCTGATTTTAGTTTAATCAGACACAACGACTAACACGTTTTGTGAAATGACAAATATTCACAACTCAGCTGACAAATTTCATAACCTTTGCATTGGTCACTGTAACATTCAAGGTGGTCTCCTAAATTTAGCTAAAAGTAATGAACTTACTCAACTCATTCGAGATCATAAGCTAGACATACTTTCCCTAAATGAGATGAATCTTAATGATACTATTGACACAGACACCATAAATATTCCTTCCTCCTTCAACATTATGCGATGCGACAGGCCAAACAGTTCTAGGGGTGGTTGTGGCTTAATGATAAACAAAAAACTAGCTTACACAGAATTAGTCAATGAAACAAGAAATTTTTTCAATGAAACAAGAAATTTAATTTTAGCACATTTTACAGAATAAAAAGATGTAAAACAATTCATAAAATATAATGCCCATTTGGTGTATGACTTTTTGTCCTTGACTGCTAGTTTGGTTTTGGAAGGACAGGTAACTAACGGGGCAAGGAATGCGCGTGCCTGAAAGCTTTTGCACACACCAAAACGCTAGTTCAGTTAGGTTTTTAGAGACAGGGCTCATTTTAGGACTAGAAGAAATTTGTTAGTAGACATTAGGGGTTCTGTTTATAGTTGTTACTATAGGTTGCAGTCTTGTTGTGACAAAAAGTCTACACTAAAACATGCTTTAGTTTATATTGTGTGGTTCAAGGATATAAAATGTGGCTTCAAGGTGGATATTAAAGAGCTTGCGAAAGATTATGGCCTTTGTATCAATGGTTATAATAAGCTATAAATATCTTAAACTATACAGTGCTAATTAAAAATTTCTTTATACTTCATTCTCAGATTAGATTTAAAAATTCAAAAAATATACATTTATTTTATTAATACCTTCTCACACATTCTTTACTCACAGGACAAGACTTGGAAAACAGTAGCCTAGAGGAATTTAATTGAGATGTGTGTGAACAGCCAGTTATAATGTTTGGAAAATAATATTTGTGCAGTCAAAATCTTTTACGGTCCAATCAAGCAGGGCGTGGTTATGCTGATTGGCTAATAGCGCACTTTTAAGTTTTCCTCGCAAGCACATTACACTAGTAGTAAAGTCAGTCATTCTGAACTTTGGGGTTAAAATGTTAAAAATTTTGGTTGACCTAGTGTTGTGGTTGTCAGGTGGGTCTACCTGACAGATAAGAAGGCAGGGTTTCCTCGACGAACATGTGTAACCCTCATATAGGGATATTGGAGCACGGAATTTCATTATCTTGTAGAGCTCGAGGTAACTGTGGTATGTATAGAGATTTTGTATAGCTAGAATATTATTATGCTTGAATATCGGTTTGGTGTGTTCTTTTATGAAAAATTTTTGGTCAAGTTTCTGGTGTCCTATAGGCCTAGTACGTGCACAAGTCTTAAACTTATCAAGGTACGCCAGCCTATCACCAAATAGTACGGATTTGGTGTTATGGATAGTAAGCTTGATAACATTGAAGCATTATGGGTGAAGCTTAAGAATAGCAAGATCAATGTTTGCTGCTTCTATCGCTCTGGAAATTATTGCAGTGTTGATAACTTTATTGAGTACATTCATTTTTGCATGAAAAAATTGAACGGAAAAAAGGTTATCTGGATTGGGGATATAAACATTGACCAGAATAATATCTCATCCACCCAGTACAAAAAATTAGATATGACCTTGAGATGTTACAATCTAGTTCAAACCATTCAAGGGATAACTAGAGTTGCTAAACGTGGAGACAATTTTACCCAGACTACTATTGATGTAATATTCACTAACTGTTATGCAGATTTTGTTCAATCTTCTGTTCTTGATGAACGTATTGGGGATCATCAAGCTATTATGTGTGAGATAGATTGTCAAGTACCTATAGCTCCTAAATTTGAAAAGGTTGAAATTAGAAATCATTGTAAACGTAATGTTAAACAATTCTTAGACTATCTAGATACCTGTTCTGATTACAGTCCACTATTGGAAAGTACAGATGTTGAAGCTATCACTGCTGGCCTTTGTCATCATATTGAACAGGCATATGCAACCTGCTTCCCTTGCAAGACCATAGAAAGGCATGAAAAGTTCATACATAAACCTTCTACTGAACTTTTAAATGCCATTAATCATACACATTTTCTTCTAAAGAAATTCCGTAAAAAGAAGGATAAGAGGGACAATGGAAATTGCAATAAATGTGGTATATGTAGCAAATGTATAAAGTGTAATGAGGCCTGGGATTGCTACAAGATTCAGAGAAATATTAGAAATAAATTAGCTAAAACCTGCAAAAAGGCTAATGTAATCGATGATCTACAAGTTAAAAGTGCCAAGAATGATCTTAAAGGGGTATGGAAAACTATCAAACTGGCATCAAATATGACCCCTGGTACAACTAATTGTCAAACTATCAATGAGAATGATCCTGAGCTATTTAACTTTCATTTTGCAAATGTTGGATCAAGATTACAAAATCAGGCCCCCAATATTGAAAGAGTTAGTTTTACTGATTTTTTACCTCCTAGAACTTCTAACATCTCATTTGATAGATTCCAAGAAATAAATGAAACTGATATCCTAATGTATGTCGAAACACTCAAGAATGACAAGGCCTCATATGACGATGTGCCTCTATTTTTACTTAAGCAAGCTGTACCACACATAGTTGAGCCACTGACCCATATTGTCAATTTGAGCCTTAATACAGGTGTTGTACCAACCCTTTGTAAAAAAGCTAGAGTAACTCCCATCCATAAGGCAGGAATGAAAGATGATCCTAATAATTACAGGCCAATATCCATCCTTCCACTTGTAGGAAAACTTATAGAATACTTTGTCGGCAAGCAACTCACCGATTACATGGAAGAGAACAAACTTTTCATCCGGCATCAATATGGCTTTCGGAAAAATCACTCCACAACTTATTTGATGTACGATCTGATGGACGAAATATATATGAGTAAATCTAAGTCTTATAAACCAGGAATCATCTTTCTTGATCTTAAGAAGGCCTTTGACACAGTGAATCATGAAATATTGCTTCAAAAATTGGCATATTATGGAATTGGTGGCATTGCTTTAACCTGGTTTAAGAACTTCTTATCTTGTAGATATCAATGCACAAGGATCAATGGCAAAATAAGCTCATTTTTAGAAGTTCTGAGTGGTGTACCACAAGGAAGCATCATTGGGCCTATATTATTTAGTATCTTCATAAATGACATCATTTATGCCTGTAACCTATCTAAGCCCTTTCTATTTGCAGATGATGGTGCACTATTCTTTGATCAAACCTGCAGAAGCACATTTATAAACATGAAAATAGAACTTATGACAATCTTTAAATGGCTCAGTGTAAATAAATTATCACTCAATGAAACGAAGACTGAATTCCTATTGTTTGATTCTGTTGATCAACATGATGAATTAACCATTGAATGTAATGAGGTAACTTTCACAATCAAGGAGTGCAAAGAGACAAAATATCTTGGCCTCATTCTAGATAGTAAATTAAACTTCAAAAGCCATGTAGATTATATTATTAAGAAGGTCATGAAGAGAATTGGTGCCATGTATAGAAGTAAAGCACTGCTACCCATTAAATATAGGAAAATGTTTGCCAATGCACTCATGTTGCCACAATTCGATTATTTAGACACGATCTATTGTAGAGCTGGCAAGACAAAACTTGCTGAACTTGACACTCTGTACAAAAAGGTAGCCAAAATAGCTCTCAACGTTCCACAAACAGAGAGCAGCCTTAATGTTTATAGAGACATGAAATGGTTACCACTCCATCTTAGACGACAACTCCATCTGTCAAATTATATGTTTAGAATCATCCATGACAATTGTCCTACAAACTTTATGAACAAATTTAGTTACATATCAGGAGGTAGTAGGAGCGGCGAAAGCTGCAACCTATATGTTAATAGATCAACATCACATAAAAACTTTCAATACTTGGGGGCAAAATGTTGGAATAATGTTCCAACAGATCTACGAAATCTGCCCGATGTTAAAAGCTTAAGTGATTCGTATAAGAAACAGCTACTCTCATCTATAACAACAGACCCTAATTATACCGTCGACAATTCATATGACAAATTTTACACTGCAATCATAGTCGACGATAACTAAGTATCTTCTAATTCTTTTAAATCTGAGGCATATATAATTGATGTATCGAAAGGATTTTCCCTTTTTTTACCTTTTTTTGATTGATTTTGCACATGACTGACATGTTTTAACTGGAGGAAGGGTTCGCACAGTGGTAGTTTTATAAACCACTTTTAATTTATTGACCTATTATACCTAGTGGTAGTTTTATAGACCACATTTAATTTATTTACTTATTATACTTAGTATTTATTTTTGGTGACTGTATCACCCAGTTTTAACATTTGATAATTGTACAGTTTATTAACGACACATTGACTGAATGTTATTTTATATTCTAATTTATATTCTAGATATTTTATTTATTTTTCAACAGACGACAACTTCCTGTTTTTTCTTCTATATTAGTTACTCATATCTCTTTTACAGACTTTTTTACAAGGACATTGACAGATGATACTCACATTAGGCATTCATTATTGCATCTAAATTATTTCACTTGCATTAGGTTTAGAAATTTATTCTCTGGTTAACAGATTTCAAATGTTTAATTAATTTGTAGTTTGACAGTAAGGTATATATATATAAGAAGTTATTTAATTTTGCTTGGGCTATTATATTGACTATTGAGGTTTAATGATGATATGGAATTTGAATTCTATATAAATTTACACTATGTGGTTGGGGCATTTTGCATAGTAAATATGGTTACTACTCCTATATATCATATTATTTGATTGGTATTCGATTTCTGATTATTTCTCTAGGAATATGATTATTATATCTCAATTTGGCTTTAGGTAGGGTGCCCCGCTAAAAGAACTGGATTCTTCCAGGAAGCATCCCGTGCACAGACCTTGGTCTACATATATATTAAATTATTAACCATTCATTCTGTATGTGCACGAAAATTTATTTCAATCAAATTGAGAATTTTATACAGTAGTCTATAGACCAATTAAATTATTTTGCTGGTCACGTGTATGGTTAAGAGTTTTATGACATTGAATGAATCTATTTATTACGAGTATTAAGGACTGCTAGTATATTTTATTTATTTGTTTTCACTTCTGCACGTTTAGGCAGTTGCTCTTGTGACCAGAGTTTTAGAGTTATATATATATATATATATATATATATATATCCTTTATAATTTAAGAATAATGTTCTTATGTTGGGGCAACCCAATTTATCAAATATCGGTTCATAGTTGAATCAGTTATTGCACACAAAACTAATAACAGTTTTATTTTAGCTAGCAATGTGTGATATCATCGAAAAACCATCATCTGTGTGTCTACCAGCTTTATCTAACTTCACCTTCGGGAGCAAGGAGCCCCAGTATGAGAAAGATCCTTCTGTGTCCGCCAGGTAAGACTTTTTTTGAAGATATTATAATTAACCAAGCAAAGCACCAGATAATAAGTTTTAATAGAAAGGACACACTGGGCCCAAATTTACCTATCAATCCAACCAAAATGTTAAGTCTTATAAACAAGCTTAAGTCAGGTTCTTGTGATTGGGTTTATAGCCGGCTAGCGTCCTGGTCGAGGGAACCACTGGCTGTATTATAAACCAGCACTCTACAATGCACTGTGGAAAAATTTGACAAATTTTTTCAATTAGCTGGCTTGAAGGTAGACTTAACCGAACCGACTTTCGATAGAAATATTTCAAAGACTGCTGGATGTTTAAAAATACGGTACATTTATAGTTGAATTACGAATTAAAATATCGCGTTAGAACTTGTCTTTCCAAAAACTGTGCTTACATGAGAAAGATGCAACTAAGTAGATGTGAATGCAAATGACTGCTGTAATCTTAAGTAAGCTCTGCCATCAAAATGTGAATCAATATCTTTGATGTTTAATGTGGCCGAAGTAACACTGAACCAATAGGCTGGGGATACAGTGGTTGTGAGATTTACGCCATAAATCTACATAAATATTGAGAGGGGGTTCCAACCTCAATTTGCTTCATCGGTTGCCAAAAAAGGCAAAGCTGGGATGAGGCAAATTGAGGTTGGAACCCCCCCTATTCTCCTATTGAAAGTCACGTCGACAGTAGTCACCAGCTTGCCACATTGTTATATACACGATCACGGATTTGTAGTCATTATTATGTAGTAATTTACTTCAGTCGATTATGTGCACAATATTACACTATTGCAATTGGTATTAGATAAAGAATAGACCTGTCATTTAACTTAACATAATTCAAGCAATGAATATTGAACACCAACTTTAACATAGTTTCAACCTACTGTCCTCTTCAACTATTTACAGAATGTTTAGTTCCTTAATCTTTAAAAACAGTTCCATATCAGCCCGTAAATACTGATCAACTTTCTCATCATTCTCCACCGTCAGATGTTTCTTCCAAGTGCCCACTTTTCCCTCCCTTAGGAAGTGTTTCTTATCATCTCTCATTGCACTCTTCCCAAGAAAACTGGGACACCCTGGCACATAGTTCAGATCTCTCTTCTTCATTTGTGAAAACTTAGAGTTCTCCACAACTTCTCTGACGAGATCGTCTGATATATCCTGGTCCAGGAACTTGAGGACGCTCTTCATGGTTGTGAAGCAGTCTCTAGTGAGGTCCTCGTATGTGACTATGTGGAGAGACGGTACTTGGTCCTGGAAACACCAGTCTCTGATGGAACTGCACCAGTCACCGAACTGTGTCTTTCCTGGGATTTGTAGTTAAGAGTGAGACTTGGGCCATTGAATTGTGATTGGAATCTTATCTTTGTGTTTGGAAAAAGTTTAGCAGTACCCTAACTGTCCACCACTAGATTTAGGGCCTCTTGGATACTGCCAAGTTTTGTTTCTCAATCTTGATTAAAACATACCGACCAATAATCCTTATTCCTTAATATTGCAGTGTCAAGGATCAAGATTGTCGAATTAAACCTGTTTGATCATCTATTTAAAAACTGGCGTATAACTATAAAAGCCTTCTCCTCACCGGTGCAGAACAAGTTGACCATTGCGTTAAGATCCTCACTGTACTCATCAATCTTGAACAGGGTCATATGATGCTGGAAGGAGACAACCACATCTTTAGGATTCCTGACCAAATAGATAACTTTACATTTCCTAACATCGTCTGGCAGCAAGTGTAATGGCAGATGCTCTTTGAATATTCGGGGAGATTTCAGAGAGTCAATGTAAGGAGTTGGGTATGCACTGTACATGGGAACTTCTGCCTTCAGGAGATCCATCAGCATGCTCTTCATCCAGGTGGACCCTGGGAAAATGGGTGAAATATTCTTCTAGATAATGAGATTATATCAGGAGTTTAAATAATTCCTTTGAAGGGAATATGAAAGCAAATAAATTCATCAACCTAAAGTCCTTACATCTTCAATCTTCATGATCGTGCATTTTAATTTCAAAGGAAACTATGTGAAACCACATGTGAAAGTATTTATTATAAACCTGATTTTGGGAAGCTAGCTACGAAAACATCCTCAGTCTGTATCTTTCTCTGCCGTATGTCAACTATTTTATCCTGATCTAGGAATGCTGGCAGTACCACTCCATCTTCTGATCTGGTGTGCCAGTATGGGATATCCACTGTCTTGATGGCATGTCGACTCTTGTGCAGCATCGTGAACTGAGAACTGAACTCTGGAAAGTAGTGACAGCCACTGTGATCTCTTTATAAATAGGAGCTCTTAAATTTGGTGCGTAAATTGGATTGTCTGTACAAACTGCTGATCACTACAGCTCATCAAAATAATCAAATTAAGAGTGGGCCAAGGTTGGATGAAAATTATGTTGGAATTATAAAAGCCTTGATTCGTAATATATCACGCCCTGAAATTAGTTCGTTGTCACTGTCAGGAACTGTTTGATTACATTGCAGGATTGTTAATCTAAGTTTGAACTCTGTTTTAATTTCATATTTTGTATTGCCGCTGTAGGTTTACTCCAATCAAATCAGCTGTAACCACTGTATTGCAGGATACGCCAGTAAATTAACCTTATCCATCTGTTCAGGTTCAAGAGGCTGAGGAGCGAGTTTGGAATGTGGGGAATGCGTCAGACGAGTGAAGCGTTGCTGCTGCTCCACGAACACAAGCTACCCCACGTGCTGCTCTTACAACTCGGCACTGCTTTCTTCAAACTTCCTGGTCAGTTGAACTTCATTCATTTTTCTCCTACATTCCCTACATTCAGGGTTTGGGGACATTAGCTTATATTTTCGTGCGCATGAAAAGTAAAACAATATATCTTCTGCTCATGATCTGAGAATTGAGACAAACAGTTAACATAGTTTTTGTTTTGACAACGCTCAAAATTAAGCGAAAAATGCTGTCGTTTTAATGTGTAATTCTAGCACTGTATCCCTTTTCCCCCTAAAATACTCCTTAAACACCTGAAACGTAATAAACATAGGGCAGAAGTGAGCAAACTGTTTGTGATGCGTATTGAGCAAAAGAGTTCTTATCAAGATATTTATTATTGACAATACCTCTCCCAGGCGGTGAAGTGAGACCAGGACAAGACCCCAGAGAGTCCCTGAAGGAGACACTAGATAATCTACTTTGTAAAGAGACAGAGAGCGAATCTCCTACCATAGATTGGAAGGTTACTGATGTGATATCTCAGTGGTGGAGACCTAGTTTTGAGCCACCCCAGTACCCTTACATTCCACCCCATGTCTCGTGTCCTAAAGAATGTCGTACCATCTACCTAGTAGATCTGCCCGAAAGTGCCACATTCGCTGTACCCCGCAACTACCGCCTAGTTGCCGCCCCACTGTTCGAGCTGTACGATAACTCTACTAGCTATGGACCTGTTATCTCCAGCTTGCCTCAACTTATTAGTAGATACAATCCTATCTACTTGTAGATACAATCCTATCTACTTGTAGATCCAATCTACTTTTAGAATGCAGATTGTAGGTGTAGAGTATTGAAGCGTTTTAACTTCAGACGTAAAGAACTTTTTAATTTGTACGGTTTTTAAATCGTGCTGCGAGTCAATAAAGCTAACCATTGTAATTATTATGTCAGATTTTACCATTGGATGTGTGTCTTAAACTTTGGGTTCCCATTTATTTTTAAGTACTACTTTTTTGTTATGTTTTTGTAAATACATATGAATTTATTATTTGTACATACTTTTGATGTTAGTAAATTTTTAATTAATTTTATTGCAGTTATTTTTGTTTTGCATAATGATGTCTCATCGGATTGTTAAATTTCAGGATGTTGAAATTTTCTTAGGATGTTCATTTTTTTAAAGGATGTTCATATTTTTAATTTGTAAGGATGACCATAATTGAATTTAAACTGACGTATTGTTCTTGGGAGCTCAAATTGTTATTTTGATTTTATTGAAGTGTTTAAAATAAATCTATAACTCGCTTGTGTGTTACTGCTTACTTTTTTGAGTTACTCAACTTCCCATCCTCAGCCTGTGCCAGGGACAATTTTTGACTTTTGTGGTAAATTGCGTACGGCGCGAGAACGTTGCTGAGTAGAGTACTCGCTACAATAAGCGATCATGAGAACGTTTTCGTGCGCGCACGAGCGTATTTATTCACATTTCTTAAACTAACTTTTCACATATTTTAGACATGGGTATCTCAAGAGATAGTGTGCACAAGCGCCGGAAGACGGGGGGAAAGAGGCCCATCGTCCGTAAGAAGAGGAAGTTCGAACTTGGACGCCCCGCTGCCAACACTAAGATGGGAACAAAGAGGATCAGGCCTGTCAGGACCATGGGAGGAAACAAAAAGTTCAGAGCTCTTAGACTCGAAACTGGAAACTTTGCCTGGGCCTCCGAGGGCTCCACCCGCAAAGCTAGGATTATGGACGTTGTGTACAATGCCTCCAACAACGAACTGGTCAGAACAAAAACTCTTGTAAAGAACTGCATTGTCCAGATCGATGCTACTCCTTTCAGACAATGGTACGAAGCTCACTACGGAGTTACTGCTGGACGAAAGAAGAAGAACGAAGACAAGACCACCGTAGAAGAGGTCAAGAAATCTAACCACGTACAGAGAAAAATCGATGCCAGAAAAGGAGAATGCAAGATCGGACAATTATTAGATGATCAGTTCAACACAGGACGTCTGTATGCTTGTGTCGCTTCCAGACCCGGCCAATCCGGCCGATGTGATGGTTACATTCTCGAGGGAAGAGAGCTCGAGTTCTACCTTAAGAAGATCAGAATGAAGAAGTCCAAATAAGCTTTTTAAATAGTTTTTATTTATTGACTAAAATCGCCGTCTTACTTCAATTGTTTTGATTATTGTAGAACCGGGAAGAAGTCTACTTTGAACTCAATATCATAGCTTACTGCTCTTGAGCTTGAGCCTTGAATTTCTGGAACGACATCCACTAAAACCCTAAATTTGACAAATAAGATATCACAATACCAGTTGCTGTAGATTAATTGGTGTTGAATTAGTTTCACTGCTACTTCACATGTCAATTTCATGCTAGTAATACGACACTGCTAACTACATGAAACTGTGAAGTGTCAGCAGTTTTTCATACATTGAGTCTAGGATTGCATGAGGTTGCGGACCTGTGACCTGAAAGTTTCTATCGGCTTTAAATGCTGTGTGACTTAGTGTTCAATTTCTACGTGATTGCATCAATATTTAATGCTAATTTCATCGCCTGTGTTGAGATTCAGTTGACCGATACAATGAGACAGTAAAAGTTTAGAACAAGTTGAATTTAGCTTCTTAAGTAATTCAACATACTAGTCTCCACTGAATATTCTCAACTTTATCTCGTTCTAGTGAACATGGGAAGGCAAGACTCCTCTAAGGGGATGCAAGCTCACAAACCACCAAGGAAAAGTCAAGCTCCAATGGACATGTATCGTAAACAACTGGGTACGTTTTACATTCACTGTCCTAAGTCTTTTCTTAATCACGACGTCTTATCCGATAGTTAAGGTTCAATCTTTATGGAAGGAATTGCTTTCTCCCTAAAATTAGACTGATTAACAATGATAAATGAAAAATGTCGGTATCACAGTGCTGGCAAGCACGAGCGGTGTCTTTATTTGGGGTATACTATGTACCCCCTTTACTATTGTACCCCCTTTACTATTATACCCCCTTAACTATTATACCCCCTCTACTATTATACCCCCTTTGGTACACGTTGGAAGCCTCTTTCGTGCACGCGAAGCGTGCACTCCGGCCGGCGGCCGCCGCCTCCGGCAGGAGTTTTTCAGGCATTAAGACTCATCGGAAGTCGTTCAGCAGATTTATTTTTAGTTCAAAACATTCTAATTTGATGTCAAAGATGACAGGAATAAAAAATAGTTATGTTGAGATTTCTAAGAAATTTGCATAAAATACTCGCCAGCACTGTTATACGAAATTCGGTAAAAAACCCAAAATCGCCATATTCAGGTGCCTTAAAAACCATGTTAAAATTGAGTTAGAGATCTGAAATTTTTCAGGGCGTCCAGACGTTGACCAAATCGACTGCAAAAAAAGTTTCAGGTTTCAGGAGCATCGAGAAATGGGTTTTCTAGAACCCCTGTTTTACGATAGATTGTCGTGATACATACATACATATATACATATATTCAGGGATAGACGCTTTGCCAGTCAATTGTAGCCTGTATTTAAGTGTCCATAGATTCAAAAGTATAAAAGATAGCCATTTCCGACCACAGATCTTGCAAATAATTGTTTACACTTTAGTTTACATTGTTTAAAAAAAATATTTACGTCATAAACACCCCTTGATGACGTCATCAAGTTAACCGTTTTTAAAACTTGATTTTTGACAAAGTAATAACTTTTAAATTTAATTTTCAACCATTAAGGAGTAATTTTATTCGAAATCTGAGGAAATTTTCATCTTAGATAATTGTTCAAGCATTCTGAAAATCTACCGGAAAGTTTTTCTAGCTTGCTCCTTCATAAAGATATTCGTCATTGAAGTTTGTGCTTTTTTGAAGAATTATTTTATAAAAACCTTAATTTTACGATTTAGTATTCTCTGGTGTTGGGCCATGCCTTGGGTTGTGGAGCTCAGTTCTGCTTCCTATAGGTATAAATTGTGCATTAGGCTAGTTTTAAAGTTGAAAATCGAAAAGTTGCACACGTGGGGACACGCCCAAATTGATAGAAAATTGCTAAAATCACTGAAAATTGCTGTTTTCGTCATTTTCTGTCAACTTTAGAGTGCCGTTGTGATTACAGTTCTTCTTGAATTACTTTGAAACTTTGCATGCTTATTAGGCTATATATAAAACAATTACATGCAAAAATTTACGGCGATTCAATATTGGATGCGCACACAATACTAGAGTAGCAGAGAGGAGTTGAGTGTGCACTTCGATGTCCACAATTTCTGACCACACAGGGTCCTTCATTAGGTCGTTCTAAACCAAAATCATCTAGGTACCCAATTTGTGTCGCTAGTCCTAGAGCTACAGGGCATATTTTCTAAATTGCCCTCAGTCGCGACTGGGGATTTTTGTATTTTGGCCCCTGAAGGTCGTCGAGGCTTCATTTTTAGCTTAAAATGACCGCAATGGGCATGTTTATATACAACTTATGAATCAATATATGGTCTAAAATTGTTTGTTTCCGAGATATCTGCAGGTCTTAGAGACTCAAAGTTTAGCTTAGAATGACCGCAATGCACATGTTTATATTGACACTATAAAGGTCATAAAGGCCCAAAATGCTTACTTTTGGGAAAAATCCAGAAAAACTGATTTTTACTGGGGCGAGTGAAAAAAATCTACTCTAGAAGCTAATTGAAATCGAGTATGCAGTTTGGTGTCTACAACTTTTCTAGAAACCAGGTCCTTTGTAAGGTCATTCTGGATCAGAATTGATAAGGTACACAATTTCTATCAGTAGTTCCAACCCTAGGGGGGAAATTTATAAATTACCCTCAGGCGCAAATATATGACTTTTGTATCTCGGCTTCTGAACGTTGTAGGGGCCTCTCTTTTAGCTCACACTAACTGCAAAGGCCACATTTACATACAAGCTATAAAGCAACAGAGGGTTTATAGTGCTAAGTTTTGGAGGTATTCATTAAAAACTGTTTTAACTTTCGTGCATCCTGAAATAGTAACATCAAACATGTACTTAATTTTGGTATCCCGGGCTAAAAAAGTCTTACAGACACTTTACTTGCAGCACAGCATACTGTTCAGCATGAACACATTCAGATAATATTTATGAAGCAACACAATTCAGTTTCAGAAGCTCCTTCCAGCTATCTTATATTATCCCCAAATTTATACATCTGACCATCTCTCTTGTTGCTTCCATCTCGTTAAAGCTAAGGCTCGACCGGGACCGCTTTTTTGGCCGAGACTGGGACTGGGAAAAAGTGCCGGGACCAGGATTAAGACCGGGACCGGGATTAGGGATCGGGATTAAGCCGGGATCCCGGTCTTAGCATAAGTTGGGCTCTCTCCACTCTCCAGTACTGTTTGGCTATTATAGCTAATCAACTCCAATCCAACCTTATGTAGTAGAATCTACTTCTAGTTTCCTTCAATTCTGCAAATTCTAGCCCTATCCAGCACACTCACCCTACCTTATGCTATATCCAGCTATCCAGATAGCACAAGCACCCTCAAATTCTAGCTGGAGCCTGGAGGTAACCTTAATTAGATAAAAACAGATAGAATTTGAGAGTGCTCAACCAACTGAATAAGGATGGATGTAGCCCGAAGTAGCTAGAAGAAGCTAAAATTTGTGGGTACCGTTTGCTAGTGTTAGCTGGATAGAGCAGAAAGTAGTCTGAGGTTGCTGGAATTAGTGCTAGAATTTGCAGGTGCTGGTGATAGCTGAACAGAGAAGGAGTAAGTCTGAGGTTGCTGGATAGGGCTAGAATTTGCATTCAGAATTTGCTAGAAATAGCTGGAAATAGTTGAATGCAGCTGAGTCAGCCGGAAAGAGCCAGAATAAATTGTTGCTGGTGGTGCTATAAAAGGCAAGAGGTAGCTTAAGTTAAGTTTGCTAGAAAGAGCAGAAGTTGAAGGGGCCAGGCGGCCTTGCAGTAGTAGCTAAATAGATGTAGCCGAAGTACGTGAAAAGAGCTGGAATTGGTGGTTTCTGCCCACTGATGGAACCTGTATAGAGCAGGAGGTAGCATTCAGAGGTTGCTAGAAAGAGCTACAATTATTATAGTACGTGTTGGTGGTAGCTGGGTAGAATAGGCATGGCATAGAGGTAGCAGAATTAAAGATAGCTAAAAGTAGATTCTACTTCATGAAGTGGGATTGAAGTTGATTAGCCATAATAGTCAAACAGTACTGGAGAGAGCCCAACTTGTGGTAGCTATAACGAGATAATTAGATGTTCATGTATAAATTTGGGGATTGAGGAAGTAACCAGAGAGATGGTTAGACGTATACATTTGGGGATAATATAAGATAGCTGGAAGGAGCTTCTGAAACTGAATTGTGTTGCTTCATAAATATTATCTGAATGTGTTCATGCTGAACAGTATGCTGTGCTGCAAGTAAAGTGTCTGTAAGACTTTTTTAGCCCGGGATACCAAAATTAAGTACATGTTTGATGTTACTATTTCAGGATGCACGAAAGTTAAAACAGTTTTTAATGAATACCTCCAAAACTTAGCACTATAAACCCTCTGTTGCTTTATAGCTTGTATGTAAATGTGGCCTTTGCAGTTAGTGTGAGCTAAAAGAGAGGCCCCTACAACGTTCAGAAGCCGAGATACAAAAGTCATATATTTGCGCCTGAGGGTAATTTATAAATTTCCCCCCTAGGGTTGGAACTACTGATAGAAATTGTGTACCTTATCAATTCTGATCCAGAATGACCTTACAAAGGACCTGGTTTCTAGAAAAGTTGTAGACACCAAACTGCATACTCGATTTCAATTAGCTTCTAGAGTAGATTTTTTTCACTCGCCCCAGTAAAAATCAGTTTTTCTGGATTTTTCCCAAAAGTAAGCATTTTGGGCCTTTATGACCTTTATAGTGTCAATATAAACATGTGTATTGCGGTCATTCTAAGCTAAACTTTGAGTCTCTAAGACCTTCAGAAGCTGAGATACAAATTATTGAAATTTGTGCCTAAGCCTGAGCTTAAAATTAGTTTTTTGCAGATATCTCGGAAACAAACAATTTTAGACCATATATTGATTCATAAGTTGTATATAAACATGCCCATTGCGGTCATTTTAAGCTAAAGATGAAGCCTCGACGACCTTCAGGGGCCAAAATACAAAAATCCCCATTCGCGACTGAGGGCAATTTAGAAAATATGCCCTGTAGCACTAGGACTAGCGACACAAATTGGGTACCTAGATGATTTTGGTTTAGAACGACCTAATGAAGGACCCTGTGTGGTCAGAAATTGTGGACATCGAAGTGCACACTCAACTCCTCTCTGCTACTAGAGTACAACGTCCGCTCAAATTTTGCACGTGCGAAAGGTGAGAATTTTGCTCATTCGTGATTTCCAACAAATTCTGCTTTGCAACGACAGTTTAATGTCATTATATATGAATTTAATGCCAACTTGAATGAGTATTAAGTGGCATATTCAGTCAGTGATCGACCGATATGCTTCCCTAAACACAAGGAAATGTTTTTAAAGGAAAAATTTCGAAATCGTTGAAACTTCCTCCTTATTAATGAAGATATCAGTTTATATTTCGACTTTATAAAGTACCCTGACATTATAATCAAAAAGAGATGATATTTTACCAAAACCCATAATCATGGGTAGAGTGGACCGCTGCCAGTGTCTCTCTTTCCCAAACAAAAGGAAATGATATTAATTTGATTGACCGTTCTCAAATGCAAAATGATACCGAGAATGAAATCGGTCGCTCGCTTTTCCCATTCATTTACAATTGTAATAGATTAAGAAGAACTACCCAAAGGCAGCTGTACTCGGCAATGAAGATTCAATAAACTTTAGCTTTACTTGTTCAATAAGTAATAACTACCACCCTTGTCCCTTACTCCGAAATACTAGGTATCGACCCCAACGCAACCCAAAGAGATTTTTACAGCATCTGATTGATGTAATCAATCGAAACTTATTTATACAATTCGTAAGCCGTGAATGAATGGGAAAAGCGAGCGACCGATTTCATTCTCGGTATCATTTTGCATTTGAGAACGGTCAATCAAATTAATATCATTTCCTTTTGTTTGGGAAAGAGAGACACTGGCAGCGGTCCACTCTACCCATGATTATGGGTTTTGGTAACATTTGATATAAATAGAAAAGCTTCAATTTAACGGTGCTGATAAATTTTGATGCGATGTAAATAAGACTTCATTACTGTCGCTCACGCTCAATGGTTGGAATCCTGATACTGAAGTGAATATGTCCTTAGCTTTGTAATAGAGGTAAATCACGTTATATTGAATTACAGGTTTTGATAGTTGAAGGTCTATCATTTTAAGGTAAAAAGGAGTTCACCGGCAAAAGCAAGAAAGATTCTCAAGTGAGCAAGAACAAAGCCGATGCTAAGAAGAGTGCATTAGGAATAAAGGTCAGTTCTACAATGGAAAATCATACTAGTTTTATAGATACGGATTATGGAGATTGACTATATTTGTTCTCAAACGCGACAATAATCCTGGGTTGTGATTGGCCAAAAGTGGAATCTAATCGAAAGAAATGTTGTTCAACTCTTCATTTAAGCGTCCAGATTTATAGTTCATATCCTATATCTCGTTTTAACCAGCAAGGTGGGCTGTTTTAAAACTTGTTTGGCAAGCAAATCCCACGGTTAGTCTCTTTAAAGGGATATTAGCTGAGGGGAGGGGGTTTCCTAATGATTACGGGGAGGGGGGTGGGGGTTGTTACAATATAATCAAAACCTTATTTCTTTCTCTTAATAAATTAAGGGGATCATGGGTCAGGTCAAAAATTCCTCCGCTCCGTCAGCATCTCCGTCCCCCTGCTTTTTATAAAATGTGAACCTTTAGCAGTGTTGTAATTAAAACATCCCTCAGGATGTTATTCTAATACTGACGTGCGGGGTCGCCTTGTTAGCTATTGTCTACATGCTACTTTACTTCTCCATCCAGTACTCTACTGACGATAACTAGAAACTTACGAATACTTGGAAATAACCCGACTAAAGAGACGATAACAGCTTCAAATTTTATGGGATTAAATATGTGTTATGATGTATTTTTTAGGGTTAGAACAGATTTTGTGAACATTTTTTTGAGTTAATAAACGTTTGTAGTTATCTTATTATTTAATTTTAATGTATGATAAATTTGTAACATTGCCCATGCTTGAATTTTTACAAAGCATGTTTAAGATTTAAATTTGACAGAATTGCATGACTTCATTGAAAAGTTCAGGATGAGGTTTTTCATAAATTGTAGCAGTTGCTCACACACCACAGACAGTTTGCTAATCTAATATAGTGTCTTGAGAACTGGTAGTTTGTGTATTCTAACTGGTATAGAATCTGAGTGTAAATTCCAAATGGTTTAAAAGGCTAGTATAAGCTGTAATCTAAGATAATATTGATGAAAGTTACATTTTCAGTAATTCGTGATTCAAAATTATTAGGCATGTGTCAGTTTTCGAAGATTGCACGTATTCAAATTGTAAATATAGTAATAAAACATTTCAATTTCGATAAAGAAAATCAACCTCTGAAACAAACAACTTAACTTGTATAACTTATTGTGTCTTTCCCATGATTACTACGATTATGGTAGATAACACAGCGACTAAACCATGACTCATCCTGGTTTGGAGGTATTCGCGTTTGATTGTATGTTGTACAGTCCCACGTCAGTCCAATTTTCCGTTAGGTTCGCAGGATTTTTTACAGAAATTGTGAATTAGGTATAGTGTATTAGTATAGATATTACTTAAATTTTTCGACTGTGCGGACCCTTCTATTCCTAGTACGTTCAGTATATAGTACATATTCCTGTACGCTCCTACTAAAAATCCTACGTGAAATTTTTGGGCGAGCTAATTAGTAAGAGCCGAAAAGGCCCTTAGGTAATGGAAGTAATCGAAATCAGTTTATTTTTGGACGCTGATTCCAGATTCCGAATCACCCCCGATATTAACGGGTGACACTCGTAAATTATCTGTTTTATATATTAACGGGTGATACTCTTAAAATATCTGTTCCATACCGTCGACGAGTCCAACTCGGCGCGCGTCCTGGTAGGTTGTAAACCTACAACCCCCATACCATGACTTGTCATACGTTGTATGTCCCGCCGCGATCGAGTGCGCGGCTCCCCCTGTATCGTAGAAACTCTACTCCACTATAGTGAAGCGACCGTGGGGGTCACCACGTGATACAAACCATGACGTAGTTGGGTAAAAATGCTTCCCGAGAAAGTTATGGGCTCAAAACTGTTTTGGTCAAGTGACCGACTGCAGACTAGTAAAACACGAATTCGATTGTTAGGGCTCGATGTCTAGGGTTGTGGTCAGAATAATGGATAGCTTTGGAGTTATGCGTTATGGCCTGTACTGGTTAGGATTATATTAGGGCTTATGTAAAAACTTGTAGGTCAATAAAATTATCACATGGCTTTGGTTTTATGTTTTTGCAGCCGAACAAAACGGTTTTTACTCAACGGGTGATACTCTTAAAATATTTGTTTCAATTATTAGGACCGCCGACGAGTCCAACTCGGCGCGCGTCCTGGTAGGTTATAATTGTATCACGTGGTGACCCCCACGGTCGCTTCACTGTATAGTTTTTGTAGGTTTACAACCTACCAGGACGCGCTCCGAGTTGGACTCGTCGACGGTCTTAATATTTGAAACAAATATTTTACAAGTATCACAATATATGGAACAAATATTTTACGAGTATCACCCGTTAATATAGTTTCTACGATACAGGGGGAGCCGCGCACTCGTGCGCGGCGGGTCATACAACGTATGACAAGGTTATAAACAGTTTATAACCAACCAGGACGCGCGCAGAGTTGGACTCGTCGGCGGTCTTAATAATTGAAATAAATATTTTACAAGTATCACCCGTTGATGGTTGAATAAAAACCGTTTTGTTTGGCTGCAAAAACATAAAACCAAAGTCATGAGTCATGTGATAATTTTATTGATCATTGTTAATTAAGGGGTCGTTCACATATTACGTAATCAGCCGAGGGGGGGTTTCAAATGCTTACGGCTGATTACGGGGGGGGGGGGGGTCAAACCTTGATTACGTGATATAGGGGGGGGGGGGGGGTAAAAATTGCCAAAATATTGATTACGTAATATCAATATGTGAACGACCCCTAAGGGAAAAAATTGCTCTAAAAGAGACAGATTTGATGCATTTAATTTAAAGTGAAATTTAAGTTGAAGGAACAATCGAAATAGTCCTTAATAAGTATTGTATCACGTGGTGACCCCCACGGTCGCTTCACTGTAGAGTTTCTACGATACAGGGGGAGCCGCGCACTCGTGCGCGGCGGGTCTTGACATACGTTGCATGCCACTTTTCGCGCGCGTATCCGATACGTAACATGTATCAAGGCGGGTCATACAACGTATGACAAAATAAGTACTAGTATTTATTCGGGTTTATTCGTTACCTATGCATATGGTTTCAATGCACGATAATTTTGATGACAGCTCTTCGAGTTGCGTCTAAGTTCAAGGTTAAGGTATATGCTAAACTTTGCTACAAAGTGAAAACTACATTTAAAAATCTAACGAATCATCCCTAAAACCAAGACTACTACATCATAACTGTTCCATCTCCAAACTTTTGGTGTATCCAATCAATACTAATTTTAAATGAAATGAATTATTTAAGAATAATTTACGCTCTACTAAACATTTTTAGTTTTACAACATCATTTAAATCGTCCGAGTACGAATTTAAATACCAATTGCCTCCACACTGGAAGTGTTTAATAAATCATTATATAATTATATAGCATGCAGGGCAAGGCCAGGCTTCTCAAGCTTCTTTCTTGATAGTCTTAATAAAGCAAATATGATTAATGATTATTTAATAATGCGTGCGTATGTCCTTGTCTTATGCGTATCATGCTTAAGGTCCCTAACATTATTACACTCAATAGAAACTCTAAAAGAATGCAGCCATCAGAAGAGTAGTTACAATCACTGAACTGCGAGAGAGCAAGGTAGTTCCACTGTAAGAACCATTGTTGTCACCATGAATGTCGTCATTATTTTCTGAAAACAAATCTTTAAGCATTTCTGTTTGTACAATTATATGACTTATAGTGAAAAGGTTACCCTTGTCTGTTATTTATTTATTTTAGGCTAAAGTTTGCTGTTAGGCACACCGTGGCCCTCGGGTGCTAGTATTTATTTAGAAGAGATTAAATCAAGTTCATTATGTCAAATTTAGAGCGAAATTCTTTAAGTTTAACAATGAAATTAAATTTCTTATTTTATGAAATATGACACATTTGGTGAATACTCAACAAGTACCCATTCTTACCTGGTTCTGCGTCAATAGGAATTGGGATAAATCTGTATCCATCAAATTTTTCATTAGTATTCCAACCATAGAAGGATACACTTGTTAATTCTGCATCCCAATATGGTTCCCATTGTTCTTTCCCGTTTGGAAACTTAGTCGGATTTTCACAATCGAATTCCTCACCAGGATACCCATCTCTCAAAAAATCTTCTCCATTATAAAGAACGTTCAGCTTTCCATTGTCCTTCCACACTGTCCAGATCACCTCTTCCTCAGAAAAGACAAAATTCTCTGGCATTGGAAGCCTTCTGTCTGACCCGATGCACGGCGCTACAGCCCAATCTGGAGGTAATGGATTTCCGGACAGGGGGCCATCTTGATATGTATTGCCCGGATTTGAAAAACCAAATCCAACCTTCGCTTCGTCATCGTTTCCGTTGAGATCTATGAGGTACCAATAATACGGATTAGCGGCGATACCCCATTTTACTTTTAATTCCACTGCTTGTGTAGCCTCATCGAATGGTATTTTAGTTTTGGTTGGTACTTCGTTGATCCACGGAATTTCCTCATCGGCTGTTGTTGTACCCAGTATTGCAGCTACCACTAGTGCAGTTAGCAAGACCAGCATCTTTGTTTCTACTTTGCTTCGTTGGAATACTCCTACTAAAGTCAGGTAAAGTTAATAACAAATTCACAATAAATAACTGCGTTTTTACGAAACTCTGAGAACGAGCGCAGAGCGTGCTAAATCACTTTACAGTCGATCTTCGAGATTTTTCTAAAAGGGCCCCCGACAGTTGAAATTAACTTGAATCGCTGTATTTTTGGACGCTGATTCCGAATCACCCCATGACATAGGGTTAAAATGCTCCCCTGCCCTGGTGAGCTAGATATTGACGAAAAACTGTCTCGAACACGTTATATGAGTATGAGTCATGACCATATAAGGAATATGATATAGTTTCTCGTTAGGGTCAGGGTTTCAGCATATGCTTTTGTTAGATATTGGGTTAGGGTAAGGGTTGGGATCACTATCAGGTTAGATTAAGAGAATAAGAGGGCTAGGATTTCGAATAGTCATTCAGGGCCACCAAGAGAACGTGTTTAAAAAGTCACGTGACAGTCAAACTATAATCTATAAACTGTCTTATCAGCCCTATAATTCACCCGGCCCTAATATTTGGCAAAATTCGGCTCCTGTGACCATATATTTAATATGATATACTGTAAGGGCTAGACAGACTTCTTGGCCAGCTAAATTAGGAGAGCAAAATGATTCGACACGTAACGAACTGTTAGAAATCAGAAATAAATGCGCTGTGAGACCAAGTTCGTGATATTTTATATCTTCTACTCTGTATCTTCGCCACGTAATCGTTCACAAATTCCAAGCAAATTTAATCATCACGACTCGGACTAATCTTACTGGGCGGCGCTCAGCGGCCTGTCATTCCGCCCAATCTCTCTGAACATGATAGCCTGGGGTCCTATCCCCAGGTAAGGGCTAATCTAATTCCCAATCACGCAGGTTAGGTACACTTACTGGCATTTTTGGGAATGTTATTGTTAGATCGGAATGTTTTCCATAGGTAAAATCCAATATCGAGTATAGTTGAGACACAGTTAATAAACTGCGGAGTGACTAAAATGCTATACAGCAAAACAGAAGGCTCCAACCAAACACTCCACCTACTGATCCTAACAACTCTCTATCTCTCTCTCTCTCTCTCTGTCTCTCTTGAGCCCTCCTTCCCTCACTCCTCGTGGTGCACAAAACCATTCCAACCTATGTATGCCCCCCCCCCCCCCCCCCCTACGGGTTCCACAAGCCCAACGGCAGATAGTTAGACGAAGCCTTGATTGCCAGATCACATATCAAGGACTGCATCAGTAGCAGAGAAATACGGATATACCTCCTCCCTTACAGTCAGCAAACTGACAACAACCTGACTGTGTCTTTAAGGCATTACCACGCCACCTTCGCTATTGCATCCGCTCGCCCGTATTCTAATTCACTGACTCATGGCCATGCCACACCTGGGTTTAGTATGAAGATGTACGTATCGGTATATTTCTAGAATGCCGGACACCAGGCTACCAAAGTATCTATTTGATTGGACACCTGCTCACGGCCGAAGATCACGTGGGCGGCCAAGAAAGAATTGGCGAACCTGTGTCCTAGAAGACGCAGTAACATTCACAGGAGATCCAGACATTGTATTTGATAAGGTCCGAGAGTTGGCAGGAAACCGAAAGCACTGGAGAGAGATGATACGACATAAGCGGCAATTCCTTGGTGCAGGCCACTCGAATGATTGAGGAGGCCTTATCAAGTATCAAGTAAGTATATTCACCCAAGATGCGGAGTTGAGATACAGCAGCAAACTCACAGGAGCATGGATCAGAATCATCAGTTACAAACCTGACACCGTTTCGGGGCTTTAATCACAATATGGTTTTCTGTCAGGCGCCCCAGCAGTCCACCCTTCGACTACCATCTGATCCGAGGGACACTTATTAAAAAAGAACCAAAAATGTTCACAATTTTTTGGGCGGTCATGAGCGTGAATAATTATGTCCGTAAAAAATTTGAGCCGTGAAAAACTTGTCAGTGACAATTATGTCCGATAAGGTAGTAAGATAATGAGCTATCTCGAGTTGTGTTTTTAAAATACAGCTAATTACACTGCATTCTGATTGCTGGTTGATAGCGATTCAGAGGAAGCTTCGCGGTTGGTTATCTCTCAACGGATTCTGGGTATTAGGTCAGCAGCAGGTATGATGTTACCATCCCTCGAGCTATATATTTCGTTTTATTTTACGCATTTCCTTCTTCCTGGAATTTGGATATTTTTACTTTATTCCTAGATCGAGTTTGTAGATGCTTCATTGCATTAGTTTTTATGTTCTCTGCATCCTGCACAGTCATTAAAATCTGTATGGGCTGTCTAACAAATATCTTGCTCCTAATTGCAGCGTTGAACGCAGAGTGAGCCTCCTCAGTCGTTGATCTTGATCATAACCTGATTAACTAGATCACATAATTAACTGAAGGTTGGTACTGATTAGATCCTATCCCCAGGTAAGGGCTAATCTAATTCCCAATCACGCAGGTCAGGTACACTTACTGGCATTTTTGGGAATGGTAGATCGGAATGTTTTCCATGGGTAAAATCCAATATCGAGTATAGTTGAGACACAGTTAATAAACTGCGGAGTGACTAAAATGCTATACAGCAAAACAGAAGGCTCCAACCAAACACTCCACCTACTGATCCTAACAACTCTCTATCTCTCTCTCTCTCTGTCTCTCTTGAAACCTCCTTCCCTCACTCCTCGTGGTGCACAAAACCATTCCAACCTATGTATGCCCCCCCCCCCTACGGGTTCCACAAGCCCAACGGCAGATAGTTAGACGAAGCCTTGATTGCCAGATCACATATCAAGGACTGCATCAGTAGCAGCGAAATACGGATATACCTCCTCCCTTACAGTCAGCAAACTGACAACAACCTGACTGTGTCTTTTAGGCATTACCACGCCACCTTCGCTATTGCATCCGCTCGCCCGTATTCTAATTCACTGACTCATGGCCATGCCACACCTGGGTTTAGTATGAAGATGTACGTATCGGTATATTCACCCAAGATGCGGAGTTGAGATACAGCAGCAAACTCACAGGAGCATGGATCAGAATCATCAGTTACAAACCTGACACCGTTTCGGGGCTTTAATCACAATATGGTTTTCTGTCAGGCGCCCCAGCAGTCCACCCTTCGACTACCATCTGATCCGAGAGACACTTATTAAAAAAGAACCAAAAATGTTCACAATTTTTTGGGCGGTCATGAGCGTGAATAATTATGTCCGTAAAAAATTTGAGCCGTGAAAAACTTGTCAGTGACAATTATGTCCGATAAGGTAGTAAGATAATGAGCTATCTCGAGTTGTGTTTTTAAAATACAGCTAATTACACTGCATTCTGATTGCTGGTTGATAGCGATTCAGAGGAAGCTTCGAGGTTGATTATCTCTCAACGGATTCTGGGTATTAGGTTAGCAGCATGTATGATGTTACCATCCCTCGAGCTATATATTTCGTTTTATTTTACGCATTTCCTTCTTCCTGGAATTTGGATATTTTTACTTTATTCCTAGATCGAGTTTGTAGATGCTTCATTGCATTAGTTTCTATGTTTTCTGCATCCTGCACAGTCATTAAAATCTGTATGGGCTGTCTAACAAATATCTTGCTCCTAATCGCAGCGTTGAACGCAGAGTGAGCCTCCTCAGTCGTTGATCTTGATCATAACCTGATTATTAATCAGGTTATGATCAAGATCAACGACTGAGGAGGCTCACTCTGCGTTCAACGCTGCGATTAGGAGCAAGATATTTGTTAGACAGCCCATACAGATTTTAATGACTGTGCAGGATGCAGAAAACATAGAAACTAATGCAATGAAGCATCTACAAACTCGATCTAGGAATAAAGTGATTAACTAGATCACATAATTAACTGAAAGTTTCTTACTGATTAGATCCCAACTGACTCTAACTCTAAACAAGCGACCCAGAGGGAAGAGGAACATTTATATCGTTGGTGATCTTAAGTTTGGCTTCCTGGAACACTTTAAAACCTTAGACCTGTAACATAAGTCACTAAAAATGTGACAGAATTAATATTTTATGCCCCAACAATATAAATTTAATGCGAAAAACTGGTATCGGCTGCTATATTTCTTGTATTATTCAATTTGAACCATTATAAGAACTGTCGATGTAAACGAAAAATTATTAAACATTTACAACAAATTATGTGACGAAATTTATAACATTGCTTGCCCTATTTTGAAGTTCACCATTATACCTCTATTAGATTTCAATATTCTTTCAGAAATAATTTTACTTACTTTGAGTACTTTGATAAGAAGATTCCACAGCTGTGCCGCTTTCACTCCAAATGAGTTTTCAGAGTGAGTTGCCACACAGCGCTGTGATTTTTTATTCAGTGTCGGTACGCAGTGGCTTTTATTTCATGTCGGGGGTTGTTTTTGAACAGCATGCCAATATCATTTGGGGCCAGGCCATTGAAAATTTTTCCATGTGTGCATCAAGATGTACCTTTCTCGACGTCTCTGAAATGATATGATATTGAGTTCTGAGAGACATTGCCAGTAGTCTAAACCACTGCATCCGTTAACGGTTAATGCGTCGGGTATATTGTCGTTGAACGTTTTATATATCCTCTATTATATGTCCATGCAGTCTTGGCTATAGGAAAACAGAGCAAATGGAATTTTAGAACGTTGCTTTTCATAAAGCAGAGGTATCGGGACAATTATAGGAACTATTATTATCATTATACTAGTATATCTTCAGGTCTGTCTTCTATAACCACGATGAAAAGAAAAGCTGGGCGAAAACATCCGAGACTGCAGAACTGGAACACTCTTTATTTGAAGACAGTGGCTGCTGAGTGCTGAGCTGCATCAAATCTATCAGCATCATTGCAACTTCGATCAGGAACAGAAACAATTTCATCTCCGACAACTAGCTCATGTTTTCCCTAGACTTACTAAGTAACTGCATTAGTATTAAGTTAAATTAAAGGCCCTACTTCGAGATAGTCTACCAATTAAAACTAAAATGCAAGAGTGCGCAATTTATC